AGATTGTATATGATAATCTAATACTCGATGAGCCGATAGATCTGTCTAATGTGGTGGATATAACAAATCTATTTAGAACAACATTGTGATTGTAGAGATATATCGGCTAAGACATAAGATCAGACCTAACTGAGATAGTCCCAACTAAACCGATACGTCTCTAAACACCATGCGATTAGAGATAGAATTGAGATATCATGTAGGCAAATATATCAACCAAACCAGAGCGATCCAAGAGATCGAAGCGATGCGGCCTTGAACAACACCAACGTAGCCGATAGATTCACCAGGGCCGATGGAACGTAGGACTTACCCATTCGCCGGAGATCGAACTGAACCGATGCAGCCCCGCGTCAGATGCCAAATTCCGCCAGATGATAAATAAAAACCTCCGTAAAGAGGGTGGCGATGCGCCGAGAGTAGTTGTATTGATCTAGAGATATTTTACAATGACCCCGAGTGTATATATTTATACCCATAGGGATATACTAGTCCTTGTAGGATAAGAAAGAAATTTTCCTAAAGATAAAGAAAAACATAAAGTTCTTATAGGATACTAAACACACTTTCCACTTTTCTAAAGTTAAAAGGAACTAACAAACTATTCCTAATTAATATATACACTTGCCATGCCGCATCATTCTTGAACTCGGATTCTTATAGATAAATTCTCTTTAATTGATCCGACTCCACCAAGAACACAACCGCGGGCGATTTGACGACTCCTATCGGCCGATTCCAAGACTGAAGCCAATACTAACTCTAGGCCGATGATGACTTCGAGCTTACCAAATTTTGGCGTTAACAAGGTGGGACCATATATTAATAGTGTAGTAAGCAATTATTGTATAAATTGGCTATAGATGAATTGGAGCTAGTAGCAACTATTTTTTAAAAAAATTCATAAAATTTTCAAATAAGACGAACGGTCAAACGTTGGACATAGATTTCCACGGCTGCACTTATTTTGGAACGGAGATAGTATATTTAATACTTCAAATTAATATCTAAACATCCAATATGACAAGGTCTGAATGCAAATACCCATTTATACTCCAATTTCTTGTAAGTAAAATTATACAGCCACCACTAGTGGTAGAACTTTTTACTGGTAGCACTCTACTACAGAGGTGTTTGGGAGAGATAGGGTAAACTTTAGCCCCTCTCTTAAAAATATAAGTCTCAACATAAGTGTAAGAGACTTGTGTTTTCTCTCCAAACACCCCCTACTACTACCACTGTCGCAATCTCAGGGGGCAGGGTAGTGAGCAAATGGGTGCTGACTCGGTGGGACCAGGGAGAGAGGGGAAGGACGGACGTGGTCAGGGCCTCAAGGGGGCGGGCGTGGGCGCGCGGCTCCCGAGACGAGGCCAGCCTGGCTCGGCATTGAACGGCCCCCCGTCCCACCGACACGAGCCGCTACTGCGAACTGCCGTTGCCAACCACCCAACCCCAACACACACCCACACTAGTACTACTCGTTAAAAAAACACGAGACCCTGGCGCGCTGGCTTCGATCGAGCGGTTGGCGCACGCGGCGGGCAGCTTCCTCGCAGCTTCCTGGGACGCTTTGTTTAGCTCAACCGAGACCGAGGCGCTCGCTCTCTCGCTCACTCCACGCCGACGATCCCCGCTTGTGACGCTGGATTCCCATCGCGCTGTCATGCCATCTGCCACGCTATACAAGTCCTACTACTCTGCTGATCGATCGATCGATCGCACGCGTGCAATAGGATACTCCCTCCGTCCCCTAAAATATAAAATATAGTAACCTTGTACTGGATGAAACACATCCTAATACAATAAATCTAGATAGGGTTATATCGAGATTCGTTGTACTATGATATATCCCATCCAGTACAAGATTGCTATATTTTGGGACGGAGAGAGTATTTGTCAAATGCGCACGGGGCACGAGGGCCGTCGCGCATCGCTGCCGACGTCACACACCGGACGGATCCGGAGGTGCCGTTATAGTAGATAGAAATAGAATAACGGTTTTCTATCTCAGCTGTCACGCACGCTGCTTCTTCTGCTAACCGGTGAGCTGCTCCATCATCAAGCCAAGACACCCAAAAAATACTCTACTAGTACTAAAACGGTGCGTGCGTGCGCGTTTTTGATCTAAAACAACTGAACGAGGCATTGAGGTTAGGTGATACGGGCGCGTCGCGGTGGCCGGGCCATCCGTCCATTGTTTGTTTGGTTCCGTGAATAAAGATTGCGGCGGTTTTGTGCTTTTTGGAAAAGCGGAGGCGATGAGGTGGAGGTGGTAGTGTGAAGGGCAGTTGGTCAAGATCAAGGCCGGCAGATTAGCTTAGCTTAGCTTAGCTTAGGGCGATGGCCACGTAATCCCAGATTCCTCTTGCGAATGATGGGCCAGGGCCACCATTTGACTTGTGATAAAGATATCTATCTGCGGGTGAGGCTGTTAGGTGGAGACGGTGGGGAGGAAGCCACTGCGAACCCCGGGAGGTCGAGCTCGCCAGCTGGGGAAGGAGATACGCTCAGATCTCGCTCTGTGTACGACAGGGAGAAAGAACGGTGTGTGTACTTTGTGACGATTTTGCGGTAATTGCTGTGTGAGAGAATGGGCTTTTTCGCGGTCTGAAAAAAGTATGGGCCTTTTGTACCTTTTGATGGAGTAAGAGGCCAGAGGTTGGCTTTTCTGTGTACCTTTGTAGGCTCTGTGGGCACACGACAAGCTTGGTGAAGCCGAAGGTTCGTGGTGAAGGCCCAAGGCCCAAAAGGCCATCTAGTGGCTTGTTTGTTTGATCCATTGAGAAGTGAGCTTGTAGGAGATTTGAGATGGGCTTTTTGCAAAAATGAGGCATGTATTTCCGAGGCTAGCAATTCGTGAAGTGTTCAAGAAACTTAATTTCTCGTATTGCAAAAAAAGCGACACAAAAAAGTCTTCCTTGAATATGAAATGGATTATAGTGGGAGTAAACAGAAACACAGTTAAAAAGAGACTGTAAAATCGTCGATCATCTTAGCTTTATGTAGCTTTATGGGAGATTTGGGGAGGAGCCCAATCGTAGAATTTCAACTGTTTCATCACATATATAGAAACTCAACCGCATGATAGTGATTAGGGGCGAAAGCGAATTGGATATTATCCGCTCTAAATCCATCCGAAGTGAGGATATGGTAACGATTTGTAGATATCCGGCGAATACAGATTTAGTATTAGTAACATCTACAACACGGGATTAGTTTAGTTAAGTTTAACGTTGAATATATTTTGATAATATGTTTATTTTCTATTGAAAATGGTACTATATTTTTCTAAAAAATTGGTCAAACTTAAATAATTTTGAATAAGTAAAAAGTCAAATGACTTATAATATGAAACGGAGAAGTAGAACCTATTGTTAGTTAATATATTGTATAACAAAAAAAATCAAATACTACAATTAGTTGTTTAATGGATTCTTGCAATAAGAAGGTGAACCCAAGAGCTATTTTGTACAATGCATAATATACCATTACACCCTTGGCGCAAGGAGGTCTTGGCGGTAAATCAATCACATGTTAGGATTGGTTTTCCTGCGCTATTATGGTTTTCAAACTATCTAGAGGTGTACTATAGTGATAAAAAAGATAGATGCATATCTACAAGCAAACATGTATGGCGGTCGGAATAGAGGTGTGAAGAAGTAAGAGTTGAACAATTTCCGCCATCTTTTTTCTAAGTATCTACGTGAGGACAATGTTGGTTTGTATGGGAACAACAACTAAGAAATGGCAAGAAGATGAAATAGTGAATTGATTCCCATCATTTTTATTACTACGGTTTTCTAGGATGGAGGTAGTATTATCTAGTCCATGTTGTGACAAAACAAAACCCTTATGATTGATGGATAGGTTTATACAATTAAGTCATACATTTAGTCCAACTTTATCAAAACATCGCATCCTTCATTCATACATGGTATATGTATTTATTACGAGTTATATAACCTATTGATTGTTGTTATATGTGTTTATAAGTGCTATTTGTTCTTACAAACTTGTTAAACATTTAGACATTTAGTATGAGTTTATCAATACTTATTGTATGCCTATCTCGCATCCCTCATTCGTACATGGCATATATATTTTTTACGAGTTATATGATCTATTGATTGCCTTTATATGTGTTTATAAGTGCTACTTGTTCTTACAAACTAATTAAACATTTAGACAATTTGTATGAGTTTATCAATACTTAATGTATGCCTATCTCGCATCCCTTATTCGTACATGGTACATGTATTTATCACGAGTTATATGATCTATTGACGTTATACGTGTTTATATATGTTTACCCATCAAACATGGGTGTGCTATCCCTATACTACTTTGCCTGACAATAGTCATGTTTAAGGGATAAAGGAGTAAGAAACAACAAAGATATAGTTAGTTATTTTGTTACATGACAAGGAACACAACTCAACGGACTTTCCCACTTAACCTAGTTGGCCATGTTCCGATGTTTGGTTAATCCCCACATAAAGGGATTGAAGAGGATTTGGACGAAATAATTATTGAGATGTGGAATTAATCTTCCTCAATCCCATCCAAACCCTTTCTTATGGAGATTAAATGAATAATACCTAAAACAACTCTACCGGTCTACTTAAAATTGTATATTTTCGGTATTCACCCACTGGCGTGTCTACTTATAGCGGTTGTGTTGTATAATGTAACTTTATCGTTCTTTAGCATCTCCCATCAAAGAAAGGATAGAGATTAGAGTTAGATAACACTCATAAAAGAACATCTTATCATGTAAGCCGTGGTCCGTGGAGATCACGCCTGATCCATGTGGATCACACGTTGCAAGGTCCATCCCATCTGACGAACCCATCCCAATTCCTATCTACCACTCCTCACCACTCGAATGACCGACCTGCCATTGTCCAATCTTTTCCGGTGTAAAAAGGGAGTAAAAAGAAGGGTAAGGGGGACAAACTGTTGGGTTTGTGACGTTTGCCGAATTCGTGCATTTCGTTTTGCTCTATCTGGTGGGAATCCCCCACCTGAACCGGTGTACGCGATCGTCACGACTCCACGAGGCACCCGCGACGACGCAGCCACCGCCGCCGGCCGCGATCCACACAGATCCGACCCCACCCAAACGCGTCCAGATTCCAGCAGCGCAGCCACCCCCACCCAGCCCAGCCGATCCAGCCGTCGTTGCCGGCCTCGGTAAGCAAAGGATCTCATCAATCCTCACGATTCCCGCAACCCTAGAGCATCCCCTTCCCCTTCCCTCGCCTCCAAATTCGCGATTCCTTCCCCCACGAGGCCGAATCCCTAGGGCCGCCATGGATCCGCCTCCCCCGTTCGACCACCCGCTCCACCGCCGCCACTACTCCGACCACCACCACTTCCCCCCCGGCGGAAGCGGAGGCAGCGGCGGCGCTGCTTCTGCGGCTGCGCGCTCCAGGTACGAGTACGGCGGCGGCGGCTACGAGTCCCACTCTCACCACCAGTACCACCTCCCTGACCACCACCACCACCACCACCACCACCACCCCCCACCGCGCGTCCAGCACCATCACCACCACCACCACCAGCAGCTGCCCGCGCCAACGCCGCCCCCGCCGCCGCCGCCTCCCCTGCCGCAGCACCGCCTCGAGCCCCCTCCTCCTCACTACGGCTTCCCTCCCCGCGGCCATCCCGACGCCTACTCGCCGCCGCCGTACCACGACCCGTCCCCGCACCACCACTACCATCGCCACGGGGGCGACGACTTCCTCCCCGCCGACGAGATCCGCCGCGTCGGTGGTGGTCACCACCACCACCATCACCATCCGCAGCTGCAACAGCTTCTCCCGTGGGAGGAGGCTGAGGAAGAGAGGCGCCGCTACGGCGGCGCCACCCAGCAGCTCCGACTATCGCCGTCTGGTCCTCGGAAAAGGCAGCGCTGCGCTGTGCACGACGCCGACGTTGAGAGCACCTCCAGTTCTGGCCCGCCTCCCCGCCGCCAGAGGCAGCAACCCCACCCGGACTATGCTCTGGATGATAGTTTTGTAGATAGGAACAATGCCCATCCTGGTTACATGGTCCATGAGGGCTTCTCAATCCACAGTGATAGCAAGGTTAGCAGGAAGATCCAGATGCCTACGCAGATGGCACTGCCTGGCTCTCCCCATGGCACGAGTGCTGGGTATGCGAGGCGAGCCCCACAGAAGGTTGCCCCTTCTAGAGTGTCTGTGTGGCACCGAATCGAGGAGAACCCTGCAATGTATGAACCGTCTTCTCCGCCGCCGCATATGCCTAAGGAGGTGCACGTCTCGCCGTGCAAGTCGAACAATGTTGCTCCTGCTTCGAAGGAGTTGGCCAGTGTGATTTCTGTGGATTGTAGAGGGAAGAGTGCTGATGGTAATGATGGTGATAGTAATACAGGAACAAAGAAGAATCCTGTCAAGAAGAATGAAAAGGTGTTGGCTTCAGTGCTTGTGAAGCCTCCAATGGAGCCCAAGGAAAAGGAAGTGGCTGCTAAGAAGATGCTCAAGAAACCTGATAAGGTTCAGAAGAATGCAGTGCATTCCAATATTAGAAGTTTGGTCTCAACTCCCTGCCCTGGTGCTGGTGCGAAGAAAGTGAAGAAGATAGTTATAAAAAAGATTGTTAGGAAGATCAATGGGAAAGGTAATCAAAACAGTACCCCGGTTGTCTCAGAAAAGAGAGATGGTATTGATGCTAATGCTTGTGAGAAAGAAGAGGGTGAGATCACTACATCATCTTTTGAGAAGGATGTTATTTCTGCACATGATCCGATCGCCGTTAGTGACACAGCTGGTTTTGGTAATGCTGTAAATGATCAGAAGCAAAAAAACACCGACTTCACAAATCCAAGTGGAAGGAATGCTGCTTCAGCCAATGGATCTATGGAAATTCCCGATCCACCAAATGGTAGTGGGAGTGCACATCCTGGAAAGGAAGAGGTTCTAAGCCCAAAGAATCCAGTTGATAATAGCAATGCTTCTTTAGTCGTTGAACCTATAGAAGTGCTTGAGAAAAGTGGGACTGAGCATCCTAGGAAGGAGCATGATATGAGCTCTATTGGTTCAGGTGTAAATGATGCTTTTGCAGATGCGAACAATCATACTCAGAAGGAGGTTGGTGAAATGAATGTCGCAGTTGCAATCAATTCTGTGAGAGTTTCTGATGCACGGGAAGTTCCTAGGTGTGATGATTCCAGCATGGAAGAGAGCAAAGTACCTAAGGATGTGGATGCAAACATTGCTGTTTGCATGGATGGAGTTGCTTCTAATTGTGATACAACAGAAGTCTGTGGAAATGAAGATGCAAGGAGGGAATGTGGAAAAAAATTGATTGGCATAAATGACGAGAAAGCTTTCCTTTTAAACAATTCTGCCAGAAGTTCTAGTACATCTGATACTTGCATGACTGCTGTAGAGGGTGCTCAGAAAAAAGAGGGTATAATTCTCACTGGTTCAAGTGAAAAGAGCATCGGCTTTTTAGGTGATTCTGTGGGAACTCATAGGACAACAGAATTTGGTGCCAGTAAGGATGCCCCCAACGAAGGAGATGACATGCCAAGCCATCCTAGTGAAAAGGATTTTATGTCATTGAACTCTTGTGGAGGTCTTAATTACACAGAAGTTAGTGAAAAGGAGGATATCCAGGAGAAAGAGGACAGAGTACCCATGGAATCAATTGTAGCTTGTACTTCTAGTGGAAATGAGGACATACAAGTGAATGAGGGCAGAAAACCCATGGAGTTAAGTGAAGCTAATGCTTTTAGTGGAAGCGGGGATAGCCAAGGTAAAGAGTGTAGAATACCCATGGGTTCAAGTGAAACAAATACATCTTCCGTGAATCATGTGAATGCTTCTAATGAAAAGGATTTCAGCTTGAGTGAGGACACCCAGAAGAAAGAGAGCCACAGGCCCATAGAATCATGTGAAAATACTACTTTTGAAATTATGCACCATGAAGAAGCTCCTAGTACAGAAGAGGTTATTACAGGTGTGTCACTTGGGAGAAAGGTGGCCGAAGGCCCAACGAGGTCAAATGAAAGATGTTCAGGTGCTAGAGGTAATTCTGCAACTACTTTAAAGTTTGGTTTAGCTTGTGCAACTGAGGATAATCAGATGGAAGATTTGCTCAACAATAGAACTGCTTTAAATGAAACAGATGATCCTCTTGATGCTGAGGATTCCCCTGTGTTTGTTCCTCCATCTTCCAGAAATGTAGAAAGTACATATGCATCGCCATTATATGATCCTATGGAGGATTCTACCAGTGATGGTATTTTGAATATTGGTTTGGGAAGGAACACTACATCTAAGGCAGCAGAACTTTTGGATCTTCATAGAGACCATATTTCTTCTGAGAATGATTCTTTGATACATTCCCGGGGCACTTCATCTGTATCTGGTAACCGTGAGCAGTCTGTCCCTACAGCTTTGACACTTGGTAGCAATATCTATTTTAGTAGTGCGGAAACTGATGATCGGCCTGAGGAAAGACATGAGCTAGTAGTGGAAGGTCAGCAAGGATTAACTGTTGAGACAACAAGCAAACTTGATAGCCCTGGCAAAATAGAAGTCCTGAATGGTGCGGGCTTCATCAGTACAGGTATTCAAAATTGGCTGAGTTTACCTCCATCAATCAACAGCATGGAGATGTCTGGGCAATTTCTGAATAATGGTTTTACTGTTAGTAAGGGTAGGCTAGGTTTAGACCAGAGTATGGATGATGCTACTTCAGTGAGTCAGGATCATGATATTGCACAAGATATGGACCAGCGTGGAAGTGAGGATGCTTTCTTTAGTCAGGATCACAGCATTAGGTTATGTGGTAGCAATTTGCCTCATTCACATTTGTTGGCACCCAAAGAGAGCAGCATGAATGGTGAGGATCAGAGTGGCATTGTTCTCACAGGTTTGCACCCTAGTAGTTCAGTAAATGTTTTAGGTCACTATGGTTACCAAACAGATGATATTCCTGTGGATAACCTGAATAAGCTTCCCTCAGCTTTAGAATCTTCTGATGCTATGGATGCAGATCAAGTTTCTTCTCAGGTATGCGTTAATCCAGATCACACCAATGACAGTAATACTGAGAATGCTGGGGTTGAGTCAAATGCAAAGCAGGATCTGTTGTCTTCTTGGATTGAAGCCATTGTATCAGAGGCTAAAAAGGAACACCCACCATGCAAGTCCACTCCGCTCACTGTTGGCTTGCCAGATAAGTTATTAGAACCAAAGGACAGCGACAGGAAAACATTACTGGAAACAGTGGTGCCTTCTGCAGTAAAATCTCCTCAGATAAATTTTGCAAGCTCAACACTCCAAAAGGTAGCTCCTAAACAAGTAACATTGCCTAGTTCATCCCGAGAACCCACTCGAGCAAATCAAAATGCAAGGCACAGGACTTGGCATCGTGGCAACATAGCATCTTCTAGTTCATCTTTGCATGCTTCACAGCCTTTAGGATTACCCCCAAAATTACCACCCAAGAAGAATGACAAAGCTCAAAACTCTTATATACGGAAAGGTAATGCTCTTATTAGAAATCCATCAAATGGTAATCATCCTCATTCTTCTACAGGTCACGATACTCAAAATAAGTTGAATAAACCTGTGGTAAGGAGAAGCATGAACTTTGTAAGGAAAGCTGATACGAAAGACTTAGCAAATTCTAACATCTCAGTTGAAAGACCCAAGACCCCTCCTTTACCACTTCACACAAAATCCAGCTGCCCTACAACCCTTTTGGAGCCATTGTCTCAAACTTTGCAGAAACAGCATGGTCATGAAGCTGAAAAGGAGGATCTCACTGGGCAGCCAAAGTCAGGCGTTGATAACTCAAGCATCAAAAGTGCACAAAAATCTGAACCCTCGGATCCTAGTAAAGTGGTTTATGTTAGGCCCAAATCAAACCAACTGGTTGCTGCACAGAGGCAACACCCTATTGATTTAGTCAACAGTCCCACAGATAAGATTCTGTCTCTGCAGGCACCCATAGCATATGATCTCTATTTAAAGAAAAGGAAAAATCAAATTGTTTTGAGTTCCTGCTCCCCTTCTGATGGTCTGAGTACCAAAGAAACGTTACCTGCTGAGAATTCAAATTCAGAAGAGAAGAAAGATCTAATGATTGCATGCTCTATCAGTGGTATCCCTGGGGTAAAGGACAGACCACAAAAAGGTAATCTACTGTACAAACCATTTGTTACTTCTTCTTCCTTTGCAAACTTTACCATCTAATGAAAACCCTAAAATTTCGAAGTTCACTGGAATTTTGTTTTGTAACCATAAACAATAACCACCTTTACACCTTTGGAAAACTTATAATGGTCTTCCATTTATTCAAAGTTCAATCAATGAACAGGAACTATTTCAGTGTAAGGAACTTTATCTAAACTTAAAGATAAAAGGTTAAGAACCATACTCCAAATGTGAGTTAGAGCCTTACAGGTTAATAACCAAATTAGGATAATGTGGTTTTAAACAAGCCATTTGTTTAATATCTTAGCCACACTGAAGCTCTAGACAGGGATCACTATTCTGGTTATGCTTATTAAATGATGGCTTTCCATTTTGCTTATGGTTTCATCATCCCATTTCTTTACCTTTTATGGTGTAGCATATGTTTGTTTACTACTACTATATTATTTTCTTGTGCTATTTGTTTTCGGTTCTGCTAAATTTGTGGCGCCACAATTTTACCTTGATTTCAGTCGATTCTTTGACCCACACGATTGACGCCGAGATTCGTGCTCTTGTACATAACCACCAGAAATACGATAACTTCACCGAGCAGATGTGTTACGTTGGGTACTGCTACATGCTCGTACACAGTTGCACATTGGTCAAAGTAAGAGACCGTACGAATGAGAACACGTAACGAGAGAGGGATAAAATAGTTAGTGTTATATAATTACTTCCTACTTACACTATAATTACATGCTATTTACATATGTAATTTTAGAACTTACATATGTAATTTTGAGACTTACAGTGTAAATACATTAAAATTACATATGTAATTTTAGGGACTTACAATGTAAATACATTCTGACTATTTTTTCATGAAAAATATGGCGCCATATAGATAGATAGTCCCTTTGTTTTTGCCTCTTGATCTGTTACTTTGGAGGGTACAGCATTATGTAAACTGATAATGTAATATTGAAGCAATGCTAATCCCTTCGTACTATATTATATGCATACACTTCTCTCAATGCAGCTCTTCAGACAACAAATAATGTGGGGCGTTTCTCTCATGTGTGGACACTCAATGGGCAACAGCCACAGAGGAAAGGTTTTATGGGCAGTAGTCATATGAATGCCTTCCCACGTATACTTCCATGGAAAAGAAAAATATTCTGCAAGAATTTTAGAAGCAGTCACATGTCGAATGTGAGCTCCATACGAATTGTCAGGTAAATATTTCAGTCTGGTCTTTTCTCTGTACCTATTTCTATTCATTCACTTTATTGAATTTTCTTACTGGCATGTCCTGATCCTCTATAATTTGATAGAAAATTGCTGCAAACAAGGAAGAGAGATATGATTTATACTGTCTCAACTGATGGGTTCTCTCTACGGAAATCTGGTGTGTTAAGTGTTGGTGGATCAAGTTTGAAATGGTCAAGATCCCTTGAGAAGCGTTCTCAAAAGGTCAACAAGGTATTTCACTTCAGTGAAATTTTTGTTCCTAATTTCTTGTTCAGTCATCAACAGAAATGATTCCAGGAGTTCTATAATTCTATTCATCTGATCATGATATCTAGAAGTTTCCAGCTCAGGTTGTGCTGGGTATACACTTGAGTTATTAGAACAACTATACGATTTTAACACTCTTTCACTGGTTAAACTGTAAGCTCTAAAGACAGGGATGTTGCAATGAATGCCCACCTTATGCTGGTGCCTTTTTTTTTTTTAAAAAAAAACAATGCCTATATCTATAGCTTTTGGATCCATCCATCACAATCATATTTTATGATCTGGAGCATATGACCTGAAGAAATTCTGTTATCTGATAAATGATGTCGCCCTGCTAAGACTCATTTGTTTGATACTACATGAGCATCTGAATTTTAAATAGTGTAACCATGGATGGCCTTTTAAAAGACCATATACTAAAAGCTACAGGGTGGAGTGACTGTCCAATTGCTGCATTTAGAACATCAGTATTAATCTATGGTGCTTTTATTCTCATTATTAAACAAAAATCAAATTGCACTCTGGATTGCAGGAAGCTACATTGGCACTCGCTGAAGTTGAAAGAAGGAAAAGGGAGAAACGGAAGCGGCAGTCTCTCCATGATAAGGGAGGTAATGGTAATGTGTTAATTTGTGAATTTGACATGGTTAAACTTTTCTTATTAGTACTGATGAAGAAGATTTAACTAGTTCTCAAGTAAAACTCGCATGCTCCTTCATGTTAAAATTTCAACTTAAGTTCCAACTTACCAAATAAACATTTGAGCTGCTATAGACAGAATTGCATTATGGCATTACTTTATAGAGCACAAGGAACCTGTTTTGTTACTTTAGTTTGAGCACTGTGGCTTATTGATCACCTTTTTAGGTGCTTACCATCGATGAGTTCATATTTCTTGTGGAAACATGTTTCCTTGAATTGCCTTTCTCTGCAAACATATATTTTACTGATTAATCATTTTTTTCATTAGCTTTTCTTTGTTTACGCTCTATGATGTCTTAATTTTGCAGATCATCAATTTGAATCTGTCACTGGCAATCAATTAAGAAACAGCCGCCAATCGTCTTCCGATTTGAGAAAGCCATCGACTTGCAATGAGTATGTTATGAACACGTGTTGAGTATGTTATGAACCCTTTTATCATAGATATTCTAATTTGACTCATTCCCTTGTTTTATGTTTGAAGCAGATATGTGCGCGTTAGCAAAGGTAACCAACTGGTTAGAAATCCGAAGAATGTAATCCGCATGCTAGCAAGTGACAAAGTTCGATGGAGTTTGCACACTGTGAGATCACGCCTAGCAAAGAAACAACAGTACTGCCAATTCTTCACTCGGTTTGGCGAGTGCAAAAAACCCAGGGGCAAATGCCCTTATATTCATGACCGAGCTAAAGTGACTATATGTACTAAATTTCTTAAAGGATTGTGTTCTAATACTAGTTGCAAACTGACTCACAAGGTAAGGTCTTTCTTCTTGATTCTATACTAATCTTGCATTGACATTTTTTTTTCATTTCAAGAGCATGTATTGCAGGTCCTTCCAGAAAGAATGCCAGATTGTTCTTATTTTCTGAGAGGTGATTCATTCCAGTCTAACGTCATTACTTTCTCTTTCTTCTGCAAAAAAATGTCGTGCTTACATTTTGGCATCACATGCAGGACTCTGTACCAACATAGCCTGCCCCTATAGGCATGTGAAAGTGAACTTGAATGCTCCTGTTTGTGAAGACTTCTTAAAAGGATATTGTGCATATGGTGACGAGGTATGTGATGCTATCACTAGATATCTGCTGATCTTTATCAAATTTCCGCTCGCAGAATCACAGAATAACGTAGATGCTTGTTCAGTTTCCTACATTTTAGCTAAAGGAGGAATTCAGCATCAGGTGCACAAAAAACTGTTCAGTGCGATAGGCTGTTCTTATATTCCATCAATCAAATAATAACTCCTTGCGCTTTAAATACTTAGTTGATATAATCCACTGCATGAGATTATAGGAGTTCTTTTTCCTGTAATCTAGGAAGGCATGCATCTGATTGTTCAGTCTACATGGCGTGTCTAGTGTTATTTAGTGTTGATATATATAATTAGATGAAAATGATTTTGCTGGTAGTTTTTTGCCATGTACCCGTTAGCCTTTTGAACTTTGGGGGCTTTCACAAACCTTTGTGTATTCTGAATAAAGATCACTAATCTTTTTCATGATCTTGAAATAATTTCTTTACGAGCAGTGTCATAAAAAGCACAGCTATGTATGTCCTGTCTTCGAGGCAACTGGAGAGTGCCCACAAGGATCTAGATGCAAACTTCATCACCCTAAGAGCAAAGTCAAATCCAAGAGCAGAAGACCAGATTTCTTGCAAAACAGTAGTTGGGGCCGGTATTTTGATGCCAGCATTGACCATCAAGATGAGACAAGGAAAGTTTCTTTAGACGAAGACGAGAGAGAGAAACCTCAACGTGTTTTCACTGATGGGGATTTGGGCTTTATCAGCTTGGATGATGATGCGGATGAAGATGTTACAGCTTTAGATGCGTCAGATGATATACCGCTGATGGAATTGGACTCGGGGGATTTAAGTGTGCAGACTGATAATCTTGATGCACTAATCAAGCCACTTCGGATCATGAGAACAGCAAGAGTTTGATAGCTAATGCAGTTAGAGGGGATATCAGATTTTCAACGCGAAGACTTACCATCTCAACGAACTAATCTAGCCGCTTTGGATCATGGTGACAGCAGGAGTTTGACAGGTTCTTTGATTGACCGAGACAGACCAAACTTGATACAACAGGATAGGTGCAGTGTTCGAGACAACCGTATATATATAGGGAAGGAAAACAAGTTTCGTTTTCTTCATTGTTTTTCTACCCTTATTCGGAAGTTCCATTTTTGTTTGTCATGTACATATAGTTATTTTTCTTATGTTTTAGGTTACCTATATTACATGCCAACATCACACAGAGTTAAGTGTAACGAACAATCATTTACATTGCAGAAGAAAGAAATGGCAATTTATTTAGAATTGCATTGTGCAAGTTTTCATTGTTGTTTTGTCTGATCTATAGTCTGCCGTTGGATCGGATTGAATTATGAAATCCTCGTATTGATGTTTTGATGGAGAAATTCTTGTGTTCGTAGTATTAAAGACTACTTGAAGGCACTATAAGCATTGGAGAATGGAGATGGTCGATGAAAAAAGAACCGAGCGCAAATTTGCGGGCAACAGCAAAGAGTAGAATCTGTCTAACTTCTTTCCAATTTCCATAACAGCAATGAAGCAGCACCGCACATCATAGGAATCACGAAACTTGCTCACTTCTCACAGAAACTTCTAATATGCTCAGAAATAAACAAAGGTAATAAGAAAGACGAGCAGATTTGAATGCGTCCTTCAAATCTGCACTCAGCAAAGGCAACGCAACTAGACTGATCGAAGCTTATCACTAAAAGAAAATTTTAAGAAAACACAAAGCAATTGCAGAGAAAAATACAACCAAAGAAAGAACGGAGGAACATTGGTCTGGACTCTGGAAAGCTTAAGCTCATGCTGGCTGAGATCGAGGGGTTGAGGCAGCTTCTACTTTTGTCAGGGTTACAGATCGCAGTAATTCCAGTGTGCTCGATAATCCAAGAAAATGTGAGAGGATCGTGTTGGCTGAAGCCTGTGCAGGTTTTTTAATAAAAAAAAATGCTCAATTGATGTTCTTGTGATACAGTTATATGATTAATGGAAACTAGGAATAGAATGCCTAGGAGTTAAATAAATAAGGGGCTTGGGGCTGGATGTCATACCTGAACAAGGAAAACATCTAAAGATAGAACAGGGCTCTGGCCAGGAGATATTCCCTGGTAGTACGGCACTGCAGATGTAGTGAGGGCTTTTGCTACCAATGCCCCTACAGTTGCCTGCATACCAAGAATTGCAGCACCCATTCCAAGAACATTGAGCACAATACCATTTTTGAGATTTTTTACCACATCGGCACGTGGAGGAGCCTGGAAAAAGAGCCAGTAATTTTAGTTATGTCTGGAAAGCGTGGAGGAGCCTGGAAAAAGAGCCAGTAATTTTAGTTATGTCTGGAAAGCAGTTTGACATGACTGCTATGGATAATAGAACCAAATGCTATTACTATGTCAGTTTAAATTAAAACACGGCGAACAGTAGTACACCCCTGGGCATAATAATATGATACTACCATTCAATCAGTTTGTTCGGCAATATGATATCAAGATGATTATGGGCAGGTACGAGATGGGATGCCAATATTAGTGGGTGCATGGAAGCATCAGTTTTTGAGCAAAGAGATGATAGCGCAGTGCTATATATATTCTAGGAAATGACAGTACCTTTGCAGGTTTGTTTGCTGTTCTCTTAAGCCTTTGTGAAAGACGGATATAACCAAAAGCCCAAAAGACTGAAATAAATGCCGCAACAATACCAATTGAAGTTGCAAAGAATGTAAAGGGAGATGTTGCATTCCCTGTAGCGACTGCCGAGAATGACAAAATTCCTGCTGAGACAGTTGTGCACACTAACTGAGACCAGAATCCCAGGGTGCCCAAAGTCTTGAAATACTGTGCTGTTTTTTCTAGCCTCTTGCTAACCTGCAAAATAAAGAAATAGAGAGAGGCTAATACTTGAGGGTCATAACATGCTGGTAGATACACTTGTAAGCGAGAATACAAGTGTACGATGCAAACCATTGGGGTAAAGTAAACAGCCTAATAATCTAGAATAAACACTTTGGTTTACAGTTTAAACCAAAGATTATACTGAGAGTAGAATGCCAAACGAGACTCTTAATGCATGGGCACCAGAGAAATTACACAAAAGAACAACTTCAGGAATTATTAATGACCGATAACACAGTTTAACATATTATCAATTTGATCTCACCTACTCCTTTTTAGACGAGTTAAATTCTCATATAACAAAATATGGTGCTAGATCATAGTACAAAAGTGCAGATGGAGTAAATGATAATGCAGACAAGCGACAAATGGAGCGGTGGCTAATAGAACACACAATCCAAATGCTTGAAGTTGGAATGGAGTAACTAATAGATGGTGATAGCAGGAGGTGAAGAAATAAATCCATCCCCAACAATCTCTAGTTTCATTTAACTCACGAAAGGCTCATGGATTTGGCGCAACTTCAAAAAAATAGAGGAACTAAGAAAAGATGGCAATGCCCAATAATGTGTGTATTTTGCGTGCACACTCTTGATGAACTCTACTACTCTCAATTATGAGTGTCCATTTCCCTGATACCGATTTAATCTCTCAGCCAATCGGGGTAAATGGGCGCGCATGAACCTAATTCCCTTTCTTTTCTTGAGAATCAAGAACCTAGATTCCAATAGAGCGCTACTATCAAGAACTCTACACGAATTATGATCCTGTCCGGACAGCAGATATCCTCCCCACCATCACTGCCACTGAGCTGAACAGATGAAATGAAAGAAGCGAGTGGGGCACCTGGGCGAGCATGGCGCGCTCGGCCTCGTCCTCGGCGGGGGAAGGCGCGGGGTCGGGAGGACCGGCCTCAGCCGCCGCCGCCGCAGCAGCAGCAGCAGCCGGGAGGCGCGACGCAGCGCGTCCTCCCCAGCGGCCGGCGGCGAAGGCGTCCACCACACGGAGAGCGGGGGAGCGCGGCGCCGGCGTGAGGATCGAGGTGGCTCGAGGGGGTAGAGACGGCCGCCTCGGAGCGGGGAGGGGCGGCCGTGGCGCCGCCGCCGGGGAGAGCAGGAGCGCCTGCATCCTTGCGTAGGTTTAGGCGGTCTAGAGGTTTCTCTGCTCCGGCGAGGAGGGGCAGCTTCGTACTTCCATGTTTTTCAGGAAGGTGGCATTTGCAAAAAATGATGAAAATAGAGAGAGAGAGAGAGAGAGAGAGAGAGAGAGAGAGAGAGAGAGAGAGAGAGAGTGTAATTTCGTAAAACCCCCAAAATTTGTGAAGCATTTTGTCCCAGAGGTTCTGAAATCAATAGCAATAAACATTTTGCACCGACTGGCGACTGCTTTATTTAGATTCTATGCTATCTAAAAGTGTAATTTTACAAAATTATAGATGTTTTAATCAAACTATTGTAAAACTACATATTTAAGTTGATGTATTACAAAACCACATATTACAAATAAATTATTACAAAATTATAAATTTAGTAACAACATTTACAACTTGAAGATAACGTTAGTGTTAAGAATTTAAACTCTAAGCTTGTAGTTTTGTAATAATATCAATATTAAATATGTAGTTTTATAATAGACTAAATTGTACCCGTGATACGTAAACTTGTGAGGTGGGGTGTAATTTAGTACATAAATAAATCGTTTATTTTGGTACATAAACTTGTATAATGTGTGCAAACCAAAGCCAAAACAACATGTTGTAACTAATTTCACTAAGTTGGACGCTAATTAAGACATTATGTAAGCTTGCATGCCATATTAAATATGTAGTTTTGGGATAAATTTGGTAAAAAAAATATGTAGTTCTATGGTATAATGTAGTATTGCAATACTTTGATCAAAGTAATGTAGTTTTGTGAAATTTACGGCTCCATCGTTTCGCTTATTTGGAGAATAAGCGAAACGGCATATTTGCAAACGAAAAATAATTTATGAACAAAAACTTTTATATACATGTTCTTAGCAACCTAAAAGCAAATACTGAAAAATAAACTTCGATGAAAAAAAATCTTAAAATCAACTCAAATTTAAGGTTGCAAATTCAAATTTTGGTTGATAAGTATAAGTATAAGCGAAAAGATGAGACCATTAATCTATCTATAATAATAATAATAATAATAATAATAATAATAATAATAATAATAATAATAATAATAATAATAATAATAATAATAATAATAGTAATAATAATAATAATAGAATGGTAGAGTACCATATAATTGTCAAAAGCAATACCATAAAAATACAGACAATGCATCAAAATAGGAAAAAAAATAGCCACAATATGTTCTTGTCAATAAAATGCTATATGATCGTTATGAAGTATTTAAATTAGTTACTTCATTAATACTTTGAATATTCGCCACTAGTTGCATATGATGTAAATTTATAATATAAACATGGTTATTTCTTGCTTGTTATTATGATACGGTGTTTTCGATAACCCTATTTTCGATGTTTTGATAGCACTGGCATCGTTTTGTTGGCTCTACCTTTTCAATGATCCACTCTCAGAATAATTTATAGTCTTAAAAATAGTTTGACCATTTCTTTTATTTCTTTTCAAAATATTACAAAAAGGTTATCTAAAATGTACTTTAAAAAAATACAGAGACACGAAGTACTTACTCCCTTCTTCCCTGAATATTTGACACTGTTAACTTTTCTAAACATGTTTGACCATTCGTTTTATTCCAAAACTTTTGTGAAATATATAGAACTATATGTATACATAAAAGTATATTTAACAACGAATCAAATGATAGGAAAAGAATTAATAATTATTTAATTTTTTTTTAATAAGACGAACGGTCAATCATGTAAAAAAAATTAAAAACGTCAAATATTTAGGGAACGAGGGAGTATTTCGCAAAATTTAAAACCAGAGAAATTATTCAAGAAACGAAACTGCAAATAAACTCAGACCCACACAAAAAAAAGTGAGAAGTAGAATCAACCGCCGCCGCTCGTCGCAAGTCACCACACACACCCTCGCCGCGCCGCCGCTCAATTCAGTGATGCAGGCGGCAGCACCCGCGTGGGCTCCGCCCATCGTCTCCTCGGCTTCCGCCGTCTTCGCGCGGCCCCGCCGTGGCGCGCGCGCCGGCGCCGGCGCCGTCCGGTGCGAGCTCGCCGCCTCCGCGCCATCGTCGGCCGCCGGCTCGTTGGCCCCACGCTGGGCCCAGAGGACCGTCGTCATCCCGCCGCAGCGCCGCGGCTGCCACCTCATCACCCCCAAGGTGCCTCCGCCTCTCCACCCCTGCGTCCCCCACCCACAAGTTTTGGGTTCTACAATGGTGTGATTGCGAAGATTGGTGCTAATTGCTATCCTCTTGTTGTTTCTTGGCCGTTGCAGATTGTGAACGGGATAAGAGACGACCTCTCCGAGTTCAAGTGCGGCATGGCACATCTGTTCTGTATGTATATATATGCAGACACTCACCCGATGCAATTTGTGTTATTGTTTTCTTGTTCTTGTTTGGTGATGAACTGATGGTATAGAATATTGCAATTTTGCAAAGGGAAATTTGCGGAAATATTGATCTGGCGCATCATGTTTATCTGACCAATTATCTATATACATGATTGTCCTGCCAAAATGGATATCAAAGAGATGTTCTAATGATTATTTAGCTGTGCGTTGAATTTGCATTTGTTACATAGGAGAGAGTCAACATAGAATCAATTTGAAGAGTTCGTTGGTACTTGGCATCCTTGTCCTCTCAGTACAACAGATTGGGGAAGGAGAACATATTCATTCATGTGTGTAATTGTGATCTTGGTAGTATGAGGAGGTGTGCGTGTAGTGTAAAAGATAAGAATGGATGTCCCATTTACTACTTATTTAGATTTGTAATTACATATATTCCAGGTTAATGAGGACAGAAAGCTCCTCTGTTTTGTTTCAAGAGAGTATAAACCAAAAACTCCAAACATATATCAGGAAAACTTTACAGTGTCATTGGCTAATTTTTAGCCAAGGAATATAATATGGGGTGTCTAGTTAGTATGCTTTTAGTGCTCAATTTCTATTGTTTATAGTATTTATTAAATGGTTAATTCGTTATGCCCTACAGTGCAGCACACCAGTGCTTCGTTGACTATCAATGAGAACTATGACTCCGATGTCCAGTTTGACACTGAAACATTTCTTAGTCGCATTGTCCCAGAGGTTAATGACTCAAAAATTTATTATTTGTTTCTATTCAAGTGGTTCTAATTGATATGACTGATTGATCATTTTATTTATTGTGATCAGGGTCCATCTGCTCCATGGAGGCACACCATAGAAGGTTGGTTGTCTGAAACTGTGAAGCCTCATAAGACTGGCATATGGTGTTTTCTATTACAACATTTGTGTTTAGTTAATAATATATACTGCTTAGCACTTTAGAGTGCATAGTTCCTTTTTTTTTTGAAAAAAAAAATTCTACTTCACTTCCCTAACATTTTATCAGAGCATTTGACCACCAAACTTCTCTTTGGCTCACTATGCCTCTGAAATACCATTGGACACTTTACTCCCCAATGGCATTTCTCTTTTGTTTATCCTTATACAAGTTGTGTTTTGAATTGAAATTTTGTGGGGTAGCAGATGATACCATACCTCATGTCTAGAAATATTTTAAAAAATTTCATGACTGTATGCATTTTCATATGTAAGGATTAAAAATTGGTCGTAGGTTCCCTCATTAATAGTCGTGTTCTGATTGCAGGGCCAGACGACATGCCAGCACATATTAAATCGTCGATGTTTGGTTGTGCCCTGACGTATGTGCTCCCTTTTCCCTTGCGCCCATAATTTGTTGTTGCGTCCCCAAAATATTTGTAACATCTTTTTCATTGCATCAGGATTCCTATCACTGATGGGCGTCTCAACATGGGAACTTGGCAGGTGCTGGAAAATATTTACCCCTTTAACTACAGAGCATCTCTTTAGTTTCCAGTTTATTTAACACTATAGGTCAAACATCTTAGTTTCCAGTTTCCACTATTTCTATTTAAGGCTCTATTTCTAGTTGAACCTGATTGAAATTCCGCAGAGCCTCTAGTTTCCAGATAAAGAATACAGTACAGTTCTAGTTATTAACCGCGACATAACCTGTCAGTCGTATGCTGAATTTGTTGGTCAACCTCATACTAGAGTAGTCAATAGCCTGCATTTTTTTTAACTGCGACATAACCTGCAATTTTTTTTACCTCATATTTAGACATTTTATTCTTTTCAGGGTATATGGCTCTGTGAACATCGAGACTACGCTACTCCTCGCCAGATTGTGATTACTCTCAATGGGATCTAAAAGGTCCATGACAATAGATATTAATAGCTGTAAATGCAATATGACCATCTAGACATCTAGATCATATGCATTGAAACTGAAACTGAAACCTTTTCACTCATTTGTGATATGAATTACAGTGGTGAATATATTTTGCAATCTTGTATCTGCGTGTGAACTAGTTTGGATGATTGTGTTATGTATTTCTGCCTGGATCAGTGGGTGTATATGCATTTCACTGTTTGAAAATAAGGCTTCACCTCAGAAAATTGTCACTGTTTGAAAATGGAGTAATACTATGTTTCAGCGAAAATAAGTCTTCATCTCAGTATTTTGTCTTTCAGCGAAAATAAGTCTTCATCTCAGTAATTTGTCATTGTTTGAAAAACGGAGAAATCTGTTATAGAGAATAAAGTCCTCACCTCAGCAATTTATCACTGTTTGAAACTTGAATGACAGAAAATAGGTTAATAAAAACTCTACATAAATTCTGTACTATAGCTTACAAAATTTTACGTGAATTTTCTTCCAATGCACTTTGATTTTCAGTAAATCACTTTTACGAATTACCCCCTCACTTATCCCTCCCTTCCAATCTACCCCCTCCATCACGTGCTCCTCTCCAACTCCGGCGACTCCCGCTCGTCTCCGGCGATGGCCGGCCGCCTCCCCGCCGCCGCCGCGCCATCCTCCAAACTGACAGGAACTGAAAATATTCAGTTTGGGAATGCTGAAACTGAATGTCTAAAGAAATGAGAGGAGAAGCAGTGAAGAAGGAAGTGGACGGCTCAGATCATCGCTTAACAATTCGCAAGGAAAGTGATGTGAATCCAACGGTGCACATCATTACTAGTAGTAGCTGTAGCTATCAGGCACCGTACTGTGCACGTCATCCATTTGTCTATTTGTGTTGGCGTTGGGTTAAAAGCTGAGTTGAAGCTCTGAATTTGTATCACAAACTTGAACCCTAATATTATCCTTAAGTCTTGCGGCGCCCAGTTCTTTTGTTCTTCCTATTCTGCATTTACTTTTCTTGTTATTCCCATTAGGTTAGCCACTGAGCCAAATCTTCTCTGAAATCACTGAAGTTTGAGGACTAAATCTGGCCGGTCCTTGACAAATTGGTATCAGAGCAATTCGATTCTTGGCCAGCTCCCAGATCTGAGTGGTTCTAAGCTGGTGAGAGTTTGAGAGACAAGTACTCTCTGTAAAATTCCGGAGCCAGGCTGGGAAACTCGATTTGGGGGCAGATCTGAGAGCAGAGCAGGAAAGGTTGGAGAAGACTTTGTTTTTTCTCTGTAAAATCCCCAACTTGCTGCTGTTCGAAAATGGGAAGGGGAAAAAATCTTGAAACTGTTTTGGAGGAGCAAGAACCGGCGTGGGCAGGAGAAGTAGGAGAGCTGAGGCAAACTATGGCTGAGTTGCAAGAGAAGATCGAGGAAGAGAACAAGGCCATCCATGAGCAGATCCAGAACCAAGCTGTACAAGCTCAGATCCATCGCGATGAGATGATGCAGTCACTGAAGGCTATTCAGGAGATGCTGAGCTCAACAGCGAGCTGTTCAGGGAAGGAAGCCAAGGAGAAGATCGACGCTGTGAGAACACCGGGGACTGCTCAATCTGCAACCCAAACAGCCCACAAAATTGAAGGTATGAGTATGTTCCCTTCCACCCCAGGAGCTGTAGATCTGAGAGGAGTTTCTTGTTCCATGTCGCAACCAGAATCATTCACTGCAGTTGTCACTCCTAGCATTGGTAGTCATATCCCTCAGATGAATCCACCAATGAATCCACCAATTTTCTTTGTACCTGAGATTAATGCATCAGTATTCTTTCCAACCCAAACAATCCCACCACAAAATAGCTTTGGAACTCAATACTTCCACCCCAATGCCCACATGATGAACTACCACACTTCCCCATACTACTATCCACAGTACCCCCAATTTCATCATCCTTGGATGTTTCCCCACCAAGAGCCACCAACACAAACAGAAAATCAGCCACCACCAAATAGACAAGAGGTACGGGTAATGTAGTGAATGAGCAACATGGGCATAGGGGAAGGAATCAATATGCAGAAGAGGTGAAGAAAGGCCCTAAGAAGTTCAATTTTCCTGAGTTTAATGGAGAGCACCCTGAGGCATGGATCAGGAAGGCAAACAAGTATTTTTCCTTGACCAAGACTCCTGAAGAAGAGAAGGTATTGGTGGCTGAGGTCTATATCACTGGCAAGGCTGATCAGTGGATAGACAGTTATGATATTCCCACGGAAACTCTGACTTGGCCTGAATTTTGTACAATGGTTTGTAAAAGATTTGCTGCAAAATCTAAAGTGGAGATCACTGATACCTTTAGAAACTTGAAGCAATATAGTTCTGTGGAGACTTACATAGACAAATTTGAGGAAATCATGCCCCTTGTCAAGAGAAACAACCCAAACCTCAATGAAGAGTACTTTCTGGACTATTTCATCTCAGGGCTGAAGGAACACATCAAAAGACCACTGAAGTCGATGGGGATTCACTCTCTAGTTCAGGCTTATGAGCATGCAAGGAACTATGATAGTGGTCCTCAAACAAACAGGGGTGGTAGTGGCTTCCACAGGAATGAGAAAAAGAATGATTGGGCTAGTACCAGTAAAATGGAAGTTAAGGGGAAGGAAGAGAAAAGTGAAACAGGGGGAAGGTGAAATGGAGTGGCAAATGCTTTAGATGGGCATGGAAAGGTGTGTAAAGCCAACAAACAAATATATTTGGTGGCTATGGAAGAAGAAGATGGGGGAGAAGAGGAAGAAGAGGAGTATGAATCACCTGAAGGAGAGGTAGAGTATACTACACCACCTGACAGCCCAAAAGGGAAGAACAAAAATAGGGGGGAACCAGAAATAGCAATGCATGCCATTAGCAATGGAGAGAAGGGAGCCACAACTCTAACCTTGAAGGTGAGGATGGGGCAGGTAACAGCTTCTGCTTTAGTAGACAGTGGTAGTACTACAACCTTCATATCACCTGCACTAGTGAGAAGAGCCAAACTGGAGATCAAAAATTGTGAGTCAATCCCAGTTAGGGTTGCAAATAGGGAATTTCTATATACTGGGGCACAATGCCATCAGCAAGTATATTCAATCCAAGGGGAACAATTTGTGACAACTTTCAGAGTTTTGGAGATGAAGGGATATGATATTATTTTTGGCTGTGACTGGATTCGCCAGTACAGTCCTGTTTCTCTCAATTTGAAAACAAAAGAGATGACAGTGAACAAAGGGGGAAGTGTAGTGGTGCTTTCGGATGTGACAGTGCCAGCAAGAAACTTCATGATTAGTATGCATAAAATGGAGAAGTGGATCGATCAGGGAATGGCCGGTGCAGTGTTATACATGAAATCAGTCCAGAAGGAGAAGGAAGGTCATGGGACTCTTGAATCAATTGAGAAAGTATTGGCAAATTTTGAGGATGTTTTTGAGGAGCCAAAAATGTTGCCTCCCACTAGAGACTGTGATCATACCATACCCCTAGTTCCTGGAGCTAAGCCTGTTAATGTGAGGCCTTACCGGTTGCCACACAACCAAAAGAATGCTATGGAGGAGTTAGTTAAGCAATTGATCAGTTCTAACACCATCAAGCCAAGTATGAGTCCATACTCTTCCCCGGCTATTTTGGTTAAGAAAAAGGATGGGTCTTGGAGGATGTGTATTGATTATAGGCAGCTAAACTCCAACACCATCAAGAATAAGTACCCTATTCCAGTTATAGAAGACTTACTTGACGAGCTCCATGGTTCGAAGTACTTTTCAAAGATTGATTTGAGGTCGGGGTATCACCAGATCCGGATGGATGTGAAGGATGTACCTAAGACATCATTCAGTACACATATGGGTCACTTTGAGTTTGTTGTTATGCCCTTCGGCCTAACTAATGCTCCTGCTACGTTCCAAGTCTTGATGAACAGAATTTTGGCAGAACATCTGAGAAAGTTTGTATTAGTGTTCTTCGATGATATTCTCATATACAGCAAGACTTTGCAAGAACATGTTGAACATGTGAGCAAAGCTATGGAAATATTAAGGACAAATCAACTCTTTGCCAAACGAAGTAAATGTGTATTTGGGCAAAGACAGGTGGAATACTTGGGGTATGTCATAAGTGATGCAGGAGTAGCCACAGACCCTGAAAAGATTCGGGCTGTGAGAGAATGGCCAACACCAACCAATATAACTGAGTTGAGGGGATTCTTGGGACTAGCAGGATATTACAGGAGATTCATACAGAACTTTGGGGTTATTTGCAGACCCATGTTTGATTCTCTTAAGAAGATGGGATTCAAATGGGAAGAAAAACAGCAACAATCTTTTGATGAAATCAAGAGTAGATTGGCACAAGCTCCTGTACTAGCCTTACTTGATTTTACTCAACCATTTATACTGGAGGCTGATGCTAGTGGAAGTGGAATTGGTGCTGTGTTGATGCAGGGGGGCAGACCGATTGCTTACATAAGCAAGGCAATTGGACCTAGAGCAGCTGGATATTCAACCTATGACAAGGAAGCTCTAGCTATTTTGGAGGCCCTTAAGAAATGGAAGCACTACTTCATGGGGACATCAGTGATTATCAGGACTGATCAAGCTTCCCTCAGGTACATTAATGAATAGAGAATTACTGAAGGAGTACAATATAAGCTGTTGGTTAAATTGTTGGGCTACGATTATAAGATTGAGTACAAGAAGGGAAAGGAGAATAGAGCTGCTGATGCTTTATCTAGAAAGCCTCAAGTAGAGCAATTGCAAGTAGTCACATTGGTGATACCCAAATGGGTGCAGGAGGTAATAGAAAGCTACAAAGGAGATGAAAAGTGCCTAGTGCTGGAAGCAAAACTAAGAATAGATGGTCAGGCCCAACCACCCTACTCCCTGAGTGGAGGAATTTTGAGGTATAAAGACAGAATTGTGATTGGGAGTGGGGGAACTTTGAGAGAACAACTTAAGAAATCGTTCCATGATTCAGCCTTGGGAGGACATTCAGGTGAAAGGGGAACATACCAGAGGGTAAAACTGTTGTTCTATTGGCCCAAAATGAAGGAGGATATCAAACAGTATGTTAAGATGTGTGCAGTCCGTCAAAAGAACAAGGGTGAGAATCAGTTGAGTCCAAGGCTCCTGCAACCACTCCCTATACCAGATATGGCATGGACTCATATTTCCATGGATTTTGTCGAGGGGCTGTCTAAATCTGAAGGAAAGGATGTAATCTGGGTGATTGTAGATCGATTGACTAAGTATGCACACTTCATTGCTTTAAGCCACCCATTCACAGCTGAACAAATCCTGGAGAAATTCAAAGACAATTTTTATAAACATCATAGGCTGCCTATTGTGATTGGAAGTGATAGAGACAGAATATTCACTAGCCAAGTGTAGAAGGATGTGTTCAAACAGGCAGGAGTGAGACTGCATTTCAGTAGTGCGTATCATCCTCAAACGGATGGGCAAACGGAGAGAGTGAATCAGTGTCTGGAGAATTATCTAAGGTGTATGACGTCTATCAGACCGAAGAAATGGTATTCCTTACAATCACACGCTGAATGGTGGTATAATACAAACTTTCACACTTCTTTGGGGATGTCTCCATACCAGGCATTACATGGGGTTAAGCCTCCTTTGGTTGCTGAACACATGTTGCCATCATCATTGGTGGAAGGGGCAAGGAACAGGGAGCAGGCTAAGGCTGCAATCTTTGAAGCGGTTAAATCTAATCTTGAAAAGGCTCAGGCAAGAATGAAGTATTTTGCAGACAGGAGAAGGAGTGAGAGAACACTAGAAGTTGGGGACATGGCTTATTTGAAAATGCAACCGTACCGGCATAATTCATTGGGATTGCACGGTTCCCTGAAGCTACATTCCAAGTATTATGGACCATTTCGTGTGACTGAGAAGGTGGGGGCAGTAGCATATAGATTGTTACTACAAGAAGGAAGTCTCATTCATCCGGTGTTCCATGTTAGCCAGCTAAAGAAGCACCTTGGGCCCAAGGCAGTACCTGAAACAGCCTTGCCTCTCATTGACGCTGAAGGGAATGTACTAACAGAACCTGTTGCTGTTTTGGAAAGGAGGATGATTCCACGCAACAATGAGCCGGTTGTGCAATGGAAGGTTCATTGGGCAAACTTACCAGCAGAAGCAGCCACCTGGGAGGATGCATCTTTCATTGCCAAGGTTTTTCCAGCTTTCAAACCATGAGAACATGGGACTCAAGGGGGGAGGATTGACAGGAACTGAAAATATTCAGTTTGAGAATGCTGAAACTAAATGTCTGAAGAAATAAGAGGAGAAGCAGTGAAGAAGGAAGTGGACGGCTCAGATCATCGCTTAACGATTCGCAAGGAAAGTGATGTGAATCCAACGGTGCACATCATTACTAGTAGTAGCTGTAGCTATCAGGCACCGTACTGTGCACGTCATCCATTTGTCTGTTTGTGTTGGCGTTGGGTTAAAAGCTGAGTTGAAGCTCTGAATCTGTATCACAAACTTGAACCCTAATATTATCCTTAAGTCTTGCGGCACCCAGTTCTTTTGTTCTTCCTATTCTGCATTTACTTTTCTTGTTATTCCTATTAGGTTAGCCACTGAGCCAAATCTTCTCTGAAATCACTGAAGTTTGAGGACTGAATCTGGCCGGTCCTTGACACAAACTCCCACGAGCACTCCACTTACTCTCCGCCCTGGCCCTCTTCTTGGTCTCCTTCCTCTCCCTCCGCTCGCTCCGCCCCACCGCCGCCCCCTCCCTCTCCGATGCCCAATCATTCTCCCCTAATCCCGCCGCCGCCGCGTCGGAGGTGTACCACTCGCCGGCGGTGTTCTCGGCGGGGTACGCGGAGATGGAGAGGAGCTTCAGGGTGTTCGTCTACCCCGACGGCGACCCCGGCACGTTCTACCAGACGCCGCGGAAGCTGACCGGCAAGTACGCCAGCGAGGGCTACTTCTTCCAGAACATTCGCGAGAGCCGCTTCCGCACCGACGACCTCGAGAAGGCGCACCTCTTCTTCGTCCCCATTTCGCCCCACAAGATGCGCGGCAAGGTCCCCAGTTCTTTGCTACTCGTTACATATGCGTGGTTAATCTTGCATATTCGATCATATGATCGATCTATTTTGTTTCTTGATTTGTACTGGTGGTGTCCGCTTTGTTCATCATTTCGTGGTAAGCATGACAATTCGAGCAACGGATCAAGCGGACCTGTAATACTGGTAGTCTGGCACTACATTTTCAATTTGTGCAAACTCACTGAAGTATGAATGGATCATTTTTGAATTAGACAAGAAATAGAATCTCATTATTGAAAAACTTTAAAGTGTTCCATTTGATTTCTGGTATTTAGCAAATTAATGGTGGATTCTTGGATTAAGTTGTTAAAATTTTTGTTCTTCTTTGGTAGTTTGATGCAATTATTTCGGCTTTGGTGCTGTGATATTATGTATTTCCTACTACTTTGATGTTACAATCTGTTAGTTAAATTAAGCTTGCATGTTTATTTCCTTTCCAATGTTGGGGCACTTTTGTTAAAGCAATTTGGCATCGTTAATATATGCGCCATCTTTAGCTTTGCAGGGTACTTCTTATGAGAATATGACAATAATAGTTCAGAATTATGTTGAGAGCTTGATAAACAAGTACCCTTACTGGAACAGGACACTGGGGGGTGGGGGCTGACCATTTTTTCGTTACATGCCATGATGTTGGTGTTAGAGCATTCGAAGGGCTTCCCTTTATCATTAAGAACTCTATCAGAGTGGTATGTTCACCGAGCTATAATGCTGGCTATATCCCGCACAAGGATGTCGCTCTTCCACAAATATTGCAGCCATTTGCTCTTCCTGCAGGAGGAAATGACATTGAGAACAGGTCGAAATGAGACTTTCTAATTTCTGAAAATGCATTATAGTTTTGAACAAGATGCTGAAAATGCCCTTGGTGTTTTTTTTTTAAAAAAATGGAAACAGGACAATACTTGGTTTTTGGGCTGGCCATCGCAATTCCAAAATAAGAGTTATTTTAGCACGAATCTGGGAGAATGATACTGAGCTTGCTATCAGCAACAACCGGATTAACAGAGCTATCGGAAATTTAGTTTACCAGAAGCATTTCTTTCGGACCAAGTTTTGCGTATGCCCTGGTGGTTCTCAAGTTAATAGTGCTCGTATCTCTGATTCCATACACTATGGTTGTATGCCAGGTTAGTGCTTCTACAAGATTTTCATTCGACCAATCTCTCCCCACCCCCCCACCCCCCCTTTACTAGGGAATTATGCTTTTGAGGAATCTCCCAGATGTTATTTCTAATTTTTCTGTTTTCATCCTTCCAGTTATTTTGTCAGACTATTATGACCTACGTTTCAGTGGTATCCTTAACTGGAGAAAATTCGCTGTTGTCCTGAAGGAGAGCGATGTTTATGAGCTAAAGAGTATCTTGAAGTCTTTATCACAGAAAGAATTTGTTTCATTACACAAGTCGCTAGTTCAGGTTGGTTCGTTATTTTTGAGTAGCAGACATGAGCCATGACATCAGCAGTCAGTTGTGTGTTTAAATAAAGCCAGTAGTATCAGGAATGGCCATGTTCTTTGTCTCAGATTCTATCTTGTTCTTGTTGTCCTGTTGACTAGAGAATATTTCATTATTCTAACGTGTGTTGATCTAATAATAAGCATTAATTAGGAGCACTCACTGTGTTTATGCTTTGAGTTGAGAGATATTAATGCTGATATATCACTGAAATATCTCTCGGATTGCAGGTTCAGAAACACTTCGAGTGGCATTCACCTCCTGTTCCGTACGACGCATTTCACATGATTATGTATGAATTGTGGCTGCGGCATCATGTGATCAAGTACTAATCCAAGGACATCACCTGATGATTTCCAACCAAACTCACTGATCAACTGACAAGGCGATGTCATGCTTGACCACTATGGTGGTGCATCTGATTTTTATTTCTTTAAATCAGAAACCTATGCAGTGCAGTTGAATCCTGAACTGATTGCATAGCTTATGATAACAGAGACAGATGTTTACTGAACCTCAAAGAATATCTGCATCAAACAAATAGGTCAGTGTTGAGCCAGATTTCTACCTTGTATATAATTCTCCTTTTTTTTTCTGGTGCAGATCTGCTTAAAGCTTTGTTCATGCAAATTTTTTTTCTTGTAAACAGTGCATGATAATGTTGGTTGTACAGTAGAGATCTGAAAGCTGGATTTTGCTCTGACAGAAGTTATGATAATCCTTTATCCAATCAGTTCTTCAGACCTCCCATCTTCATTTGTTCTGTTTGCACCCTACTGTCGGATCTATCTAGGTTAACATAACTCACAGCTGTATTAACTTCATCTGGAATATATGTTTCTCTTGACTTATTAATGAACTTCTTTGAGCACCCATAGCCATGGTCAACATTGCCATTTGTGTTCCCACACCAGTATCTGTCATCCATGTGCCCATAAGCAGTGTAGTTGAAGCATGCTCCTGCACTATCACTGTACTGTACTACTGCTTGTATTCTGATCCTCTGGGACCAAAAAAAAAAAGAGAAAAAAAATCCATATGCTGACTTTGCTTAGCAGCTTTCGTTCTCAACTTTGATTGCATATTACCATATTCCTTCGTGTCAGATCTGAATGCGGTTTAGAGGGAAGCGCCGTGATCAAGCCTTCACTTACGTCTTAATCAGTCTCCGTTTGATATTAGCTACTTGTGCAGCTGCCAACTAACATACTACTGGATATGTTCAAAATTTGGTTTATATCTTATTGAAATGCCGTACAGAGCCTTATTTTAAGAACAAGCTGTTAAGGTACGGTATGTTGATTTGTCCATCATTTCCAAGCATCTACTCCCTCCGTCCCCTAATATAAGAAATTTTGATATTTTGCTTATAGTGTTTAACCATTCATCTTATTCAAAAAAAAAAATAGAATTATTATTTATTTTATTTGTGACTTACTTTATTATCCAAAGTACTTTAAGCATAACTTTTCGTTTTTTATATTTTCACAAATTTTTTGAATAAGACGAGTGGTTAAACAGTACAAGCAAAATGTCAAAATCCGTTATATTATGAACGGAGGGAGTATTATATTCTAGGTCTTCATTGGAACACTGAAATTGTTTGTGAACATCGCGTGATTTTCATAGGAGTAGTAGGTTTGATTTCTGCATGCTTTGAAATGACGTTCCAAAGGAGATTTCAGGGGGAAGTATACAGAATACAGTGAAAACCACACCTTTTTTTTAAGAAAACTTGGAAACTTTTGTATAGAAGTTCTTTTTTAGAAAAAAGCACACATAGCAAAGGTTTAAATAGACAACCATGCAAAGTTGTAAGAACGAACCTAGCTTTGTTTGTGAGATATAAAATTAACAAATCATAAAGAAAAAGGTTATTGTTATTGTTAGTTTTTCTTTTCCTCTGTTGCTTCTAAATTTCATATATGACAAATAAAGTTGAGTTTATTGGAACTTTGAAAGATTGTCTGATATTATCTTAGCTATATGTGGAATCCTTTTTTTTCAACTTTTTTGCGTGGTTTCCATGTTTTTCATCATGTATTTACCCGGTTTTTGGATAAAAGGAAGACATTGACATAAGAATGGACATTGGACAAGATAGATAAACATGTCCTTCTAACATGGGTAAAAGTGTGCGGTTTTCACGGTTATCAACTTTCTCAGTTTTTAAAACCACGGTAAACCTTGCGGTAACCGTCAAACCGTGGAATGGTGGTAACTCCAATGGTTATTAACCACCTTCAGTAGTTGTATCATGCAGCCATTCGAAATGCTCGAACTGTGTAATAACCTCTCAAAACCGATCCATTTCCGACGAAATTTCTGAAAACTGTTTACTACGTCCCGTATACGGCTGGTCCGTTTGGGACAAGGAAAAGAAACCCAACTTGTTCTTGGCACACAGACACCAATACTCACATGCAAATAGGAGGCCAGCAACGACATATACCCTGCAATGCAACCCGGCAGACACGGCTGCCTGTTTATGTGCTCGAAACGCCAAAATCCTGCATCATCTTCCACGGCTCTCCAACCCCAAAAAATTCAGTCTCATTCCTTTCCTTCCCGTGGTCCATCTTGCCAGCCGTGGAAGCATCAGCAATGAGCTCGCATTCCCATGCATGGTCTGGTCGCTGAGATGAAGATGAAGACGGCACCACATTTTGCCGGGAAGCCGACCGGCTGACAACGCCGTGCAGCCACTGCAATTCGCTACTACGGAATTCAGTCTGAAACTCTGAACAAATTTCAGAGAGAGAGAGGCAATTCGCTACTCTGAAACTCTGAACAAAATTTCAGAGGGAGAGAGAGGGGATGCGATTGCAAGTTTGCAATGCAAGGGTTGTAACAATCACATTACAAATCAGAGGCAACAGATTACAAGATCACTACTAGATCAGCACTCCATCAGCTAAGGTCTTTTTTCTCTCTCGCGAGGTTAATCACAGGGATCAAAATTAGTGACACAAATCTACACACTCCTAACACACAAAGATCTCGTCCTCTTTTTTCCTTCTTTTTTGGGGGTGGTTGTTGTTGTTTGGACCATCCAGCCTCCTTGATAATTGTCGTCATTGGCATTCAATTCACTGGATCAAGGAATGGCAGCGGCGGCGGTGGTGGTGGTGGTGGTTGAGGCAGATGAAGACGAACAAGGTATTCGATCGAGGACCAGCACGGCGTCCCTCATGGCGGGCCTCTTGCCGGGCGCCATGGCGCAGCAGGCGAAGGCGAGCTTGAAGCAGGCGAGCAGGGCGTCCTCCCTGCCGTCGGCCTCGCCGCGGAGCGTCGGGTCGGCCATGCGGAGCAGCCGGCTCCGCTCCTCGACGACGAACCCGGCGTGCCACTGGCAGAGCTCCACCTCCGAGTAGACCCTCCCGGAGAGGAGCTCCAGGAGCACCATGCCGAAGGAGTAGACGTCCCACTTGGTGTTCGGCCTGAGGTTCTTGAGGCACTCCGGCGCCTGGTACGGCGGCGGCGCGGCCGCGGCTGCGGCCGACGTCGCCGCAGACGACGACCCGCATGGGCTGGCGCCGGCGCCGGGCATCTGGGACAGGTCGGGCAGGCTGCTCGTCGAGTGCATCGAGCGCTTGCTCCCGAACAGCCTCGCCGACGCGCCCGTGCTCCGGTGCACGGCCTCGCCGGAGAGCAGCCGGTCCAGGCCGAAGTCGCCGATCCACGGCTCCATGTCGGCGCCGAGCAGGATGTTGCTCGGCTTCACGTTGCCGTGCACCCCCTTCTTCTCGTGGATGAACGCCAGCCCGCGCGCCACGCCGCGCGCGATCCGCAGCCGCGCCTCCAAGCTCAGCTGCAGCGGCGACGACGCCCCGAACCGCCCTGCAAATCGCCCATCATCTTTCCATTAAAATTTCTAATCTCTACACCTCAGTTTTTGCTTAGTTTGCAAGTGAATTTAGTGCTTATAAAGTTGGTCTACTGTTCCTGCATAATCAATGCCAAATTACGAGCTATCTATCATTACCATTTGCCAGTACGATTAAGCTCTCAAGTACAGCACTGTAACTAAAGCTTAAAGGTGACATTATACCGTTGGAACCAGTTTGATCTTGCTTAACACTGTCACCCGTACGCTATCTGCTCAAATCAAATCCAGCTACGGATACATGACTACGAGTACAACTAATTGACCAAAAATTGCAATGTTTCGCAGATAATGAAATGGAAATTTTAAGCGAAATTGGAAGCGTTTGCTTACTGCTGAAGGCGATGTTGGCGAGGCTGCCATTGGTGGCGTAGTCATGGATGAGGAGCTTCTCGTCGGCGCCCCAGTAGAAGCCGCGGAGGCGGAGGATGTTCGGGTGGCGGAAGCGCGCCACGGCGCGGACCTGCGCCTCGAAGTCCTTGAGCTTGTCGGCGCCGCCGCTCTCGCCGATGCGGCGGACGGCGAGCGCCGTGCCGTCGGCGAGCACGGCCTTGTACACGATGCTCGACCCGGTGGCGCCGAGGATGTAGGCCGACGCCTTCAGCAGCGTCTCCATCTCCAGCTCGCCGTCGCCGTCGACGGTGACCAGCGTCGCCGGCGCCGGCGGCGCCGCCGCCGCCTGATGATGAGGGTGGTCGTGCTTCTTGCTGTGATGCTGCGGCGTGCTCCGGCCGATGAAGCTCATGCTCCGCTTCTTGAGGTCGCCGTCGTCGTCGTCGTCGGAGGTCTCCGCCCCCGACGACGCCGAGCAGTCGGAGCTCTCGTCCGAGCTGTCGTTCTTGCGGCCAATGCAGCAGCCTGTGGACGTCGACGCCTTCTCTTCTCTGGCTCCGGCGATGTCGAGCGTCTTGACGTCGCCGATTGCTCGGTTGCTCTTGTGCTGCAGCGGCGAATCCTGCTGCTGCTGATGATGATGGTGCCGCCGCTGCCGCCTCTTCTTCCTGATGTGGTAGATGTACAGGAACAGCATGAAGAGGAGCCCGACGCCGGCGAGGTCGCCGGCGACGATGGCGAGGATCGCCGCGGGGCGGAGCTTCTCCTGCCCGCGCGGCGCCTGCGCCTGGGCTCCCGGAGATGGGCGGGTCGGGTTCTTGGGGATGGCCGCGAACGCCGGCGGCGAGTCGGTGGCGTTCGGCGGGTTCGACAGCGACGACGGGATCGAGCACATCTTCTTCAGCGGCGGCCCGCACAGCTCCGGGTTGCCCTCGTACGCCGCCGCCGGCTGCACGGCGAACGGGCCGGCCTGCGGCACCGTGCCGGTGAAGTTGTTGTGCGACAGATCGACCGTCGAGTTCGCCGGCACGACGGCGGACAGCTCGGTGGGTAGCGCGCCGGTGAGCTTGTTCGACGAGATGTTCAGGAATCGTAGCCGGCTCCCGCCGAAGTCGGACGGGAGGGAGCCATTGAAGTAGTTGGCGCTCAAGTCGACGACCTCCAAGGCGGCGAGCCCGCCGATGGGGAGCTCGCCGGCGAGGTAGTTGTTGGCGAGGCCAAGCACGGCGAGGCTCGGGAGCCTGCAGAGAGCGGGCGGAAGGCGCCCGGCGAGCGCGTTGTTCGACAGGTTGAGCTCCTGGAGGCTGCGCGAGTAGGGCACGGAGCCGCCGTCGGGGAGCACGCCGGAGATGTCATTGTCGGCGAGCGAGAGCACCCGGAGCTCGGTCGCGTTGAGCAGCGTCGGCGGCAAGCTGCCGTTGAGGCTGTTCCCGGAGAGGTCGAGGTGGCGGAGGTGCTCGACGCGGCCCAGCTCGGGCGGCAGCGACCCGGACAGCTGCGCGTTGGGCAGCACGAGGCTGATGACCCGCGACACCGTCGCCGCCGCCGCCAGCGACGCGTTGACGCCGAGCCCGGCCGCCGCCGCCGCCGTGCCGTTCGACGGCACGGGGACAGCGGCGCTCGAGTTGCCCCCCTCCGCCGCCGCCACCCCGGTGACATTGGCCGTCCACGCCGCCGCGGCGTCGGCCTGCGGGAAGCCGTTGCAGACGACGCCGTTCCACGCGCACGGCGACTCGTCGGCGTACCCCCACCCGGCGAGCGCGCCGAGCGGGTCGGCGGTGACCGCGTACTTGAACGACAGCAGCAGCACCCCGTCCGCGTTCAGCCCGCACGCGCCACGGCACATCACCACCAAAACCCAAAACACCACCACCCACCTCCCCTCCATCGCCGCCGCCGCCGCTGTTACCTCTACTCAGCCGTCGTCGCCGGCGACATGAAGGAACCGAGGCGAGTTGACAATGGAGAGGGAGGAGATGGAGAGGAGCAGGGTGAGGTTGGCAATGGCGATGGCAATGGCATGTGCGGGGGAATAAAGAAGGGGGAGTGCAGGGTGGGTGGTGGTGGCGTTGAGGATGAGACGAGACGACGAGGGGAGGGCCGTGAAAACGGCGAGGAAACGGTGGGGTTTTGTGTTGTGTGGGTGTGGGGGGAGGGCGGCCGCTATAAATTTTCGAGTTTTTTGGGCAGCGGACGGACGGGACAGTGTCGTTATCGCGAAGCTGTGCAGTGCGACGCTATGCGATGCGGGGCTACGTGATGCAGAAGCGGTAGGTACTACTCCTACTACTCCCTGGCCTCTATCTCATAGCATCTCCAACAGTCTCTCTAAATTAGACTTTCCAAACACCCATATGGTAGATGATCACTTCAACAGACTCTCATCCTCTCTAAAATAACAACGGATCCACATGTTAGTCTCCACTCCTCTCCTTCCCCCCTCTCTCCTTCTTCCTTCTTTTTCTTTTTCTCTTTCCTTCCTTCTCATCGTTGACGCTCGCGGAGAGACGGCACGGAGGGGCAGTGTCGGCAAAGGACGACGACGGTGGAGGGGCGGCCCCGGCAGCGTTCGACGGTGGCGTCGGCAAAGCAGGGGCGGCGCCGTGGAGGAGCGGCGCGGAGGGGCGGCGTCGGCGGCGTGGAGGGGCGGCGCGGAGAGGTGGTGCGGAGGGGCGGTGGGGCGGAGCCGGCGGACGGGCGGTGGCACGAAGCAGTGAAGGTGCGGCGCCGTCGTTCATCTGACGAGAGAGAGAGAGGGGAAAATGGGTGGGACCCATGATTTGGCTAGACTATTTTGGCCGGCCGAATTTGGCCAGTGGGAGGAGTAGTTTGGCCAGCCGGATGGCTTGGCCATTGGTTGGCTAGTCTGCTGGAGCACGATTTTGCTTCAAAATTACCAAAATTTAACTTGGAGAGTTGAATAAGAAGGTTGTTGGAGATGCTCTTAAGTGCTTTTTTTTCAAACGTTTGACCATCTACTTTATTTAAAAATTTTATTAAAAAATAAGTTATACATAAAGTAATAGTTATGTTTTATCATCAAATAAGAATGAAATTATTAATTATAAAAAAATAAATAAAACGGATGGTCAAATGTTAGATACGAGAACCCGTAAAGAAGAGAAGGGAGTACTACTACTCTCTTTTTAAAAAGACAAATCTATAATTGATATATCCTGATATAATGAATCTTGATTTAGGATATGTTTAGTTCCCTTTAAACTTCTAAAAATTTCGTCACATTTAATGATTGGACACATGTATGGAGCATTAAATGTGGACGGAAAAAACCAATTGCACAGTTTGCATGTAAATTGTGAGACAAATCTTTTAAGTCTAATTATGCCATGATTTGATAATGTGGTGCTACAGTAAACATTTGCTAATGACGGATTAATTAGGCTTAATAAATTCGTCACGCAGTTTACATGCAGAATCTGTAATTTATTTTGTTATTAGTCTACGTTTAATACTTTAAATGTGTGTCCGTATATTTAAAAAAAATAGCCAAAGAGCTAAACACGGCCTTATTTTTTCTTTTTTGACGGATGGATTACTCAGATGATGAGATGGATGATGATGATGATTTGTACGAAAAGATGTTTTGTTTACCCGTGTCAATGGATGTGTGTGTTGCGTTGTGGATGGCATCGTAAAGCGTGACGTTGAGGGGCAACCTGCTGGATGGATGGATCGATTGGTGATGAACTGATGGTGCGTGATTTTGTTGGGCAGCTACTTAGGAGTTGTTTAGGTATGTTGAGGGGACGAAGAAAATCCAACAAATACGGTTAACAAACACCTTATTTTAAGAAACATCATTGATATATACTTCCTCCGTTTCGAAATGTTTGACACCGTTGACTTTTTAACACATGTTTGACCGTTCGTCTTATTCAAAAACTTTTATGAAATATGTAAAATTATATGCCTACATAAAAATATATTTAACAATAAATCAAATGATAGAAAAAGAATTAATAATTACTTAAATTTTTTGAATAAGACGAACGGTCAAACATGTGCTAAAAAGTCAACGGCGTCAAACATTTCAAAACGGAGGGAGTATAACTTTTAAAAAATTATAACGTACGAGGGAGCCTGTTCGGTAAATATTATCATCGTTAGGATCGCATCCATTCCTCGATTATATTTTAGTGGAGGGTTGGATGAAACCCTACAATGTTGGGTATTTCTAAGATAAACTAGATTTACAACGGTATTTTTTAAAAGTTGTATTCGTCGATGGTAGTTTTTAATAGTGCGCTAAGTCAATGGCATAGTTGTTGGATTTTTCTCATTTTTGGAGCTGAGGTCGTCCCTGGTCCAAATATTTTATAATGTTTGCGCTGGAAAATCGATCGGTTTAGTCGTTAAGAGGTCATTAGTTTCGGTTGGGAGTGGTTATTGTGTATGTCATCAGTGATCCTCTTTGTCGAGAATCAATGGCGGGTCATAGAAACAGAACAGCATCAGGATAACCATGTGATTTAGCACTGGCAAAAGATCAATGTATTTTTCGTGTTGCTGTATGGATTGGAGACAGAGTACTACCAATTTTAGGACAAACGTTTACACTATACTTAAGTTTGTCCTTATATTTAATTTTGTCAGGCTAATTTAATTTTTGGATCTACCTCTGGTTACACCTCCGGAAGAAATGGTACACATAGTAAACAGTACACACAGCCAGGAATTCCAATGTTCTCGTACAAGGTAATTAAGCTTCATGTATACTACCAGTACAAGTGAAATGTGAATAATCAATAATGTACTAATGATTCAACCATTCCTCTGAGTCTAACAGGTGAAACCGTACGTGAAATGACCAGATTGGTTAGCATCTGGGTCCTCAGGAATAAATGGATCATCCATGCAATTAATGGAGATTTTTCCCATATGGATGATGGAATCTTAACTGCACGAGGCCCCTCACAAAGGAGAGATACCAGTTGTCACATTACTGTGCAAACAGGCTGCAATGTGGTACCTGTTGCCCCCCCCCCCCCATAGGGCTTCTTTGTAATAACAAAGAAAAAATAGAGGGGATTCCTATAGAAATAATTGATATATGGTCTTTGGAAAATATGAATGTCTCTTTCAAATTCCTTTGAAAATCCCATGGATGGCCCATCCCATATGAGTTTTGAATAAAAAAACTAACATGAGACTGTTAAGTGTGAGTTAGTATGCTAAGGGCAGTTTAGTCTCTCCCCCTCCTATTGTACACAATTTATATGTGCTCTTTGAGCTTATCCAAAGTAACAATTCAATCCCCATTTTTTCCTTCTCTGAAATTAACAGGGATTAGACCTCATATTTTCTTTTCCATATAACTCAAATTTCCTTTATTTTTACTATGAAGCTACCAAACAATACTTTATACATTATAGCATGACACCATGACATTGTGTTCGAAAGATTTTCTTTTGTTCCCGTGTTTTGAAAATCCTGTGTTCCGAAGAAGCCCCCAGAGAAAGCATCTTGCGAACAAATCTTGATGCATGCATGCTAGCTAATTGTAACCATCTATCTATCTATCCTATCCTATCATCAAGTAATCAGCCGTCCATCAATTCATATGCATTGCATGCATGAATGCAACTACCATAGCTGCATTTTTTTTTTCAAAAAGAAAGAAAGAAAAAGACCTAGCTGGACCCTGGAGCTGTTCATGTGTCCCTCTAGATGATCAGTGAAGTGAACACGTCTTTGTCGTTCGTTCAGATCGAGCCGGGTGCTTTCTACGGCCGGCCATGTGTTTGTTCTTCACACACATGGTGTGTACTCTTGTTGGGTGGACAATTCAGGGAGTAGAAATGCCCCCACAAAACAGCTTGATTTTGCCCTGAATTTGATCGTTGTATCTGTACAATAATATGACCACACAATGCCAATTCTTTTGTGGTGTTGTTTTCTCCACAAGAATATCATTTGATTTTTTGTCCCAGAAGCTTGAGTTTGTTGCTTATTCAAAGTCATGGAACCAACAGTGTTAGAAATCATGATTGTTGATAGATGAGATCCATTCATGCATGTAAGAAGATACAAGTATACACATATTGACATATATATGACAGTCAAGTCATTATCATGTTGTGTGATCTCCTTGTAATGGAGCTGTCTAACTCAACATCATAGGCACTGTATACCGTATATATATGCAACAAAACTAACAGTCCGTTTTCAGGAACATGAAACACGAACTTATTTGTGTGTACTTAGTGATGGCTTGTTAAATGTCTATATGTAAGAAAACAACATAAGTGCAATTTGTGGCAGAATATTGTTCATGCCATCAAAGGGGCAGATTAGGCAGAGCCATCAAACACAAAGTCATCAACTTTTTTTTTTGTGAGGACTATGAAACAACAGGAAACATTAGAGCCATCAAACACAAAGCTATGATATATATATATGGTAGTTGGATTGGTGTAACGCCCGGTACCAGTGTTGAACAAAATTTCTTCACATTGATCATGAGATGGCATAGAGTACTATAGATGAATGTTAATTATTGGTGAATTCATGTTGCCGGTTGACCCACTTGAATTTATGCTAAACATTGTACCTTTTTCTCTTTATTGCTAAATATTTATTGTGAAAATGTGCATTCATTCAAAAACTAAAAAATATAAAGTGGGTCGCCAAATCAACACTGTGGATTAATCGACACCCATATTGTTAGCTTACACCTTGACTGCTTGGATCTAGATGAATTGACTTTGTACGATGACATTTCTTAAAACTTGTGCTCGCCAATAGCAAAACGCAGAATAATGCATTTGTTGATGGCATTTCTAACCATTTCTCTTAAACTGAACTATGAACAATTTCTCTGACACATTTTGCAGCTGGCGAATATATATACAACAAATTCTTTTGGCATGGAGTGTTCATATATATTACTATACACTAACAAGTGACAATCAATATATGAAAAATGCCATGATTTAGGAATGCAGATTGGCCATACATGGAATGAGGTTTTTTGTGTGTGAATAGGGGGGGAGTTGCTGGTGTTTGATCTATGCATTGCATATGCTTTTAACTGGACCACCCATGGATGGAGGAGGTGTGTAGTCATGAGATTTTCTTCCGTGTGGCTGCTTTGGCCGTTGCATGTGATGAGTGCGTGATGGACCACATGGGCCGGGGGATCATGTCATCATGATGTGAGAGTGAGAAGGTTAGTGGACAGGGTGATGTTGGCATTTGTGAGGATCTGACAAAGGTTAGTAAAAAAGCAGTCTGGGATTCATACGAAATTATGTCCTTTGTGGGTGCACTCACACAAGGAAATTACTATAGATTAGGAAGAGCACATCTAGGGTTTATCATTAGCTTTGGGATGTTTGCTCCTAAATACTATTTTAGGGAGCTGATGGTGATTTCTCAGTGTTGCCCCTGGCTAAGAACATTAAGGGGGTATAAAAGGTTCTTTTTTGAAGTTACCTAATCCAAAAGTCCATCCTCTTTGGGCTCAAAAGTTAACAAAGAAAGTTACTTTAAAACAATTAACATAACATTCTAGACCATCGGGTGAAAAGCATCTTGAATACTTCTACACACTGAGTAAATTTCATTGCTGTGGTCTAAAGATATTACCAGCTTCACACATAATCTTTTTCTTAAAAGATATTATCATACTAGCTAGTTTATAAGATCTTTTCTTAAAAGAGAACAATGAGCAATGATACATCAATACAAAACCTTCCCAAATTAATTAAGAACTTATAAAGATCTAGCCAATGGCACCAATTAAAAAGGCATTAAACAAAGGGAGAAGCATCAGGTGCATACCTGGTGGAGACAAGCAGATCTCCGAGAATATATAGAGTATTAGTGTGTGAGCGATGCAAGATTACGCAAAGACCCATCCTTTTCTCCCTCGGAGCCTTAAGCAAGACGGTTAAATTGTTCACATGAGCTAGCTTAATTAGCTGCATGCTCTGATCCGTACACACAAAAGCCCAAGCTGTTCATGTTTAAAATTTATCCTTGGACATATACGTGCATGCGTGACTACGTGGTCGGTCACATTGTCACATCTCGCTTGGTCACATACATACTCACATGCAATTTTTTTTGCAAAGCCAAAAGCCAAGGGAATCGACAAAATCCACCACTGGATTAGCCCGTTGCATTTGGGCAGCTTCCTGCAGCCCGGAGATGCTGCATGCTCTCTTCTTGTGTATTTCTTTTTGAAATTTTCCTCTCTTTTTGTAGATAAGAAGCGTCTGGCCTTATTGGTGGTTAATTGCATATGGCTTTCGTAGAAAGGAGCGTGGTCAGTGGTCACAAGGAGGCACCTACTGAATACTGATCACTAACTGTGCGCCCACGCACGCTCAGCCATACATGCAGCTGGTTTCATCTGGCAAAAGATTATACCTGCATGCATGCAGAGAATTGCAGATTACAAAATGTAGTAACAAAATGCAGTAAGTACAGTTAACTGTGCTTGCTTGGAAGGTATTTATGCGTGTGGCTTATAAACTGCTCTCTCTATCCACAAATATAAAGGTAATGTCAAATCTTTTTTTAACTTCAACTGTCCATAAAAAACATAAAAGATTTATGTTACTATATTTATCGTTAAACAAACTATCATGATGCACAACTATTTTTATTTGAAAATATTTTATTTATCCATAAATTGCTGATCAAAGTAGCACATCAGAGATCGTGTAGTCAGAAAATAAAAATATGTGGTACAATAAAAAATAATTCATGGAAAGAATATTAACCTTTTGTATCTCTTAGAGTTTCAGAAGGTTGAGTGACGAAAATGGTGAAAAAACCCTAAATTAATTCTACAATTCAAAATTGGTGCAACTCAAACAAGCAGGCTTTGAGATTCATATTCCTAGAACATGGTAAAACTGAGATGTAGTGAAAAGTACATGCTGATTACTTGTACATGTGTTGAAAAGAAACTTCCACATGTGCGTTCAAAATATTCATATAGGTAATCAAGAGTTAAAATCTATGGTTTTATGTGACCTTATATAACTTGTACAAGAGATGCAGTACTGTAGTAGTTGGATGGACGTACAGCAATGAAATGGCCAAATCTTCATGGAGCCGGGAAGGACGTCGCACACAACCAACGCCTGTAGAAATCAGCCCCCAAACCTGCAGTGAACCAGAGTGAACCATCGCCAGCAGCAGATAGCAGGGGTTCACAGCTTCTGGATTTCACTATTATCTCCTGCAAAAATATACTACACAAGTTCAGTGGTCCATTCTGGTAGTAGTAGTAATTTGGATCCTCCTTGCTTGCTCCCCTGTGATTAGAGATTCATGGATATTTCATTTCCCCTCAAGGCCACATGTACATATGGTCCTTGGCCTTGTTTGGCAAGAAGAAGGCATTGTCGGTGATGTACTGGTATTGTGTAGTGTAGCAAGTAGTGACCTCCAGCTAATTGCTTGCATAGGACTACAGAAGCACAACTGTACAAGCAACCGAGTAATGGCGCTCCTTCACTGAGCCCTTGGCCATGTCAGTCCTTCTGGGTACCATCCTGTCTAAAAATTGCCATATGGTGCGTACACATAAATGTGATCACAGTACAGACCCGTGAACGCAACACGTGGGATGGCAAAGCAATTAACACCACCAGGCTAATTAATAGTGCATCTGGTATTCTGGTAAGCAAAACCTGTACCTAGCGTTTCGGCTCATCTTCATCAAGAATATTATAACCATTGGATGCATGCACAGTTTCCTAAACGCAAACACAGATGAAAAACTTAACATACTCCACCCGTTCAAAACGGAAAGGCTTCGATCAATAATTACTCTATTAGGATATAATTCATGTGATATGAAATCATAATCATACTTTTAAATATGCATCTAATAAATTCAATATTATGTAAAAAAAATATCCTAATAGAGTAATTATTCGTAAAAAAATTATCCTAATCAAACAAAATACACCAAATACTTAAAAACTGAGTAGCAAAATAACAAACACTACAGTTTAATCTTTATTTTTTTTCCTTCTTGCCTATTGTTTTCGCTTACATGGTTTCTCTGATCTGATCAGCATCTTTGTATATCATTGTGTAGAGAAGGCTGGACGTGAGCAAGAATCGATACCAACCGAGGAAAAAAGGCTGTACTCCGGTGCAATGCAAGTGCAAGAAAGCAAAAGGCCATTAGGAACAAAACAGCCCAGCATTAGCCCCCAGAATGTGCTACTAGTAATTATACTGTGGATAATGCTGGAAAATATGAAGCTAATTTTTTCTTCCTAGGGCATCTGAGTCATGGGTCTACCTTGAGAGGATCCAAATGCAATGGACAAACACGCAGAAAAGCAGGAACTTTTGCCCCAAGCGCGTTCCGGCTTTACGCATTTGTGCTTTGGTGTCATGTGTGTACTGAAGAACCTGCAAAGCGTTGCATGTTTAAGGTCAACTGACATTATCAAACAACCCAATAGCTGTTTTCTTGCCCAGTTGATGGTGATAGATACCCCCAACTTGGTGAATAAATACAGGTCAGTTTAGTTTAAACATGATGCTGAATTCCTAGGACTTAAGTACCGATCTAAACATTCCAGGACATGTGCTTAATTAGTCCCCAACCATCAAATTTTCAAAGAGTAATCACAGATCATAAGTTTGAAGTTGAAGAAATGTGCTGTACACATTGTACATGTCACTTGGAAGTTAGTAGGACAGTAAAGTCGAGGCAAGTAATGGAGAATTTTCCCAAGAAACTTAATGGGTGCAAGTTCTGAAACCAAGGCAACTCAATCTTTATTTTCTATTTTGAAGGGAGACATGACTGCTCCAATTTGGCATGTTCTGTGCAGTTTGAAAAGAGGAAAACAGGAAGAAAAAAAACTGTAGTAAGTTCAGGTCTAATTTCAAAAGCTACTGAACTGAACAATCTAATTAGGTTACTATTTCGTTACCTAGAACGAAAAGAACAAGTACATGACCAGATCAGACTCAGACAAGCAGATTAGACAGATTTTGTCATATATAATAAACCAGCTTCACCTAAACCTAACCAGATTCGTCAGCCCAGCTAGAAACCTTGCTAAATGAAGTGAAGCAAAAGATATAAACAACACATCGTAGCATAAACTCATCATTAATCAATCGACACTTCAATAATTAGAAACACGGCTCCAATGATAGAACTAGCATTTCTCACCTGTCCGAAGGTTAGGTGAGGTCTACCATCTACAGTACCAGTTCATCTACAGATGGGACAAGGCTGTAAATTAAAAGAATTTTATGCCAAAGCTACCTTGGCATTTTAACCACCATGGCATAGTCCGCTTGTTCTATATGCAACTCTGCATCGTCTTCATCTCCTTGTGAAGCTGTGAGCACATATCAGAAAAGCAGCTTAGGAAGACCTGCAGGGAAAGGACCTGTCCTTGAAGAAAGGCTGACCTGTGATGATTGAATGACCAGTTAGTAGTTTCAACCCTGTATTTTGTAGTAAGATCTGAACTGTTTGGGGCTCCTTTTCTCTGTAGATGTTTGTGCAAGTGCCAACTGGCCATTGAGATTCCGGATGATCCTGGGACTACTACTTTCTGTCTCTCACTGGAGAAAATGGATGTGGGTGAAATAGGCAAAAAGATTTAAGGGTTCATGTCTGTTCAACCGGATTATAATTTTCAGCAAGGGCATTGAGTGAGTGTGCAAATTTCACACCAGCAATGTCGGTGCAGTAATGTGGTCTAGTGGAACGTAGTGGTTTGATGCAGGTTCCATCATACAGTTTCAGTTTCTGGAATGAGCTTTATCTCCAACTAGAAATAGAGAAATAGGACATTGGATTACTTTGTTAACTGCAGAGAACCTAACTTTTAATAGACCTGTACATAAATAATAGTGTTCCCAACTCTCATTTGATAGTATCCTAATAATACCAGAATGGAACCAGGGAAATTACAGCACTTGAGAGATATGATATATATAAAAAAATCACAAGTGTTGAATTGATAAAGAGAAATGGAAGAGCAAAGAACACGTACATGAAAAAGAACACTGTTTTGAAGGTACATGATCATTGAAAGCCAAATCCTACATTACAGCGGTCTCTTCAGCTGGTACAGTACCTCAAATCCTCAATGACGCGATCATTTTATAAGGATGCACCTAACGGGTGAACCCTCAGCTCCAGCCAGCCTTAGAGGTAAGCAATGTAACATGTACATGCCAGGTTCCACATCATCTAACTTCAGAGCTTCGACAATTACAATTTCCTTCATGAAAAAATAGCCAAATAAATAAGTGGCACATAAACTAGTAAAGAAATATCTGACTGACATAAAAAGCAGCATGCACCATTCTCGAATCACCGACACACATAGTGTAATGTTCTTCAGAGGAGCACTAGACAAAAGGGAAGTACACATTACAAAAAGTGAAGAGTAAAGTGCGTAAAATCATCATCTCCAACCTTGTCAGTTTAACTCTATTATTACCATCGCCTTTCCAATATAAAGCCCAAAGCCCCCGCCAGCACTAGCCAAAAGATGCTTCTTTATAAAACACAAATCCTTTTCTTTTGTCAACCAATGAGTATACAAATGATGAATCATTGAGTTGCTTTGTCCAAGAAAGTCCTCTAATTCTGATTATCTGAATTTCTTTTCATTGGTATACAAGAGATTGAGCATGGATCTTTGACAATGCATATTTAGTAACACATCTTGTGTTAGATGGTCATTTCGAAAGCTAAATTGGCAAAAGAAAAAAAAAAGTATTCAACATATAAGTCAAGACTAAATCCACCACTAGTGTCAAGGAACTTCTTGCCCTCTTGGTATCACCATTGGAGTATGAGACCCTGTAATTTGTGCAGCTATTTTTGTTTCGTAAATGTCCCCTGATAGATCTTGAAGCTCAGGACCCAGGAACACACCATTATTGAATTTCTATGCCTCCTAATTGTACTCCAAAGATTTAAAGAAAAGGAGGGGGAGCTAGCTGTAGTTCAATAAATAGAAAGGAGAAATATGCTGATTAGTTTTGGAAGTACTATTTTGGATCTAGCATCAGCATTCTCAGAGTAATTCGATCAACAATGCCTGATACAGAAAATTTGTGCAGTACAGGCAACAAATTCAACAGTAAGAGACTAATAGATCTTATTACAGGTGGCGAGAGTACTAAAGCTGATCCATAGATTTCAATATTTCATACAGGAAGTCAAGTTTCTTACCTTACTTTTCAAAAACACTACATGTGCAGGAATCATGTGTTCATACGAAGCAACTGATAGATAGTCCACCCCTACAGGATTATCAAGCAAACATGTTAAGTCCAGGTTGTAAAAGGTAAACACATCAACCTATCAGAACCATATACACCAACTGACCGATGTTCCATAGGACAGGATGTCAGCATAGCAATTACTTACCGACTAGCTTAATATCAGTGTAACCAACCAACCATTGCGCACCATCCTCTGTAAATCCAACAAAACTCAGATCACTCTCCTTTTGCCACATCAGTCTCCTGGAAATTAAAAATTCCCTATCTATTAAGCTTTCATCGCATGGAGCTTAAATGATAAAAATCATGCAGTACACCTAAGTCGGCTATTTATTAATTACTTGTCAGTGTTCATTGTTCTGAAAAGAACTCGACGAACTCCTCTTGGGATGTTCAGGGACTCCATTACTTCAGCTGCATAACGCAATTTTCTTAGTACTACAAACCCAAACACATGAGAACAGACATGCTAACTTAAGCTTCTTAAAGAAGTATAGAACCAAAGTGCTAAATTGGGCTGAGTTAGAGATAACTGAATAATGATGTGAACCATGCATCAGGTCACTTATCTCTACAGCCCCGGAATAAAAATTTAGATTTATGTTGACATGGATGGAAGATAATTTAGTCCAACATTTAATGGATAAAGTGCTCAACAAATTTCAGAAACTACAACATTGTGTACCAGTTACGTTTGAGTGTCTCGGGACATCAACCAGCAATGCAGGACCTGTCCATTACAATCAGAAATTGATTATTACAACTTTATAGGAATAATTAACTTTAAAATCAAAATCACACGCATTTCACCTGATCACCATAATTAAAAAATTGACAACAAAAACTACCAAAAGTATAGATGAATATGCGCCTCACATATCTCATAATCATGACTACTCACATGGATTCGAGAAATTGGACATTACGCCACTATTAAGAGTGGGATTCGCCACAATGCCATTACACGGAATGGCGTCGTTAAATGCCACTGCCAAGATTGGGCTTACATTTATTTTGCCATTTGGACCATTTCACTCCATTTTCACCTAATTTTTCACCCGGGTTACCCAAAATGCCTTTCGATCTGAGTGGTGGTTGCCAATGGCGACACCGAGCTAACCGTGGCAGAGGCCAAGGAGGAAGAGGAAGCCACCCACGACGGCGGCGGTCCACGACGGCGGCGGCATGCACTTCCAGTGGCTGCGCGCCGCGGTGCTAGGTGCCAGCGACGACCTCGTCTCCACTGCGTCGCTCATGCTCGGCATCGGCGCGGCGTGCCCCGCCGACGAGCGTGCCGTCCTCCTGTCCGGGCTGGCCGGCCTCGTCGCCGTCGCCTGGCCATCGGCAAGCCGTCCTCCTGTCCGGGCTAACCGGCCTCGTCGCCGGCCACGCGCAGCTCGATGTCTAGCTGGCCGAAATCAAGCGCGCGGCCCTACTCCGGTGTCGGCTGGCTTGCGACTGCAAGCGGCGGCGGTGTCGCCATCCTCCCAGGCCGCGGCCACGTCGGCGCTGTCCTTCGCCGCTGGCGCCATGTTCCCGTTGCTCGCGGCGTGGTTCGTCGCTAGCTACGCGAGCCGCAGGCTTCTTCCGCCTCCCTTCCGCCGCGAAGCAGCGCGCCCACCGCGCCCCTGGGACGGTCACCGCCTCGTCCTTCTCTCGCCGGCGACGGCGTCCGGAACAACGTCGCCCCTTCCCCTTCTCCTCGCCCACAACTCCCACATGTTCACCGGAGAGAGGGGTATTTTGGTCAGTTGAAGTGTGGAAAATGGTGAAATGGTGAATATGGCGAAACAACGGTTTCTCATCGGTTGGAAGTGGCATTTTAACGACGCCATTCCGCGGAATGGCATTGTGGCGAAGCCCGCAGTGGCAGAATATCCAATTTCTCCGTGGATTCTAAAAGAGTTCAGTTTTAATATCAGTTCATCAGAAGGACCAACAAAATTCGAGCGCGTGGCCTCGTGCAAAGGAGAATTAGAAAACCACGCCAAAAGTAAGCTTCGATAATCGATCGATACCATTGAGGAGGCCGAGGTCGAGGGTGTCGACGTCGAGGCCGGCGTCGAAGTGCGGCTGCCACATGTGGCCGGGGGCGTCGACGTGGGTGCCCGTGTGCACGCTCATCCGGAGCTCCGAGAGGTTGGAGCGCGAGCCGTTCGCCATGGACTTCTTCAGCCGCACCAGCGCGCCCACCCCGTCGCACGAACCCAGAACCGGGAGCTCCGCCCGCACCGCGTGCGTGATGTCCAGGATCCGCCTCCCTCCGCCGACGCCGCCGCCGTCGCCGTGCTCCTGCGGCGCAGCCACATCCGGTGCGGCTGCGCAGGTGGGGAGGCGAGGGTTCGCCGAGTGGTCGCCGGCGGCGAGGGGAGCTTGGCGCGCGGCCGCGACGAGCAGGAGCACGACGGTGGCGAGATGAGCCATGGCGCTCGCAGTTCGAGCGAGACGTACTGTTTTTTACATTTTAAAAAATCGAAGATAAGACGTGCTGGTTTTTTTTTTTGGGGGAAGATAAGACGTCTTTTTTGTTTCTCTGGTCGTGTGAGAATTAAACGGTTCCCTAAGAAATTTGTGCGTTTTGAACATGGGCTGTGTGTAGTACCTTCCAAAGTTGAAAGTTTGGGTTAAAATTGGTACGATGTGAGTGAAAAGTTGTATGTGTATGACAGGTTGATGTGATGGAAAAAGTTGTAAGTTTGGATCTAAACACAGCCATGATATAAATTTTTGAAATGGTTTTGATGTTGTTTTAGTGTAGACCCCATCTAAAACGTTTAAGTTTCAAAATTCTGTAGAAAGTTGGAGGACAGGAAACATCATCCATTGATATGAATTTGTATTGCACAAATTTTCCTTTGGAATTAAATTCCTGTTATGCAAACAGGGGCCCATGAGACTGTAGCTTGGAATCTGGATCAAGCCCATCGCAAAAATCAAGTACCAACTCTAGCCCAACTTTACACAAATCAGCCATCCAAACCTAAAATGTGGGCAAATTAATGCCACCATAATTCAGCATCAGCAATAAGCTAATCGAAAAAACAAACCGATCATATTTAAATTCACCACACATCAAGAGTACAAAGCAAATTTATTGAGCATCTCAAACAACATGGTACAAAGTCGACAAGCTACTGCAACTTTTCACAGTTAACACTTATCAGGCAGTTGCAGGTAGAACTAGAATTACTGCTTCCCCCCTTTGTAAAAAGCAGTAGTTACAGTCACAGAACAGCCAAACATGACCTCAAAACAGAACAAAGGTGGATCACTGTTACAACAAGCCCAAAACATACAACATAATCGAACAAATTCCATTCGTGACATTCTGCAAGCTATGATATATGATACATACCAGATGGTAACTACTACCATTGGTTGCTAAGATGTTGACATGAATCGCTTCAGGAATGATTTCATTTGTTTCAATTAACTGGATGATGAAGGCTGGATACCCTGGATAAATATAAGAACTGATCATCACTTGTTGCTTACTTGCTTTTGTATGTGGACAACTTCAGTCCACCAAGTGTGCCATATCAATATGGTGCTGGTGGATAAGTTGAAGGATAGGGCGCTGCATAAGATCCATCATGGTAAACAGAGATTAATTACCTTATTAGTTATTGACTAATGCTATGTGAATGGATGAATTCATGTCTGCTCAGCCATATCTTACCAGGTGGATATGTGGGCTGTCCTTTTGGAGGTGGTGGGTAAGTTTGTCCATATGGTTGCGGTGGATATGGTTGTCCCTGCGGCTGCGGTGGGTATGGTTGTCCCTGTGGCTTTGGTGGGTATGGTTGTACTTGAGGCTGCGGTGGGTATGTTTCTCGCTGCGGCTGCGGTTGGTATGTTTCTCCCTGCGGCTGCGGTGGGTATGTTTGTCCCTGCGGCTGTGGTGGGTACGGCTGTGGAGGATATGTTGTACTTGTAGGAGGGTATGCCGCATGCTCAACATCGCGAGCTAGCAGAGATGGTGGTGGATGTGGGTATGCTGAAGTAGGATATGGCGCCGGGACATGGCTAGCAGGATAGGATTGATATGGCGGTACTGCAGGGTATCCTGCAGGGGGTAGTGCGTATGAAGGTGAGGGGGCAGCATATGGTACTGCTGGTACCGGCACTGGAAGAACAGAATGTGTGGTTGACGCGGCAGAAATTTTTCCCGGCTTGTTCTTCTGGTGCACATAAGAAAACCCATGAGGCAATGCCATACCAACAAGAATAAGGCAGCAAAGATTAACCAGTCTCTCACCATTGCTGAAACATCAAAATGCATAATGAGCGTCACTTCCCCAGCAGACCTGAAGATACACTACTATCAGGAAGTTCACAAGTGCAATGAGCACAAGGTAAAAGAAATACGACTACCTCATATGGCGTGTCTGGAGGGGCCATGAGGCATCATCATAGCCACGCGTAAGCACCTTATGCAGCTGCACCCTACAAAAAGGCTCAGTGGACAGTTATTTAAGAACAGTAATCACCAAATGGGCGTAATTGAGGTCCACAAACCTGCCATTGCCAATGAAATCATCATGGGTGAGCGTGTTGCTGTTCCACACTGTGACGGTTAGCTCACGAAGCCCCTCAATGAGAGGTATATGAAACTTCTCGTCAAAAGTAGGGTTCCTTCCCCCATCTGGCAGAAACATTATATTCATATAAAAAAAGTATAGCACTGGATTGTGGTAGAGAATAGAGAAAGTGGCACGATGAAGCTCAGTTTAGCAGAAGGATGCTTGTATTAGAAAATAAGAAGCGCATGGATATAAAATATCAGCAAGATGAATATTATCCTAGACTCCACTCAGGAAAGGGCATTTGATGATTGATTTCATTATTACATAGTACAGAGCTAAGAACCCCTTGGAAGTTGAATAAGGAACATGTCGCCGTATTTGGAAAACTTCCTGACAATTACTATATTAACTCGAAGTTTGTACTATAATAAAATGCTGTTTAGGGCAGCTAGTGCCTGGATTTTCAGTTGTAGCACAGTACTTGTAAGGTAGCTGGAAATGGGGGAAAACATTCTTCAGCACTCTTCTAAACTTTGTATAGTATAAGAACAACATAAAAATTGGTCTTAATGGCACACTCCTCTAAAATTCACATATAACCTAATAAACTCCTTGTTGGGGTTTGTAAGGCTAGGATGTGGGTATGCAGCAATTTCCCCATTTAAACAAAAAAGTTGAATTTCTCAACTTCTAAACCAGAAAGATTGGAATACATATCACTCTTATAGGAGCCTTTTCCCTTTCCATTTGTGACTTTATTTTTCCAAAAGCATGAAAGCACTACCCAACACATGTCAGGAACTGGCAGACTTTACAGAAGGGAACAAGATTACAATCCCAATTGTTGATTATTAGCCTTGTACTGGTAGCAATTAAATTCTGATAATAAGGTAACATGGTTCAGAATTTCTTTTTTGTACCACATAGTATTATGGTAATTTCCTTAGCCTGAAAAGACACTTGTGCAATGGCTAATCATCATAGTACCCTAAGAAACCGCTCCTAAATTCCACTAGCAAGGGTACTTTTGTTATTCTGCTGTTGTCAACAAGAAAACTAGGCAAAGAATGGTGTACACCTTTATCTTTGTTATTTTTTTTAATCTTCCTATTGTTAAATGACGCAAAGCATTTGCCTGTTTTGATAAAAAAAGAAAGAGTTAAGATGATGGAGCTGAGAAGCAATAAGTAGCGGATACCACAAGCGTGTAGGACTGCCTTTATGTGGAAGGAATAACACAAAGGTAAAGGTGGCATAATTCCACCTCTAATTTTGTAAAGAAACGAGCTAAACGCCATGGCACATCTAATTTTGTAAAGAACAATCTGAACACTATGGCGCATCGCATCTAATACATGGTCCACATAGAAACTAGGGAAATAGTCAGCAAGGTACTACTTCACAAGTTATTTCAGCTAACTATTCCAACCATGACCAATTCGCCATCGCTCTTTCAAAGCAAAACTGAGCAAACCCCATTCCCATGAACAAAGGAAGAACGACCATGTTTGGTACCAATCACTCAAGGCAATCGGATGAGTGCCGCCCGAAAGGCAACAAAACAATGACGGCATTGACAGAGGAACGCACAGTAAACACTACCCCAATTCTCGAGTGTATTTCATCACGATTCAAAGCTCAAAACCCTAGCGGTTCTTCCTGGATTGCCGCTACCGAACTCGGGTTTATTCACGATTCACAGCTCAAAGCACTAACAAGATGGAGAGGGGGCTTTACCGGTGCAGGTGCGGGTGCGGAACTTGTTGGTGGCATACTCGATGCAGACGTAGGGATCCTGCCGCGTGAAGAACTCCGTGTCCCTCAGCTTCCTGCACCCAGTGACTGATGACGGATGGACAAAACACCCCAAAAAAAGAAAGAAAAACACAGGAAAGCCACACAGGTGAGACGCCGCCGCCGCCAAATTCGGATTCGGAATTGAGCGAGGAAAAAAACTCTCGGGGTCACCTCTGACTTCGAGGATCTGGCCTTGTATCGACATGGATGGCTACGGGCGCGGGTCGTCTCGCGGAGGAGCGGGGGAGGGGAAGAAAGAGAGGAGCTGAGTTGACGATGAACCGAGACGACTCTGCTAGAGCCTCTAGGCTAGTAGTGTTCGTATTGTAGGCTTGGAGCCTGCCCTGTTCGAACTTAAACAATTTTGCTTTTTTTGAGAACCACTCTAGAATCTGGATATGCCAAGACACTTGTGATTCATATAACAAAGTTAGGCAAGTCTATTTATAAGATGAACTGAAAGAATAGATTCATATTCGCAGAAAAAATGCTTTGCTAAAGGGATTGCGTTAAGTCTCCGCTGTGCTCATCTTCAGCCGCGTGCATCCTCAACTGCAAACGTGCCATTCAATTGCCAAGAGGTTTCCCGTCTTTGGGTTGTGAAATCCCATGTGCTGCACATATATAGGCATTCCGTGTCTGCTGCTATAAAGATCTAGGCAGGTCTTCAATCCCGCCCGCGGTACCGTAGCGGGTGAAACAAATCCCGGGACCCTCGTTAAGGCGAAATCAAAATACAAAGACACAGCAAGCATTTATTTTATATGTTCCTTGGCGATCTCGATGTGAACAAATGCAGGCGAAGTTTCCTTGCACGTACCGACCGAGTAAGTCAACCGACAAGTTGCCCCTCCCCGCTGCTGTGTGCCTTCCTTGTCAGCAGAGACGCGGTAAAAAAAAAAGATCCAACACCAACAGGTACAAAAAGTTCACAAGAAATGAAAAGAAATGAAGTGTGGACAACATCGTCTACCAACCCTAGCTACTATCCAACTTGATGTACTACTGTAGGAGTAATTCATTGTCCATTACACATCAGAACCACAATAAATTGTGTGGGGTAGTTCGTCTATATTTACAGTCAGCAACACATAGCCACAGGGAAGTGAGCTTACCATGAGTTTTCTGGTGTGTATTCTTTTTTTTTTGAGCTGTTCTTCCCTTGGACTTTGTTGTACAACAATCCTTACTTTTCCTATCACTAACTGACGGACTCATTTCACTCTACAATGCGGATTACTAATCACAAGCAGAAGCTCCAGGGCAGAAGTCAGATCGTGCATATGCCCCTTGCTTTGTCCAAAAACTCGTCCCTGCTTATGCAGCCATTCTCGGTTGGTTTCCACGCATGATATGGCGCCTGAACCTCAGCCCCAACTCTCCTTCCTGATCGCGAGGAATGAGTGCTTGCTCGTGTTCATCATCGTCAGACGCTGTAGTTGTTCCAGGTTCACTTGAATGGAGTGAGTCCTCACCAAAGTTGTGCAGCCTCCGCCCAATCAGATAACGGTCATCCCTAATGGAATTGTGGAGATTGGTGAACCAAACATGGAATCTCTTGCCACAGAAGAACAGCGCGCTGAATATCAGGCAGCCAAGCCACGCGAAACGGTAGACCGCTGAGTTCACAATGAGTGGGTAACCAAGCACTGGGAAGACACCCCTTGCAAGAACATATGGAACGCAGAGAGCTGTAAGGAGCTTGGTGACAATAGGCATTATGATTTCATGCAGGACCCATAGACCTCTCAAACGGGAGAAGCCATCCTCTCTAACCCTCTCAAACTTCGTCCTCCAGCTTTCATCAACCAAAGGTGCCATTTGATCCAACATAACCTGGAAACAGTATGTAAGCCAAATAATCAGCACAAACCTACCTCAATGACCTCTAAGGAGCACAATCAACAAATTAACTGAGGTGACAAAATGATCACAAATTTGTGTAATCTTACCAGCCTAGTCCATATTTTTAAGAATATTAATCCAAGAGCCCAATCCTGATACAACAGGAAAACCGGACTCTCGTCAATAGGCACCCTCATGGGTACAATGACCAGTAACTCAAACAGGAGTCCAATCAACACAGGAATAACAAAGATCTGAAAAGGATATAACATTTCTCGTTAGATATAAAGGTAGCCTCCAAAAGTACCCATAAACTATAGAACAACTTCTAGTTAAAGGACTCTACACTCTTCAACCATGGTTCGATAAGCTTAAAGCCATAAATACAGAAAAAGAAATTCAGCCCAGATGATTTACCCATATTGACAGGAGAGCAGAACTCTTCACAACAATAGAGCACCACTTGCAGATTTGTTGCACTAGGAAGGCCAGTCGTCGTGATCGAATGTAATCAATTGCATATCTGGTTCCAGCTGCTGCACTCCAGATAATATAACATCCAATGCTGAAAGAGAATAAATCTAACAAAGAGAAACAATTTACCATGGTGTTAGCAAATATGAAGATAACCAATATTGTGAACACGGAAAGCTATCAAGCAAAAAAAATAATTGAACATATTAACATCAGCAAATTACCATTGCACTTGATGCCATGTGTGATTGGCAGGCGGGGAATAGCCTCAAAAACTAAACGACCAAGTGAGATTGGAATAACAATCATTCCAGCATTGAATATCAGCAGAGTCATCCATGCCAGTACAAGCAAGAGCACAATCCGAAGGACGAAACCATACCTTGAAAAAGATCATATAATTGAGCCACAGATATAATAATATAATAATAATGCTATAGATGCAAAATAATATCTTGGGTTCTTGACTGACTTCTAGATTTTTCTAAATAAAACATACGAACATCGAGGGAATAATAAACACCATATTTACTTTTTTATAGTTACAATTTAATAAAAGATGTGAATATTAAGAGACAATATTTACTTTTTGTATCTACAGTTTACTACTATTTGAATCATTACTCAATTATATTCAAACCAGTGTAGTTACTGTAAATATGAGATGATAGTATAATGTGTGCGAGTTTAAGCATTTACAGAAAAAATAGTTACTCTTTTACACATATCTAGATATTATACTTACTCTGAATCTCCCTGGTCATCAACATCAGATTCTTCAGCGACCTCGTTACTGTCATTGGCATTACCCCTGCCATTCAGATTATCAGCAACATGTTGTATCATACGCTGCTCCAGCTGTGGGGCAACCATTTCCCGGCCACCATGTACCCTATCTCTACCTGCTCTGCCATTCCAGTTCTCTTGCCCACCATTTTCTTCATGTCTTGGCAGTAAGAAATCAGTTAAGCCTAATGCCCAACCAACAGCAGCAAACCAATGACGCAGAAGTGCTTTAATTGTTGCACGAGGCTTGAAGTGCTCAATTGCAAACGGGATGCATATTTGGAACAGAAGCACATCAACTGGGATCTCTGTAAATGGGTCAAAAATGCTGCAAATCCACAACAACAATGTAGGTTTAAAAATCTAAAATGAAAAAGGAACAAAATAAATAAATACACACACACACAGAGATGATACTCACGTGATGTCCAGAGGAAAAATCGATGGAGCTACTCGCATGGCCAGTTTGACAGGTAAGAAAACAAGTATCACAATCAAGCTTCCATACACAGCAACAGACAGAAGAACTCGCCGGGCATGTTTATGCACAGGATCATCAATCAAATCCCTAAACGGATTGTAATTTGGATCGGCAGGGTCCCGCAAGAAATAAAGAACACCATTGCGCAGTACCTATCATAGAGAGTCAGTGAGAATGAGATCCATGAGAATTTACGAATCTGATAGTGGAACTAGCAAAAGGATTGAGCAATACCCCTCGAAGAAGGCTGACAAATATGCTTATTTGAAGCATATATATAATCCCAACAAGCCAATGGATAGAGGAGCTTGCCAAGGGTGACATCGTGAAGAATTCAACTCTTTGAGCAATTGTTGCACCCAGCATCTTTAAGGTGCATACATCAAGCCACCAACCGCACATAAGGGGAAATACACCAAGTTCAATCACCAAAAGGAATGCAACTTTGACCATAGTCATGAGATGCTTCATTCCAGCAAAGAATTGCCTGCATAGAGATGGGATAGCCTCTAAAATGGTAGCTATACCGTAGAGCCTCCCAATGGTGAAACGTTCTCCCCTAGCATACCGCAGTAAAGCCAATGATCCAATGTACAAAAACACAAGGCAAAAGATAAACATATATCCCACAGCAAGAGTTGTCAGATCAGAAAGATAGGATGAGCCAATAGCAGTTCCTTTTATCAGACTACTCTTCCCAGAGGCCTGCATTACAGTAAGACCAGTGGCATTTATCTTCAATGATTGAGTAACCACCTCAATGACATGACCAATGACACCTTCATTATGGCTGTCAGCAGATAAGTTCTTCACGGCATTAAGTGCACTCTTCAATGTATCATTAGCCAATGAAATAGCAGTTTCCGTAAACGGCATCATTCTTGCCAGCATAGGACTAGAGGCTGAAGAGAAGAACCATGATAGATAGTACAGGACAATCCTTCCCAATGAGAATGGTACGAAGATCACAACAATGAGGAATATAGCATTGCTGGCCAGAACCTGGAGAAAATAAAAACAGGAATGAACACTATGGGACACAGCACAACTGCAGTAAAACTTGAAAAGATCAAGTGGTCCATGTTGTTAAAACTTAAAAGCACATGCCACACTATTGATTTACAAGCTTTTTAAATGAAGATATAGAAAAGACTCCCTCAGGCCATTCATGGCATATTTTAGGAGTCAGGAATAACAAACACGCTTGAAGAAGCAAAAAAAGGAAGAAAAAAAAGCTGGCAAAATTAGCAAAATAAGCACATAATGCGCAACAGTGTTGAACATCACGTCAAACGAAGAAACCAAGATAAACTATGCAAAGCCAGTTTGGGAAGTAGTGTGTGTAGTTTTGTAGCATATTCAATACTTCCTCTGTCCCACAAAACCTGCCATTTCACAAATGTGTCGTTTTACAGATGGGTGGTGGGTCCAGTCTACGCGTGGAACCAGAAAAAAACTATTTTTTTCCAATCCGTGATCTTACCTTCTCGCTGATTCAGTTACCCCATCCGACTCCTCGTCTCCTCCGTCGCTCGCCCCCTCCCACCGCACCGATCCCCAATCTTCGCCGCCCCCCACGATCCTTCTATTTTCCCCGCGGTAGACTGGACGTTGGCGACGGCGGCAACCCAAAGGGCGGCAGCTGCAGCAACGGCAACCTGCAGGGGGGCGGCGAGATTTGTGGCAGCAGCCAGCAACCAGGGTGCGGCGTGACCGGCAATCAGGGGTGGCGGGATTCGTGGCGGCAGCAGCTGGAGCCTCCAAAGCAGGTGGTGAGGTGCAGCTTGCTTGATGGACTCGGTGTACCACACATATTCGCAGTCAACAATGGTGATAGAGGATCGAGAACTGAATCAAATAAATGGGGGCAATTTGGTCTTTTTGACATCACGTTAATTTGGCTACATAACCTTAAAGCGACACATTTTGTGGGACGGAGGAAGTAATATTTATCACTTCCAAATTGGCCCATAAGAAGCAAGAAGTTCTGCAACATGGCAATGTCGTACTGTTCATTAAAAAAACAAGAACATGTTGTGGGGCAGGAAAGCAAAATCCTTACTGTTATTGCGTTCTCAACCAAGTGGAAAACAGGGCCTTGCATGCCTACAAGTTCATCAAAAGGAACATCCTCTGCACCATCTGCATCATCCAAACCATCTAGCATCTGCTCGACTTGAGCTTCAAGTCGTTCTAATCGAGCAGCAACATTTTCTGCATTTCTTCTCAAAAGTTCACCAGCACCAAGTCCTTGGGCTTCTGCTAATTCGTCAACGTTTCCATCTGCAGCAGGAACCCTGTTATTAGGACCAGGTAGCCTTCTGACAGCTCGTGCACCATGCCTTTCACGGCCCCCATCATCCCTCTCAGCATCATGCCCTCCAAGTTCCCGCAAGTGTCTTATATAGTCCCTTAAAGAGGTAGCTCCAAGAAATATAAGGACAATAATAGCTGAGAGAAGAAAACCATGTAAACAGTCACTTAGGATCAACTGAGCGCTGATATGACTCAAGAATAGCCTCTGTGCTTCACCAAGACTTCTCACGAATGTTAACCTCCATATCCAGTAAGTGATGAAGGGGATAATCATGAGCCAAACTGAAAGAACAAAGGCAAGCCGGAGGACAAACTGAAGCACATGGCACGCTTTCATCCCAACACCAACAATAAGTTCTTGGAAGGGGAGTCTTGACGGAGCATTGTCAGCATAGACGGGCGAGAAAGAGAATGCATGTTTGCAAACCTGCAAAGCATATACACACATAGTTTAAAAAATTACCTAAGCAAAGTTGCAAACTGTTGAGTTGAACAAAACAAAAGGAGAAAAGAATACTAATGTCCTCTTTTTTCATGCAAAAAGAGGCACTATGTCCCGGCATCTATCAACCAAAACCTAACTGGTCCGTCAATATTATGAACAGATCCAAGATGTAGATTCTTCGCAAGCTAAATAATGCGCTAGGTTTCAATCTCTTGCAGACACAGGAAGAAACCTTGTCCCTACTAAGCTAATGTCCTCTTTTTTTATGCAAATAGAGGCACATGTCCCGGCATCTATCAACCTAAACCTAACTGGTCCGTCAATATTATCAACAGATCCAAGATGTATATTCTTCGCAAGCTAAATAATGTGCTAGTTTTCAATCTCTTGCAGTCACAGGTAGAAAACCTTGTCCATACTAAGCTTTACATCTGTAAATGTGATTGTAGAGAAATATCTGAAACTAGCTAATGTTGCCACGAGATCAAATAAATACAGCTAGCAGCCTTGTAAAATAATCTAAATAAAAACAATGTCTCAGCGTACGGTTCACAAACCCTATTGCACAAATTATATCATCTTAGAGCCGTAGAAACCTCTCTCGCCCATAAAAGGTATCACTGTTATCACTTGCCCCTATCCAGCGCGAGCGAAGTGATGCTGACCTATTACAACCACCAGCTACATACAACACCGCAAAAATTCACCAGAAATTATCGAGCAAATGCACCGGATTATCATCCAATCGATCGATTCCACCGCCGAATCGAGACAAACCCCAAGGCCCCCGCGGCCCATAAAAGCGAACCGAGGGTTCCGTACCTCGCACTGGCGGGAGTTGCTGTGGTCGAGCCACTGGAGGAGGCAGTCCTGGTGCACGAACTTGATGCTGCCGCTGCAGGCGCACGGGTACCGGAGCGGGTGCTCGTCGTCCCCCGGGTTCCGGCAGATCCGGCACACGTCCCCTTCCTCCTCCTCCTCGTCCTCCTCCGCCACCGCCGCGGTGGATGAGGGCGGCCGCGCCTCCTCCTGCTCGGCCGCGGGAGGCCGGTCCGCGGCGACGTCCGCCATGGCTGGGCGCGGCGGCGGCGGCGGCCGTGCGTGCGAGCGATCGCGCGGGGGAGGGGGGGGGGAGGGAGACCGCGTTGGGGCGGAGGAGGCGGTGGGGAAAGAGGGGGAGAGAAGGATGGATTAGCGCCTCGTTAATAACGCGTTGGTGACGAGGAGGAGTCCCTGATGGGTGGGGCCCCCCGCGGGGGAGGCGGTCGGCCTTAGCGGGTCGCGGTTTGGGTCGGTGAGGTGGGGAAGGTTGGTTCGGGTGGAGGATATTTATAGCGGGTGGAGGTCGGTTTAGGGACTCTGGGCGTGTTGTTGTTGTTAGACTTGGGTAAAAAAAGCCCGTTTATCTGGTTGGGCTCAGTTATCCCATATAAGGGCGAGAGATGGGATAGCCCATCAGGCCCATCTATATCACATCACTACTAGAATTTCTTTTTTATATATTTATTTATTGATTTTTAAAAAGATTTTTAAAATAGTGTAAAGTGCACGAGCGGTACTTAAACTTGTAGGGTGTGTCATCTAAGTCTCAAACTCTCAAAATGCAAATCTAGGTCACATAACTTGTTAAAGTGTGTCATCTACTCCCTCCGTCAAAAAAAAAAAAGCCAACGGAGGAAGTAGATCCAAATCGCCACAGCCTCGCTAGTATCCTACATAGCGCTAATATTACATGCCACATGGATGTGATGTGGTACCATCTTAACTGACAAATAGGACCCGCTTAAAAAAATTTCTTTTTCCTTGTTTTATTCTTTCCTTTTTCTTTTTCTTCTCCTTCCCTCTTTTTTCCTTTCTTCTCCTTCCTCTCACAACAACTGTAGGCCACCGCCGCACGATATGCTCGGGTCATAGAGAAAGGAGAATAAAAGAAAAAAAAGAAGAAGGAGAAGAAAAAAAAGGAAAAGGAAAATTTTTAAGTGGATCCCATTTGTCAGTCAAGATGATGCCACGTCATTTCCGTGTGGCATGTCACATTAGTGTCACGTAGAATCCTGGAGGGGCCGTGGCGATTTTGGGATCTAGATGACACACTTTGACAAGTTTTAGGACTTGGATATGTATTTGAGAGTTTAGGGATTTAGATAGCACATCTCTACAAGTTTAAGAACCGCCTGTGCACTTTACTCTAAAAAAATAAATGACTGTTTCGAAGTTTTGTAGAAATTTACTCCTCCTGCTCCACCGTAGGATGGGGCATATAAATCGCTCTATGCTAGAGCTAGAAATGTGACGTGGTAGACGATGGGTAGGGCACGCTGTGGAAATTTTGCTGGCAGCCCCCTCCCGACAATAAATCACCCTATGAGAGAGCAAGAATAAAACACTCATTATGTCTATAATGTAGCAGCCTAATATGGAATTAGACATATATTAGTACTATGAATTTAGACATAACGCATGTCTAAATTTATAGTATTAAGATGTATTCCATCCTATATTATATTGCTATATTTTAGGACGGATGGAGTAAATGATAGCGATGTGGTCAGGACTCAACAATGACAACGTAAGGTCCCACATTTCATATAGATGACGGATGAGGGCCGAAACAAAGTTTATCACAATTATTTGAGGGCGTTGATGAATGGATGAAATATTAGAAAGCTAAAAAGGTGGTTTAATATAGTTCTATTCTATAAGAAAGAAATACCAATAAAGAAATATTTTAAAGATTATACCATTTAGTAGCTTAGGAAGTGTGACCATAATAATCTATAATCCATAATCCGAAAGAGAAAAGGATGGGGACCTGCGTGTAGACTGTGGAGCAAAGTGAGAAATCCATAGGGTTGGCCTCTTCTTCTTTTCCTAACGAATCGGCATAATATTTTTTTTTCTACTAAGTATTCCTATTTATCGAATAAAGCATGAGAAAACTATAACTCAAGGGTTCACATATGATTAACTAATCATGTGTTTGGTACAAAGAGATGGAATGGATGAGGTTGGGTTGAACACATTTTTCGGACTGTTTGGTTTGAGAATAGTTAGGATGGGATGATCCCTATGAATGCAATATTCCCCAAAGATCCAAGTTGATCTATTCCTTAAAAACTAATGGACCAATCCACCCCAAGTGCATAATGGTTTAGGGTTAAGACCATTCATAAGTTGTAACTAAATAGAACTGCACTAGGTGTTTGGGCGGGACATGATGACAACAGATCAATCATTCAAAGGTTAGAAATAATTGAGGAATATCACTAACTACAGGGCTGAGAAGTCAAGGACTTCATAAAAAAAAATTGTACCAGTACATATTCCACATGAGTAGTTCAGTTTTTTTTTTTTTTTTGCAGGAATCCCTGCGACTCTACACCTTGTGTCGCAATGTCAGTGCACGTTTATGCATGTTTTTCTTATGTCCCTTCATTTGGAGCAACATCATGTAGAGCGAGGCACAGCAACTCAGCAAGCAGAAACGGAAGAATCAATCAATCAAGCATCGACAATTTGCAGGCATCCATGGTAAAATTCCATTCCATTACTGCAGGGAAACCCAACAGTTCAAACAAAAAAATTCCAAAGCTTGAATGCAACCCGCTCGAATCTTTCCAAGCATGGCGATCTATCGATCTATCTGCGCATGCACTACGGGTCGTCCACGGTACAAATATTATCTGCTAATGCCGGCGCCGGCCGTGCCGGGATCGATATGCACCGAGGCTGCCCTACCAAAAACGAGAATCCGGCCATCTTCGTCGTCATCGGCGCCGGCGGCGGCGGCGGCGGCGGCGCGGCGCCCCGAGGGGGGAACATCAGGTCGTCGGCTTCCTGCAGCTAAGAAGAATCCTAGGCAACACGGCGTGCCCAGCTTGGCAGGTGGCAGATCAGTCAGGCAGCGAGCTGAGAGCCCACTGATTCAGCGGCCAGTAGTTGCAGTGGCAGCGGCAGTGCTGCTCCTCCTGCTGCTGCAGCTGCTGCTGCTGGGCCTGGACGGGGACGACGCCGTGGCCACCTGCCCCATGGGGAATCCTGATGATGCTGCAGCGGCGCTGTCGTCGTCTTCGTCGTCTTCGGCGCCGGGCAGCCGGGGCCGGGCGGCGTACGGCGGCGCCCAATTATTGCCGCCGCTGGACCAGCCATGGCGCGGACGCATGTGTAGCTCTGCTGCGCCCTGCCTGCCGCTTCCTCCTCCTCCGCCACTGCTGCTGATGACCTGGCTCTGTTCATCAGTCAGATACTGTTGGGTTACACTTACTCATCACTGCGTCACAAAGCCAAAAAATAATCAAAGCAAAACGACACGTCCTTGTACTCCTGTAGCCCGTGGTTAGCAATTTTTAGCATGCATGATGCATCTTTTAGTGAGGTGATCAACTGATCAGCGAGCAGTTGCGAACTCAGAATTAAAACTGCCTGGAGTTCTATATATACTTCTTTTGTTTCATATTATAAATTATTTTAGTATTTTTTAAATCAATCTTTTAGAAAGTTTAACTAAGTTTATATGAACATATAGAAACATACAGCAACACTTATAGAACTAAATGCATTTTGATAGTTTCTTTGTTTCATGTTAAAAATATTGATGTATTTTTCTATAAACTTGTTCAAAGCTTAAGAAATTTGATTTTAAAAAAAGTCAAACGACTTAGGACTTCTTTGTTTAAGCTTATAGGCCAGCTTATGAGTTGAAAAGTCTAAGCTTAAACAAATAAATAACTTTTTCATTTGACTTTTTTTAAAGTCATAAGCCACTTTTATACTGTTAAGCCTAATATGAAATGGAGAGGTAGTACTAATTATCCAATTTTTACTTCTAATTAACACGATACACATTAGTTAGAATAAGATAATCTACTCAGGGCCCGTGATCTCAGGAAGATCAATGTAGGAACACCACTGTCAGTAAGCATACATACCATCAGGAGCATGTTCCGGCTACTGGGGTGATGCTGATGCTGATCAGGGCGGATGACCGCGCCGCCGTCCGGCATCGCCGGAGCCAAGGAAGGCCTAGCCCAGATGCTCCTCTGACGGTGGCAGGCGGTCATCTCCTCCTCCTCCGGCAGCATGAACTGTTTTTTTTTTCCCGGGCATGGAACAGCTCATCGTCAATGTCACCGACAGTGTCATCTAGCAATGGACATGCGAGTCTCACCGTCAGGCTCGTCCTCTGGTTGCTTGGTGCAGAGTGGAGGACCTCGCCGGCGGCCCGTTCGCCACCGGAGCACCCGAGGCTGAGCTCAAGATCAAGCTCGCTATCCCAAGCTGCAACAACAAAAACACTACTGCGGTCAGGAAAATGCGAGGCGCATACCAGTTGCCAATTGTCAGGCAACTTATTTTTGTCGTGATCATTCATCAGAGAACTGAGATACTTCCTCAAGATATTTATCTTTCAATTTTTTTTCTAATTTTAGTCAAATTTATAAAATAAATTAACAACATTGACAATACTAAACTAATTTTATTAAATGTATATTCTGATAGTATGTTTGTTTTGTGTTGGAAATGTTACTATGTTTTTCTATAAATTTGATAAAAAAAAATTGACCTAAGAAAATCAAAGCGTTTTGTAGTACAAACAGGGAGATAGATTACATTGCAGGTTGAGCTCGTCCTCGTACGCTTGGGTGTCAAAGTTGGTCACAGCCTCCTTGCCACAGCACTTGATCGCCGCTTTGTCATAAGCCCTGATATCATAGTAAAAATAAATTAAGAACAAATCATGAAGGTGATGATCACAAGCAATTCTCCAGCAGACAGCGACGATGATGTCACATACTTGGCAGCCTCCATCTCCGTGTCATACAGGCCAAGGTACACGTACCTGCGACGATCGGGGAGGAAACGAAACCGAATCAGAACAAAATTGAATCATTCACTTTTTAAAACTAACAAAATTTCATCTTCTTTTTTTTTTTCTGAAATGAGTGGATTGATTTACTTCTTGCCCATGAGCTGGCCGATCCTGGCCTCCCATTTGCCGCACTTGTGCAGGGTGACACCTCTGAACCGCGAGCTCCCCCTGACGAAGCCGGCGCCCTGTCGCCGGAGAACCTGAACGAACTCCTCCTTGCTGAAGTTGTTCATCTGCCAATGCAAATGCCATGACAAAAAAAAAAATCAGAAAGATGCATGTGAACAGAACAGTTCTTTCTTGGGTAGCATCTGTTCTGCTCTGGCTTAATCTGATCACCTTCTTTATGTCCTCCTTGTAGTCATCCAGGGTGAAGTTGATGTCTGCCTCCACTCCACGGAACTTGATTGCAGCCTGGTCATAAGCCCTGGAACAGATCATAGAAGACGAACAATTCAGATAGTTTTTCTAACCCACCTTGCTCTCTCTCTCTCTCTCTCTCTCTCTCTCTTTTTCAGATAAAAACAAGACAATGTGCAGAACTCTGTTATAAACTGCTTTACCTTGCAGCAGCCTGTGCCGTATCGAATCCACCTAGAAACAATCACACAATGCACACATGAACAAATTCTGACACGTAATTGATTAAGCATTGACAGACCATATAACTGAGACATTTCCACAAGACAAAAGCACTCACCCAAGTACACCTGCTTCCCACAATCCCTGCACATTCAAAAACACAGAGCACAAGCAAAGATAAATAACAGAAGCAAAATTTTTAAATTGCTGGCACATTGCAAGCGAGATTGAAATGGGTCAGTCAGAATCATTTTACAGAATACAATTGCCAAGTATATGAAAGCAAAGCAAATGTACGTAAATATGCACATGTATAAATACAAGAAGAAGACAAGAGATGAACTGACCAAATGTGGGACTCCCAGCGGCCGGTGCGGCGGTAGAAGGTGACACCGCGATACTGCGAGCTCCTGGACCGGGGGCCCCGCCGCGTCTTCCTCGATGGCGGCCGGGCCCACTGCTCGGCGGCGGCGGCAACGTGGCGCTGCTCCGTCGACTCCGGCACCACCGCCGCCGCCGCCGCCGTCATCGGGAACAACTGCTGGGTGACGACCGCCGGCCGGACAAGATCGCCGGCGGCGAACCCAAAGACCCTCCCAGACCCTTCCTCCTCATCGTCCTCGTGCATGGCGAGTGCAATGCTGCCGACGCCGTAGAAGGTTGCCGCCATGGCCTACTACACACCGGCGTTCTTCTTCTTCTAGCTGCTCTACACCATTGCCGCTGTCCTCTCCTCTCCTCCTCTTATGCTGCTACGTGATCTCTCTCTCTCTGTCTCGTCTCCACACAGTGAGAGTGTGTAGCTGCACAGCGATGAAGAAGAAGATGATGGATTGGTGAGGTTGGTATCTGAAGGAGCCAGGCAGGAAGGGCTAAGGAAAGGAAAGGAAAGAGATTTCTGAGCATGCTGTCATGCATCTTCTTTTTATGGGGAGGTTTTGGAAGGAGGGAAGAGAACACAGGACAGAAGACAGAAAACACCAACACACAGGGTTGAGACTGAGAGGGACCCCCAGGCTATGTTTCTCACAGCCTCACCTCAAAAACACTCCAAACAAGAAAGCCATTAATACATAATTAATTGAAATTTTAATTATTTTGAACTTGAAAAAAGATAAATTTATCTTATATTTCATACAAAAATATATCGTTAAACAGTTTAAAAAGCATGCTAACGATGTAAGATCGGTATCTATCACCAGGCCTCTGTCCTTGCTTCCTTCCATCCCTACAATACTACTACTGCTAATCCTCTCTCTGTGTCCTCTCACTGTGCTTTGGGCTCCTCACCTAACAATCATCCCTCCTTTTTATGCCTCTTCATGATGCACATTTACTTGCACTGTTGCAGGCACCGATCAAAAATGGATCACATGTAAGGAGTAGCACCGTTGCACAGTGTATGTGTGTACAATGACGCGCACAATGCGATGCCCATTGGTTTGTGTTGGAACACAGGGATGCATGCATCCCACTGAAAATTTCTCCAGACAATATCATTCTCGCAGGTATAATTGTCGTATGCTTTTACTCTGTTATTTCAGACTAGTGTATTGCAAGTAGCCAAGTAACCAAAGCAGGGAGCAATCCACTTAGATTTTTCCATAATTTTCTAGTCATATTTCAGACTAGTGTATTGCAAGTAACCAGAGCAGGGAGCAATAGATGTTTCAGAACTAATTAGTAGCTCACAGGTTTCTTGTATTCAGCCAACACTACACTGGGTACTACCTCATTTAGGGCCAATCCACCCCAGCCATTGTCTGCACATTCACTTCTCTGCATATAAAGGCCCCATCACCCACCCGCCAGTGAAAGAGGGTTTAATACAGAAGCAATGCAAAGATATCATGTTTGGCCTCTGCCTGTGCAGAAGAGGAGAAGATCTCAAGATCCATATCATCATGTACTCCCAGGCCCCAGCTCCCCAATACCACGTTAACCAGATCGAAAACATCATGATACGTTCATACGCATGATAAATACTCTTATCCCCCGGTGCATTTTGGGTCCATTACACCATAGCCGAGTTTAGTTCCAAACTATTTCTTCAAACTTCCAACTTTTCCATCACATCAAAACTTTCCTACACACATAAACTTCCAACTTTTTTGTCACATCGTTCCAATTTCAACCAAACTTCCAATTTTGACGTGAACTAAACACACCCCATGTTTATCATACGCAACACCAACGACGCATCCCTCTGTTCAATGAAATTGGCACCCTCTTGTACTGGTTCGTTTAAAAAAATATGCCATGTTTATGAGTGTGTAGCATATTGCCTGTCTTTTACTGATCAGCTTAAGGTTTTTGTTCGTGTGCTTATGAAGAGCAGTATTCCGAATGCAATGGGTGTAAGGTATTGGCAAGTGCGCATACTTGCTACCCATGATGGAAAATAATTAGGAGACAGAGATTAGCACTGAGGTTGCATGTTTAAAGTAGAAAAGGAGAGTGGTTGAGATATTCCTAATTTTTTCTTTAACGTTGTGCCAGTTGTGGTTAGCTGCAGCTAAGATATGGATTGGAACGATTTTCATGGAATGTTCTAATGTTTGTTATTGATTAGTTCTATTCCTTGTTGCAACACCAAGGAAGCATATCCCTCTTTTGGCTGTGTTAGTACTGCTATTGGTATGATAGGAAATGAGTAGTTGGTGTAGTTTATCACTTTATCAGAAGACTCCATTTAATTTTCAGAACATCCATACTATGCACGGCCTGTCAGATATTTGATATTTCAAATTGCAAATATACTCGCCGTGTAGCTCTTAAAGAAACATTAAATCATCAAAGCCAATTGCATTTGGATTTGGGAAAGCTATGGTGTTGCCCTTCATAAAAGCGTCTAAACAAGCTTGCCAAAAGGGCATTCATTTTTGTTGTTGGCATAAATTGAAGTAGACAATTAAGATTGCTTGGAGATGAATTGTCCAACTAATATAGATGCTAAAATCATGCGGAGTTGTTAAACTTGTCTATAAGAACGTCATTTAGGAGGAAGAGACAAAACTTATTAAAAAAACATGTGAAAAACAAGCAATTGGCACAATGCCTTGCCCTTATAAGGCTGTGTTTAGATCCAAAGTTTGAATCCAAACTTCAGTTTTTTTCTATCATATCAACCTGTCATACACACACGACTTTTCAGTCACATCATCTCCAATTTTAACCAAAATTCAAACTTTGCGCTGAACTAAACACAACCTAAAACTATAGACAGAACACCACTTGAGATATCAACTTGTCCAATCCGTCACCAATTTCTTTCCACTGACTGATTTGATGGGTTTTTGTTATCCCCAAACTAAAGGCAACAATGAAAGCACATTCAGATGTTAAATAACTTGTGAAGTCAAACATTGTGGTAGGTATCTCCAGTTATGTTCTCTCTAGAAGCAAAGCAAGAACCAGATCGACAAAGAGATCTACTCCTATAACACATTTACTCTATATAAGGGACAGTGTAATGAATCCACCTACACCTTTTTTTTGCAGGAAAAGTCTTCCTCAGAAGAACCAACAGTCTCTATACGAAAGAAACATGCAGTGCATACATTGCAACATGAAGAGGAAAAAAAAAAGCGAGAGAGAGTAGTAGTAGCAAGTAAATACCATGAGTAAAAAGAGCCGCTTGTATTTATGCGAGAGATGATGATGATGAGGCTAGCTTTTATTGTGCTAGATCTCCAAGCAGTGCTGTCCAACCATCATAAACAGCTGCGAAGGGAAGGGGGGAATCAAATGCAAGCAAGCAAAATGTTTCCATAAGAGGCCAATCCAAGAGTACCTTGTAGGTCCTTGTTCCTCCTTTTCTTGCCTCCCCCCTCCTGTGCTCTCTCTCCTCTATCCGTCACCCCTTGAGGCAGACTTGCAGGGTTGCTGCAGTCCTTATTTACTGCTCATCAATCACTCATCTTCTCCTCCTTTGTTGATCACAGACCAGTAGAAACAATCACTTCAATCCCATTTTCAGTTCAGTTCCCCTTGTCATGCTACCTACAACTTAGATCCAGCCAAACTGTGAAAAGAAGTAAATGAAGGCCGTACCTTTGGGTGCAATATATGCTTGAGCCCCAGATGCTGCAAATCCACCTCTTCCTGTCTTTTGGTGTGCATCCAGGCATCCCAGCCGAAGAACAGCAACAATCACCATGCACAGACAATGCTACAGCTTGTGAAAACATCTTATCTGTCTAATACTACAATGTTCAAGTTCATGACATAGTGTTGGAATATGTGTTCAGTAAAAAAAAAGAAATTTACTGCTAAGTAGTAAAACTCCATTGTGGTATATATTTCAGTAGGATTTTGTTGGATCTGCAACTCCTATCCCAATCAATCCGATCCTCCTCTTCAGCTTGAACGTGGCAAGGACCCAGGGGGAGGCAACAGTTGTCAGGCACTTAAAAACAAAGAGCAGTGTGCTTTTATGCTCCCCTGCCATGAAATGTGGCAAGTGTGTGTGCGAGGAGGGGAATCAAATGCTACAAAAGGAGGAGCTCCCCAGAAGTAGCCAATGCAACAGTACGAAGCTCCTTTATTTGTCCACCAAACCCAATGTACCACCACCACCAGGCGGCGCATTTGGAAGTTGGAACGAAGCAAATTCTGGTCCTCTTTGAATTTTCCATTACTGTATCTATAGCCTTGAGTTACAACGATATGTAACTTCACAGCAATTCTCAACTGCAAAGAGAAGCATGAGAACATAAAAATGTTTCTTTACACCATAACCCAGATGATTTTAGTGGATGATAAGCATATCATCCAGCATTCATTTCTTGAATGACAGGAAATATTTAAGCTGCAAAGATAAGCAGAACATGAATGAGGCTGGTATAAAAATAGGTAAAAAAAAAAGCTCATGATGTGCAAACTGCAAAGCAAATCAGTAATAAGGCACATGCTGAAAGCAACCGCATGTAGCAATGCAATGAGAGTTCCAGATGCACATTTTATTGCAGAAATGGCAGGTGATCACATTGCGGTGCATAATGAAGCATCATTATTTACAAAAGGAGCACTCTTAAGTTTTACAACACTTATGAACCGAGCCAGGGCCTACCTGTTAAATAACTAAATTCAAGGTCTCAAGCACTCACATCACAGGCAGATGTCATATGGAGGACTTAGGATTGCTTAAAGCTTACAAGAAACATGTGGGCTAGATATGTCGATAATCAGGAAAAAAATACGTTGCTTCAAATATACCTTAACATTGTATGATTGAACCCCTAAGTTCATCTTGTAGACTGTAGTGTGTGCGTGTGTGTTAGAAAACAACACACTCTTACTATTTCTCCTTGGTTGTTAATCCCCCCGCCCCCGCCTTTTTTAAAGGAGACATAGGGTAATTACCATTTGCTCAAACTACAGTGGATCTTTGAACCTGCATTTCACTCACCCATTGGAGTTTTCGTCAAGTATGTTAGCCTTAGCCAAATATCTTTCAGCAAAGTTTGAGTTTGAAGTTGATATGAATTTGCAACAAGAAACGCCGGGGGTCTTCCGGCTAGCAGCACAAGGTGGTGGGCTAGTTAGCCTAGGTTCGAAGTCTTATCACCCCTCTTAATAAAATTCGATATGAGACCCCTTCCTCTCATATCTAGAGTTTTTTTTTAATTTGCAACCTCCAGGATATATAATTATTTATTATTAAAAACATCAAACTTTGAAAAACACAAGAAAAACCCAAATATTTTTAATCACATATAATGCTTTCCATTTTTACTGTAAAATAAAAAAGAACTAATTAGAACCATTCTCACTCGCTGCAAGCATATTAATTCTTTTTCTTCAAAAAATAGGCAGGTGTTTTGCCTAGTATATTAATAGAATAGAAAGGGTTTTGATAACAGCTTGGAAAGCTCCCAAGCTAAGGGTGGTGATAAAATCTAAAGCCCAATGTTCTGATAAGAACTCGGTGCATTCGTGCGCCAGGTAGACAACAAGTATGACCTCCCTCCTTGATCTTTGCTTGGGAGAGAAGCACGTTAATTATACTGTCTAAAAACGTGCCTTGTGCAGCCTTTGGTTCTTTTTTTTTTTTGCCGGGTCGGCCGAAGGAACGGCGACCAAATTTCATTAAGATGGGGGAAGTACATAAAGTTACAAATTGTTTCTTGCTTACAACGACAGGAAGCTGTCGAGATGGTGCTATGGCAAAGCCACAGCCTTTGGTTCTTCATATTCCTAATGCTGTTTGATCAGGGGTATATATATAACTTTCAAGGATCAGTATCCTGTATCCTCCGTCGAGCACACTGTCTCCTATGATCTTTGCCTCTCATCCTGATCTGCAAGAGTATAGCATGGGAAGAGATTGCAGTTAGGCTGCACAGATCAAAGTCAGAAGATGCCATAATTTTCATAGACCAACAGTGTTAAGATCATTGTTGCTATGAATGCCAGAATAGGAAGACATAATGATCAAATGTTCATGGAGCTACAGAAAACAGGGTACTAGAAGGAAAGAAATGGTGTACCGCATGGTCCGCATCCGCATGTATTACAAATTTTACATTTACGCATAAAATTAAACATTTGTTGAAAAGAGTACGGATGAGTCAACCACCAGACATTATTTTGGTTTCCAAAAAAGTAGCCACAGACAGAGCAAGCCTTAATACAACGGGTAATTCCACAAAGTGAGACTAGCAGATGTACTAGAAGAGAATAATTTCTGACAAAATTGGCATGTACGCACTCAGCACTTGTTAACACAATCAGCAATCAACACTATGTAACTATGTTCATCCAACCAGTTACAAAGCATACAATAGAAACACACCTAATGAAACTGTGCTTGAAACTTTTCAGGCTTGAACAAATTGATAGAGATAAGGATCAACAGTTGGGAGGGCTTGATACTGCATTACTGCACACCATTTTATCAGCTAGTTTTGCTAACGCGAAGAATTCCCGAAGAACTCGCACCCTTTCTCTTCCATTACACCCAAATCACACCTACCACCTGACGATGGCTCGCTTCTCCGTTAGCGACATTGCCGTGAAATATGCTTCGTTCGCAAAACGGGGGCGGAGAGAGAACTGAGAAGAGCAGACTGACCCTTCCGGAGGAGGAGCGAGGACAGTCGGGTCCAGCTTCTCTTCCGCGGCCGCCGCCGCCGCCGCCGCGCACGCTCGCCGCTTTCCCGTTCCCTTTTTTTTTTGGGGGGGTTTTCACTCAACACGTACCCCAATCCAACTCTCACAAACACGATGAATTTTTTTCGGTTTTAGATTTTTTTAAAAAAATATTTATAGAAATAATCTATCGACCAAAAAAATTACAAAAATAGACCCTGCCGCCCACCTCTGGGGCGGCAAGCTGACGTGGCAAACGGGGGGAGGAACGGGCGGTGACGGAAGGAGGGTTTTTTCAGGAAAACCCTTGCCGCCCTCTGGTGGGGCGGCAAGGGGCCCGAATGCAAAAAAGCCAGTCGGGGCCGGCTATTTTGCAGGCGGCCCCTTGCCGCCCTCTGGCCGGGCGGCAGGCCTCGCTCCCTATAAAGGCCTGCTGCCCAGCCCCCAGCCCTCATTCTTCTCTCCTCAATTCCAGTGAAAAAAAAAGAAGAGAGGGGAGGAGAAGAGAAGAAGGGGCGAAGCCCTGCCGGATTCAGACGCCAATTTCAGGTAATATTCATAGATCCTATATGTGACTATTGAGTTAAATAGTGTGTATTCTTTAAAAATTTGTTTGAATAAATGCATTATATTTTTAGGGTTTTAGTTGTACTAATCTAGAAGTGCGTATTGTAGATATCGGTAACTACGTAGATCTACTAGTTTGGAATCAATACTGTCATGCTTCCTTGTCCCATTATTATATCGTCGTTGTGTTCAACTATTGCACTACCTCCCTCCTAGTTCAAATCTAATATCATCTATGTAACCGCAATGCAAATAGTCGTATCATGTTCAAATTGTACTACTATTTCTTCATGTTACATAATTCTCCTTGTTTAAGTCCATATAATGTTTCTACGACCCAGACTGCGATAGGCCTATATAAATTATCCGAGTACTAATACGTCGAATAAGGTACAAAATAATACCTCACGTAACATATGAAATTGCGCAACAACCAACTTCAATACATTTTTATAACAATATTAACAAGTTTTACCAATAAATACTTCTTTATTTATTATTAACATAACATAGAAAAATCTTTTGGCCGTACTTTTTTCATCTGGGTCCCTTGCCGCCCTCTATTGGGGCGGCAAGGGACCCAGATGAAAAAGTACGGCCGCAAGCTCTTTATGGGCGGCCAAAATTGCAATTAGCCCCTTGCCGCCCTCTGTATGGGCGGCAAGGGCCTAATCGCAATTTTGGCCGACGGCGGCAGACGGCGCGGTCGACCCACCGTCTGCCACGTCAGCTTGCCGCCCACCATTAGGGCGGCAGGGGCTATTTCTGTAATTTTTTTGGTCGATAGATTATTTCTGTAAATATTAAAAAAAAAAATCTAAAAACGAAAAAAATTCCAAACACGATTCGGTTCCGAGATGATTTATGGCCCAATACAAAAGCCCATTAAAAATCTAGGGTTTAAAGGTGGGAAAAAGTCCACTTTGACTCCCTTAAATGTATACCGAATCTAATTCGTACCCCTCAACCAGAAAACCGGTTAGGATGACTCCCCATTTTACTAAAACCGGTACAAATAGACTCCCTCGGCGGTTTCAAGGGCGGTTTTGCTGACGTGGCGGTGTTGACTTGGTCTTCGTCCCACGTGGCGTTGACGCGGCACTGATGTAAGATTAGATTTAAAAATATATATGTGGGACCAATTTGTCATTCACACACAAAAATTATAATAGAATCCACTGACTTGTGGGGGTCCACATGTCATTCTCTTTCCAACCTTTATGCCTCCCTCTTTCTCCCTTATCTCTCTCTTTCTCTTCCTGTCGGCGAGCAGCGCGGAGAGCTTGCCGAGGGCACGGATGGCGGAGCAGAGGGCGGCGAGGGAACGGAGTGGAGGGCTCCAAGGGAGTGCGCGAAGCTGTGAAGCCGTGAGGCGGCGGTGGGTGGAGAAGGCCGGCGTGAAGGCCGGGCGGAGCAGCGGCATCGAGAGCTGCCAGTCACCGCGGTCGCTCCTGTCGCGTATCCTACAGCGAGGCGACGGCGACGGCAGCGGTGGGAAGATCGGGTGCCGGGTGCAGCTGCCGTGGCGGTACAGCTCCACCTCTGTGTTGATGCGATGTTGTTAACACTCCGCCGCCGCCGGTAGTGGCGGCGGCGGCGTGGGAAGTTCGGGTGCTGGATGCGGCTACCGGCGCCGGCCAAGGTCAAGGTCATCGGGAGGGCGCCGGAGTTGTCCCTCGACACGCCGCGGAGTTCTTGTACACTCGACGAGGGGAGAAATGGTATAATTCTTGCCGTGCGCGGCGCCGGTGCAGTGCCGGAGACGAGAGCGACGACACGGAGGAGGTGACTGACACGTCGGCGTCCTTCGCCGCCAAGACAGACGACGTGGCGGCAAGAAGGCCAAGGACGGTGGCGGCGGCGGCGCGGTGCTGGTGACGGTGGATGGCGACGTGGAGCTGGAGATGGAGACGCTACTGAAGGCGTCGGCGTACATCCTGGGCGCGGCGGGCAGCAGCATCGTGTACATGGCGGTGCTGGACGACGGCGCCGTGCTGGCGGTGCGCAGGATCGATAGCGACGACGCATCGCCCGCGGCATGGCGAGAGGGCTGGCCTTCCTCCACGACAAGAAGTTCGTGCGGCAACGTCCGGCCGAGCAACATCCTGCTCGACGCCGACATGGAGCCGCTATTGACGGACCTCAGAATCTACCGGCTCATCCGCGGCGGGGGCACGCTCAAGCCGGCAGCAGCGGCAGCGCCGGGGCAGTTCGGGAGCAAGCGGTCGGCGAAGTGCTTGCCGGACCTGTCGCCGCCGGGCGCGAGGCCGCTGGCGGGGCCGTCCGGGTCCGGTGACGCGGCGGCACAGTACCAGGAGAGGAGCGAGCCAGAGCTGATGCTGAGCAGCAACAACCACACCCTCGTCTACACCTGCGACAACGTGCGGTGCAGTGCCCGCACAGCAACTACGCGCTCGGCTTCCTCGACCGCTTGCTCTGCTGTTTCTTTTTGGGGGATTTGGGGGAAAAGATAGAGAGGGAGAAGATGGCTGACAAGTGGGCCCTACGCTTTTTATATTTTCTCCTATCACTTACATGTGGGCCTCATCTGTATTTTGGTGACTGGGCTGACACATCAGCACAATAGACCAAGTCAGCATGCCACGTCAGCAAAACCACCCTCAAAAACCACTTAGGGAGTCAATTTGTACCGGTTTTAGTAATTGGGGGAGTCATCCTAACCGGTTTTCTGGTTGAGGGGTACGAATTAGATTCGGTGTATATTTAAGGGAGTTAAAGTGGACTTTTTCCTTAAAGGTGTAGTAGATATTTCCGGCCCATTAGGCCCACGAGCTTTCCTCTTCGTAGGCTCGCGGCGTCTACTCCTCCACTCCACCAGAGCGAAACTGCAAGGCGGCAATGGAGGCCGGAGATGGAAGAGGAGGAGGAGCGGAGGAGGAGGAGGAGGAGCAGGTGATGAGCGAGGTGCACCTGGGATGCCCGCCCCGCTTCTCCGGGCTCTACGTCTCCCGCTTCAGCTTCTCCTCCCGCCCGCTAGGTAACAGCCCGGTCTCGCGCATTCCGTCGAACACCTTGCCTGCACCGCCTTCTTGGGCGCAACCCGATGTGGGGGGTGGATGGAAGAGCCATGGTTTAGTTCGATTCGATGTTTGCAGGGCCATCTGCGGGCAGCGACGGCGGAGAATGTAGCGGTGTGCGCGAGCAGGTCGCGGCGTCGAGCAGTTCTTGTGAGCGTGCGTGGGGCTGTTTCTTGCTATGGTGTAGAGGACTGAAAGGTGGTGCTTGCTTGAACTGATTCTTGGCTTTGTTGGGAAGGTGGTTCGCCTGACGCTGTTACCGTGGATGAGGACGGGGATCTCGTTCTTGACAGGAGAAGAAGGAACAGAGGCAGTGAGGCATTTGTTATTTTTAACTGCATTCTGTCTTGCCGAAATTGGTGGTTTGTGCAGTTAATCTGACCATTGGCTTGCAGGGAGTGATCATGTGCTCACTGTTCAGCATGGTATCACCTCCTCTCTTAGGAGCGTTGGTCTCCAGGTCTGAGAAAATGCTGCTTTTGTAATTCCTTTTCGTCTTCCTTTTTGTTTACGATCACGTTTGTTGTTGGTTCACAGGTTTGGAAGGCGGCATTGCTATTAACTGATTTTGTATTGCATAAGAGCTTTACATCGTCTGAGTTTAATGGTGTTACTGCCATAGAGATCGGTGCTGGGACAGGTGATTAGTCGATGTGAAATTAGTCAAAAAGTGTTCCCAGAATCATGATTTATGTGTCATTTGTTACTAATTTAGTGATCCTCTACAATCATGAATGTTTGCCAGGTTTGGTAGGGTTGGCACTAGCTCGAGTTGCTAAGAAAATCTTCATTACAGGTAGGTAGTTAGGCCTTCTCGAGTCCGATTCTGTAGAGTTGTTCGTTTTAGAGTTTTACCTTTTGTCCAGTTGCATGTTCCACATCAATCCAGTAGGTATAATTTGATCCGTATATCTGACAAACAGGGTTAATTGAAATGGCAAAACTATATAACAGAAATTGGTTCAAATGAGAATTCAGTTCCATGTGCGACCGCATAAATCAAAATTTCCTCTACTATACATGGATCTAATTAGTCTAAGAATGCAATTCCAATTCTAATCCTTATACTCAGTTTCAATCTATGAAGCTCAAAGTCTTATTTAGTGTTCATTGTCTTGCATTATTTGACTCAATTTTGCTACTAAGATAAGGTAAATAACCCAGCAGGAGTATTACTTACTGTTTTCCTTAGTCTTAGTAACCTTTCCTTGATATATAAAAGGTTAGTTTTGCATGACACCTGTAATTTGGTAATGTTAAAATCTTGATAACATTTCGGCATATTCATCATTGCAAATGATCAGATAGGGGCTCTGATATCCTCGATAACTGCTTGGCTAATGTCCAACTTAACTCAAGCATGCTAAAGTTTGATGAAGCTAAAGCCTGTGTGCGGGAACTGGATTGGAAAATGTCATGGCCTCCACCTGTGTTTAAATGTGATTCATCTGATCCAAGGTTATTTCTGCTTCTACACCAACTATTCCCACTTATACAAATTTTCATACATCATAATATGCGTTATCTACCACGAATTCATGTAAAAATGTGAATGCGAGTATCTGATAGTCATGTGCGTCTTCACAACTTTTGGTTAATTAAAAATTCATGTAAAACTTGCAGGATTAGTACATTGTTGTGTACAAAGACATGGGAGTTTTTCTACACTTCTTTGTGTAATACGCTTTTGCATGTTTTATGTTTTTGGTGAACATACCCTCAGCATTGGTTAGGAACATGTTCTCCAATGCTGTTTGAGATACAAATTTTTTTTTAATGATTGATGCCTAAGTAAAACGGTTTTTCCAATGCAGTTCAAAATACTTATGGTATACAAGTGAAATCGAGGCGGCTGAGAAAGCTACAACACTATTTGCTGCGGATGTTATTTACAGTGACGATCTGACTGATCTGTTTTTCAGCATAGCAAAGAAACTGATGTCTCATGGTGCTGAGAAGGTATCGGTTTATCCGGTTACCGTCATTTTTTCTTAAAATTTGACAAATACCCTAAGACAAGATGTTTCTCCTCTCCATGCTGAAGACTTGGTATTCTCCTTCGTATCTGGTAGGTATTGTACTTGACCCTGGAGAAGAGATATAACTTCAGTATGGACGAACTAGATGTTGTAGCCAATGGTTACAAGCACTTCCGAAGTTTCTTCACGGTTCAGGATGGTAGGTTGTTTGCAAAGCATTTTGATCAGCTAAGAATACGTAGAATTGGTATCAGGATCTCAATTGTCTGTGTTCATTCCACAGTACTCAGTCTTTCATTTTTCACAATCTTTTGTTCGCAGAAAGCGGAGCTCTGGATGATAATTCATGTAGACCAGATTTTGTTGGAGAGCAGATGGACCTTGCAGAGGTTCCTCAGTACATCAGAGAATATGACAGGGGCAAAGATTTGGAGATGTGGAAGATAATGTACAACCCAAATCCAGAATAGCAATGTCTTTTACAGAAATTACCCGCTTTTTAATGTACCACTACAATGCATTTTTGCATGTTTGTATAACTGTGGGTGTGTTTAGTTCTTTGGGTGTAAAGTTTTTGAAGTATACGGATATACATTTGAAGTATTAAACGTAGACTAATAACAAAACAAACTATAGATTCCGCATGTAAACCGCGAGACGAATTTATTAAGCCTAATTAATCCATCATTAGCAAATGTTTACTTTAGCATCACATTATCAAATCATGGCAAATCATGGCGTAATTTGGTTTAAAAGATTCGTCTCGCAATTTATATGCAAACTGTGCAATTGGTTTTTTCTCACATTTAATGTCCCATGTATGTGTTCAAACATTTGATGTGATGTTTTCGGCTAAAATTTTTTGGATCTAAACAAGGCCTGTATTGTATATGGCATCCGCATATCATAAACAAAAGAAGAGAGTGATATGTTATTTCTCCCTTTTGTCATCAAGCTTGCAGACTGATCACACAGACACAGAAGGCAGGAGAACAAGAATCCACAGCATATTTTATTTCGAGTTCTCATGTAAAAGAACAAATTTATCCAGAGATCTCCCATTCTCCCCTACTTTAATAACGCGTAAAAGACCAGTAGGATGATGATCACCATGACGGCGAAGCATGCGCAGGTTCCAACCGCAGAATCCTACAACCACGAGTAGATCAACACAGGTCGATCAATTCATCCATCGTTTGATCAACCCCCCCCCCCCCTCATCGTTTGATCAAAAAAATAACCTAACTATAGATACCTACAGATGCGTCCCTCCGTCCCAAAAATAGACAAATCATGGGTTTCTGTATCCAATATTTGACCGTCCGTCTTATTTGAAAAAATTATGAAAAAAATTAAAAAGATAAGTCGCGCATAAAGTATTAATAATGTTTTATCATCTAACAACAATAAAAATACTAATTATAAAAAAGTTTCATATAAGACGAACGGTTAAACGTTAGATACGGAAACCCAGAGTTGGTCTTTTTGCTTTTAGACGGAGGGAGTACTTACCAGATCGCTGAGGTTGCCGGTGTCAGGCTTGGGCTCCAGGAGCGGCGCTGCCGCTGCTGTGTCCACCGTCACCGCCACCGACGATGACGGTGGGTTGGTTTCTTTGAGAATCTTGGCGACAATCCGCTGCTGCTGCTGCTGGTGATGATGGTGATGGTGACCGTGGTGGTGGTGGTGATGGTGATTATGGTGATGATGCGGCGGCTGGGTGTGGTGGTGGTGATGGTGGTGGTGGTGGTGATGATGATGATGATGGTGATGCATGTCGTCCATGGCTGGAATCCGGATGATGATTTGTTGGTAGATCGATGCAAAGGGTTCGTGGGTTTTTTTTCCGGTGTTTTCGTGTTGGGTTTAAGTTAACCTGTTGGCGAGATATATCGATCGATCGATCGACTTAGAGTTGGAGACGATTTACGTATGGCGTCGATCGATGGATGATGGATTTACTGCCGTGCTTGCAAGATGTATTCTATCTGTATGCGACTAGGGGCGGCATTACGAAGAAGTTAAGAGAAATTTGTAAAAGAACACTCCATAAGTCGCTCGAAGTTTGACATTTCATCCCATAAGTTATTTTTGTTGCAAAATCCTAACCATTTATTTAGTTTTGTTGCACAACCCGGACGAGAGTCTAGTTGACTGGTGGGATCAAGAACAAAGCAACAAAGCAAATGTCAAAGTAAGGGGATGCACTCACTGCACATGCTCTTGAGTTGGGAAATCTGGTGCGAGAGAAATAGACGAGTTTTCAAAGATAAATAACTTCAAATCCCTCAATTAATGGCAAGAATAGTGGACGAAATACATACATGGTCGGCATGTGGGGCAAAAAATCTTGCGAGAATAGCGCCTTAACATCTCATCCTCTGTTGTAATTTTCCTTTTTTTCTGCTCTTCTCCCCCCTGTCTTTCCCCTCGTCACCTTTGGTGACATTTGTACAGTGCTTATCTTCTGAAATATAAAACCAGCTAAGCTGGCTAAGGTTTCAAAAAAAAATATCAGCCTAGTGTGCACGTGTTTAACCAAATCGATCTGTTATAACTAATACAGAGCTACCACAAGCTAAGCTACATGAGTCCATCTTTCCAACTGCTTGCATTTATTCTTCATGTTTCATTGAACTTTTTTTCGCATACAACAAAACTCAACGCGACAACATTTAAGCTCTCCAAAAAAGTGTCCAAGACTATACTCTAGAAGTATTTAATTTTAATAAAGACAATATTAACGACTCATAATTTAATGTTCATTTGGCTAAAACACATGTACACTAGAGTGGTTTTTGCAACAAAACTGAGTAGGTCAACAAACATTTGTAAGAAAATGAATTATGTGATGAAATGTCAAACTTCAAGTGATTTATGGGGTGCTTTTTCTTTTGCAAATTCTCCAAAAATTAAAGCTGAAAATCTATTGAAACTAATAATTCTATTTTAAAATATATTACGCTATTGACTTCTAGACATGATTTTTATCGTTCGTTTTATTAAAAAACCAATAGAAGTATTATTTATTTGGGGTGACAGCTTGAGCTTAAGAAATAAGGAGGTGGCTGCTAGCGCGTCTCCTTCTTGACCTCCGGCACAAGGAGGTTATAGAGCTCGAGCTCGACAAGGCAGCCCCCGGTGAGCGTTTCCTCCATTGCCTTCGAAGTGAGGCTGTAGAGAGCGAGCTCGATGAGGCAGCGCTGCCGCTGCTTCTCCCCCTCCTCCCCAACACTCACTTCGGATTGAGCTAGGGGCCATGTTAGATTAAACTCACTTTGGATTGAGTTAGGGGGTTATTCATCTAGATTAGAAAGTCATGATGTCCGATTTTATAATTTATGGGATAATTTGGTCTTTTGCAATAGTTTAGGGGTTAATTCGTTTTTTTCCCAAAACAATGTAACACCTCTCATTACTTCTCATGTACAAAGTAAAATTACTCTAGAACATGTATATGTACTGGTTCTCCTAGCCCGTTGGCCTCCATTGAATAATAAAATCTATTATGACGCGATATTTCAAAAGCAAAACTACACGAACCATCTTATATAATGGGAAATTACATCGAAACCGTTGAAATCTCTACTATATTGATCCTAGCTAGCTACTGATCATAACTTGACTTCCATTATTAACTCGTAGCCATGCATGTTGGTCCATTTGACAAAAAAGGCTGGATCGATCACAAAAAGATAATGAAGATGGCGACGACGCAGACGATCCCGACGGTTATCAACGCACACTGCACCAAAGATGGGAAAACACACACACACACAATAACGAGATCGCATTAGCTCTCAAATCAAAAATCGATCCATAGCGCTTAATTAGTGCAATAATGTGGTTGACATCGGATGCGTTGCGTGCTATACGTACCTTGCAGGCGGCATCATCATCGCCGTTGGCGGCGGCGGCAGCGGTGGCGGCGGGCTTCGGCTTCTGAACTAGCGGCCGGCGTACGGACGACGACGACGACGACGACGACGACGACGAGCTCGAGATTGTTACTGCTGCTTAGTCGAAGAGGATCATCGGCACTGGGCAGTGATGGCAATGCATGGCTGGTCGCCGGTCGCGGTCGTCGTCGGTCGGCGCCTCGGCCGGCGCGCGGCGGCTAGCTGAATTAATCCGGCGAGACGAGGTTCGACGTCGAGGCTGGGAGAGAGCTGATCGCTGTGGTTGTGCGGTTTGTGCCGCCGCCACCGACGGCGCGTCGTTGGATTTATGGGCGCGCGCTGTCGACCAACCGATCGTGAGCATGGCTAACAGATACCCACAAATATCTCTAAAATTTAGTTTTTAGATTTCTAATTCGATTTTATGGTGTAACCAGATTTTTATCTCTAGGAAATATGTTAAATCAACTCCCAATAATAAAAGGTGGATCCACTCATCACTACCAACGTTATGTATATATAAAAAATGGGGAAATCTAAATCGAGAGCGCTCTCGGTTACATTTTATAGCGTGACGTGTTCGATAGCCGTCCATTCACGCGTCGTTGTCCCAGTTGTTCCCACCACGCGTCATTGACATCCCCATCTAAGCCGTTCGTTTTCGTCCTCATTCATTCGCCACTGTTCAAATTATGGGAATCGAGAGAGAGAGAGAGAGAGAGAGAGGGGTGGAGGCTATGACGGTTTTGTCCCATCGTGGCAAGGGAAGGTGGAGGTTGTGGCAGTTTCATCCCATCGCGGCAGAGGAGGTGAAGGCTGTGGTAGGTTTCGGCTGTTTCCCCTCATTGTGGCGAAGAGGTAGATGGATGTAGCAGTTTTACTCCACAAATCACGACGAAGAAGGGGAGGGTAGTGATTGTTTCCTCCTAAAATTCTGATGAAGCAGCGACTGACGACTTCTACTACAACGGCGACGAGCGGTGGCCGCGATGGGATTCCGCGGTTGCGGGCTTCAGCTGTAGCAGAGACGACAACATGCTTTTGAACTAGTAAGTAACTTTTATATGTTTCCTAAAAGTTACTAGTAAGTAACTTTTATATGTCTAAAAAGTAACTATTTAAATTACCAAGCTTTTTGTAATCGATTGTGCATAACTTTCGAATTGAAAGAACTTGGGTATGGAACCTTCAAAAGTAAATTACGTGTTACTAGTAAGTAACTCCTATATGTCTAAAAAGGAACTTTTGAATTGAAAAGAATTGGATATGGAACCTTAAATTTCTCCATGTATAATATGTTATTATACATGTTTCTGATATACGTGTGCTAGTACAAATAAGTAATCATGTAAGAGATGCTAAATGAGCATAAGTTTAAACTTACATGTTTCTAGCAAGTAACTTTTATATGCCCGAGAAGTAACTTTATGTATAGTCGTTTCAAGTATAGACTTATTTTTCTTTTTCACATTTTTACATGCAGCTTGTTGTAGAAAAGGATATGAAAATTGGAACTAGATTTTTAGGGGGTCGATGCAGCATGTTGCTTTAAGTATCTGTGGCACTCGTTGGTGCTTTATTTTTCTATGAACTACTTGTGTGTTTAATTCTTGTTTTGTGTTTCTTCTTTTGGCGAACCTGATCTAGATCTATTAAATGTGGGATGTAAATTACATGAAAATTTTTTGGGATCACCTTTTTATTTGATTTTGGGTATTCCATGCCTTCTTCTTCCTTACTTCAGTTCTGTTTTCTGACTATAATGGCAACACTGGTTTTTGGAGAGGCGAAGGTGCCGTGGGCTTCGCTATCTTTTTTTATTGCTGGAAATGGTGGTGCTAGTTCTTAGGGGAGCCAAAGGTGCTAGTTGTGGTGGGCTTTGGGTTGGCCCATGTGAGGAAATTTCGGGCGTGCGGTGCGTTTTTTTGCATTCTTAGAAATGAGCGTATGGGATGGTCGTGAGGTTTCCTTTTGAAGAAAGATGCAAGTTCTATTTTTGGAAAGCGCGTGGGTCGCTGGTTAGCGTAATCGTGCTACCATGCACTAGGTAGTCATGTTTATCTCTTTACCCATTCCCTCGTCACGCGCGAACTCTCTCCACGTGTCGCCTCCTCCTTTCGTAGAGCTGAAATTAAGAGCGAGAGCTTCTTCTGACTTGTAGAGAGTGAGAAAGGAGAAGAAAATGATTCTAATTTTTAGATACATCTTTAGAAGAACCGTTTAAGCAAGATTTTCACATAAGAAATCTAATTTTTAAAATTAGGTTTTACTTAAAAGAAAACTATGGATAGGTCAATCGATGCAACCATCTACTAACTATCTACTCTATTCATGCATGAATGTATATATTAATTTTAAAAATAATATTTCTTATAAACTACTCGTCAGATCTACCATCTAAGCATATTGTTGTATTCGTTGTAATTAAATATTTACAACAAGAGATCAAATAATTATATTCTGATGAAAAAAATATATGTTCCACACTGTTCAAACTAAGTTTCACACGGGATAGCAACATGTTTCAACTTGTTTTTCCACTATGTTTCCAAAAAAAAAATGTTTCAATAGTTGATTTTTTTTACATCATGGACAACATAATGTTTCACCGGTGGCGGTGGCTAACAAAGCTACACAACTACCTACCCTTACTCTTTCTCGTGTCACGCTACTTAGGGTCTGTTTGACACAGCTCCAGCATCACCTCTCCTGGAGCTAGAGCCCAGCCAAACAGTTTCAGCTCCACATAAAATGAGAGTGGAGCTAGGTAGAGCTATCTCACAAAATGAACTAGAAATGTGGAGCTGAGTTTGGGCAGCTCTACAACTCCACTCCAGACCCAACTCCTGAAGTTAAATTGAGTTGGAGCTCTAACAAACAGGCTCTTACTCTCTCTCTCTCTCCACTCCATATATGCATGCATATAACGATATTCAAAATACTTTTTCTCCTATTCTATTTATCCGATCTACGATCCGAACACACCATTGCACTAGATGTAATTAAATCTTTATAACAAGATATCACATAATTATTTTCTGATAAAAGAAAACAAGATATCATATATGTTTTAAACCGTTAAAACTTCTTGTTTTATATGTGATAGTGACATGCTTCATCGGGTGTTTCCACTATGTTTCAAAAAATATTTTAAATGTGTCAATGCCTGTTTTTTCATTTCACCACATATAAAACTTAATGTTTCACCGGTAATCAACCGAAGCATTTAACCATCTGATTTTTTATTTTTTATTTTGGAATCGGGTGTTCGTATGTAGTTTCCTCCATTTTACTTACGTAGGTACTCTATCTCCGAGCCGGAGTGGAACGTGCTGCGATCGAGATGTATGTGTCGGGGATAATAAAAGATCGGGATCGAGTATAATACGGCGAGTGATTAATCTTCAACTTATTCAAACAAACACAAAATTTCCACATCTAAATCCAAGACGGAATTGCTAAAGAATTGTCGTAAGCCCCCCCTTTTATTTTTTACGGTTTTGCTGCCTGTCATTTGACAAATTCTAAGTACCTGTATCTTTCCACGAAATCGTTTCTCTCTTTTATTTTCTCGAAATTAGCCATATCCTCTCGTTTGAGAGAAGTTTCTGACGAGCAAAGTCCATCGTCCTTGCAAGCAAATAACCAAGGATTCAGAGATCAAGACGCAACCTTGACTGAACTGAATAACAGAAGATTAAGCAAGTAGCAGTGACTGTCCGATCCAGTGATTCGCAGATCCAAGACACGATCGTTCTCTATCACTCTATCATGTCTAGTCTTTTGCAGGGCCAGTGAGAGCGCCCATTGCTGTTTCTTTTTGTCCTCCGGAACGGCTGAACCTCGAAGCAAAGTGGATCTGGAGTTCTTGTGCTGCAATTTTATCGATTCAAGCATGTCAATCTTGTGAAGCAATGTCTCTTGTTTCTGTGAGACTTCTGAACTTTGACAGGAACTGAACTGTATAAGGACAAAGCTTCACCATCACAATGGGTCGTCAATTTGGAAGCTGTAACCTGAACAGAGACTCTGCAACTGTTTGCCTATTTGGAAAACTAGATATTTCATCCTTAGCATAGTCGATGACTGTGACGAGTGTCATTATATTGTCACTGTTATTTGTTCCTCTTTATGTGAAGGCCCCAATAATACCATCTTAGTAATAAATATTAACCTATTTCTCCAACAAAGAACACTGCACAAGATGGAGATACCTTGGCTCTTTTATCTTTTGTCAGTACTATGTATGACAATGTTGTCTCAGGCCATCCATTGTACTTTGCTCATAGCCTCGTATTCATTGGGAGTTGGAACTAGGTACAAGCTTTACTTTGAGGATTCAGGCTTTGTCAGCTGCTCATGGGAACACAATCTTTAATTTGAGCTAATTAATTAGTAATTTAAACAGGTGTTTCCATGCTCATGTAATCGAGTCCAAGTGCAAACCTATTATACTCTCTTTTTTTTTCTGCTAAACGTACATTTTTAGCATTGAAGAGTTCTGTACATAATCTTGTCTTTGCTAATGCCTTTTGTTTGTTAGTGCTTTAGTTTGTCATTACAGTAAGAAATGAGGCGTACAAGCAGAGAACTGATGCGAAAGAGTGTGGCACCCGGAGCCATTGCTGGCCACAGATGCAGAAATCTTGCAGAAAATGGAGCAGCCAAGTTCTTTCAAATTCTTATCATAACAAGATAGTAGCTCAGTAATCTAGTCAGATTGTTGTGTCTTGTTGCACTGAAGTAAAATAGAGAGATAATAGTACTAGGATTCCTTTGCTGACAGTCAGACAGAGGCTTTAGTCCAGAGCTCTTTAGAAGGCAATCAAGTGTGCTTAGATATTTTTGGACCATACCAAATCTTCAGATAACCAAATCCTCTTTGGTTTGGCTTTCAGCTTTTCAGGGAGGAAAGGGCACAAAATCAGCAAAATGATTAATAATTAGTGGTGTAGGTTCAGCTGTTCAGTTGGATGTCAAATCATCTACTTAAGTTAGTAATAGTGACTATGTCAAATCAAATCATCTGTTATTACTGAGTTACTATTAACTGAATGTAACTCTGCTCTGCTTCTGAATTTCCTTGCTTAGTGCCATCAAATTTTACCATCTTTTGCTGTGGAAACAAAGGGTCAATTATATAGACAAAGTGAATCACTGAATCTTTCATCAACTAGCAACCTTTTTTTACCACACAAATGATAGCACCACAGCATGGTCGAGAAGGATGGAGAAGTAGGGAATAATAATATGTTGCGCCTGAGACAGTATTTCAACAATCTTAGTACTTGGTATAGCAATTACCAACCATTTGCAGTCCAAAATGACGGCACTGAAATAAAGTTTTGTAGCCTCATCATTCCCTTGGAAAACCAGTGGTTGCATCTTGCATCAAGTAAAACTAAAAGTGTTTGGTTAAAAGCAAAACAAAAATACTCAAAAGTGGACTAATGTGGGATCCCTGACTGGATTTTTTTTGAACCTTTTTAATTTTTAATTTTAAAAGTAAACCTTTTCAAAACTAATTTCCAAAATCTAAACCTTCTGACCATGCCAGCCCGTCTGGCGTGGCAAAACAACACTGACACGTCACCTGAAGTAGGTGTAACAGTTTTATCCTGCCACGCCAGCAAAAGCGGTGTAACCAAATAACGCTACCACACCAGTGAGACCGGCGTAGCCAAATACCTCTATCACACTAGCGAGACCGGCGTGATAATATTGTTTTGTCATGGTAGTTTGGCTAGCATGATTAAAACATTCAGATTTTAAAATAAGTATTTAAAATAAAAAAGGTTCAAAAAAATAAAAAAATATTCCCCCAATGTTGCGTATCTTTGATATATCATCTCTACGTTAAGATTTTACACCTGTTTATTACCCTCGATATTTTAAACCCGAAATATTAGGGCCCATTTAAGATAACTGAAATTGATTGATTCATGGATAATCTGATCTTTGTGATATCTTAAGAGTATAAATGAATGCATTAGCTTGTAAAATTTTAAAAAGTTGTTTTACAAACGTATTTCAAGAAAAAATATATAATTTTCTTTTTGCACGAAAAGGTGTTGCTTGGAAGCTTGGGAAGCGTACAAACAAAAATCAAGAATTTTTAAAAATATGGCATACTCCCTCCGTCCCATAATATAAGGGATTTTGAGTTTTTGCTTGCTGTTTGACCACTCGTCTTATTCAATTTTTTTTTTGCAAATATAAAAAACGAAAAGTTGTGCTTAAAATACTTTGGATAATAAAGTAAGTCAAAAAAAATAAATAATAATTCCAAATTTTTTTGAATAAGACGAATGGTCAAACAGTGCAAGTAAAAAGTCAAAATCCCTTATATCATGGGATGGAGGAAATAACTTTTAGTATGGGTCAGTTTGCGTTTTAATGATGTTGTAAATTACTTGTATATCCTTCCTTTTTTTTTTCTTAAAGAGAAGGAAAAATTTTATGCCTCATGAGTCTTGAATTACATGTTTTTCTTAAGATATAAGAATTTAGTCCGGATAAGTTCCGGTTTTTATATTTTGAGATCGAGGAAATAACAAGCTTTATTTCCAAGTAATATTCAAATAACTGTTTAAAAAAATTAAATAACTCGAAAAAGGAAATGACCAAAATGCCCTCGCTCCCCCCTCCACCGCTTCCCCTCCTTCCCCCGGCCCCCGCTTCTTCTACAGTTCTACTCCACACCTCCTCTCTCTCTCTCTCGCTCGCTCGCTCTCCTCTCCTCCCTCGCGCGCGCGGCCGGCGAGCGGAGCGGGTCGGCAGGTGCGCGGACGGCGTCGTCTCCTCCCCCGACTCCGCCGCAGCCTCCCACCCTCCCTGTGCCGCCTCCTCGCGCGCGCTGCCGCCGCCGGCGAGCAGGTTTGGAGTTGGGGGGCGACGTGGCAGGCCTGCTTGCTCCTCTAACCGAATTGAAGGTATCCGTTTCTCCTCCCCTTTGCTACTTCATGAGCCGTCATAGATTGGAGATCCATCCGGGCGAACAATGGATTTTGTGCGGTTTCTTCCATTCCACACCCAATTTGTTAACCCGTACAGGTTACTAGATGGCAGTTTGCTTGAAGAGAGGATTGGGGAATTAATCGGCTGAACACCGATTCCCCGGCGTTATGTCCTCCTCTGCTCTCGTGCCCCATTGACTTTTTGCGTTATTGTAATGGCCAAATTGGCCGGGTTGAGTGAGCCTTACTGGTTACTGAGCTGTTCTTGCTTGAGCTTGGAGTGACCACATTCCCCGGCAAGCACGGTTAAATCCTGGTGCCCGTGAATATTACGCATATGCATGTGGACTTTCAAAAGGATTTTAGTAAGATCAGGGATGTGCGGCTGGTGTCCGTCTCTTAGAGCCTATGTTAAGTGGTGTATATGCGGGGGTGTGAGTGTGGTGTCACGTGAGTAGTGGTGTGTGTGCGTGTGTCTGCCGTGTAATTGCAAAAAAGAAAAGCTTCTAGTACTTTACCCCACTAAAAAAGTTTTGGATTTCTGATGCTACTAGTTTCAGCCACAGAAAATTGGGTTGAGTTTCATTTGGTGGAGTGCTGTGCTCCAGAAACAAGAAAATCTTGGTGAGAACATAGAAAGTTGAATGTTGCCTGAGTGCTTAATGGCGAAATTGTGTTGGCAGGAAATGGCAGGGCAAAGATCTGATTCGCAGTCAGATGAATCGTTCGAATACATGTTGCTTGAGAGGGACCCTGATCTTTACCGTACAGTCTTCTCGGGCCCGAGCCAGATAAGTCCGTGGATTGACCCGAGCGTGCTGACTTTGCAGCACCGGATAGGGAGAGGTCCATTTGGGGATGTTTGGATTGCAACCCACCATCAGAGGACAGAGGATCATGATCGGTACCATGAGGTCGCTGTGAAGATGTTGCATCCAATTAGAGAGGACCAACTGCAAGCCTTCTCAGTGAGGTTTGACGAGATCTTTAGCAAATGCCAAGGTCTAAGCAATGTGTGCTTCCTACATGGCATCTCAACACAGAATGGAAGGGTATGTATGCTATTAGTGGTGTGTTGATCTTTCTTGTCTTGATTATCTTTGCACATCAGGCCAGCCTAATAGCTTATTTTGTATCATGGTTTTTTAGATTTGTATAGCAATGAAGTTTTACGAAGGATCCATTGGAGATAAGATGGCCCGGCTTAAAGGTGGAAGGATCCCTTTATCAGATGTTTTAAGGTACGGTAGAATTTCCCACAGTTTATCACATATACTAATATTGCCATGATCAACGCATTACAAATTGAACCTTAGGATTTCAGCATGTAGTTTGCAACTTCCTATTGATGTTCTGACTGCTGACTTGGTTGGTTGGATTATTTGTCTGATTTCCTTTCTCATTTTAGCATTGGCACAAGTTCTTATTGATTTCTGAGAGTGATTATGGTCTATTTAGAGGAATTTCGTGCTTATTTTCTTCAGAATGTTTCTTATATATCTTTTTAATTCACAGATATGGTGCTGATTTGGCCCGTGGCATTATAGACCTGCACTCAAGAGGAATATTGATTCTAAATCTTAAGCCCTGTAATTTTCTCCTTGATGAACATGACCATGCTGTGCTGGGTGATTTTGGAATTCCGTCCTTGCTGTTTGGGCTCTCACTGCCTAATCCAGATCTTATCCAACGACTTGGAACTCCAAATTACATGGCCCCAGAACAATGGCAACCAAGCATTAGAGGGCCAATTAGCTATGAGACAGACTCATGGGGTTTTGCCTGGAGCATCCTTGAGATGTTGAGTGGCATTCAACCATGGCGTGGCAAATCACCAGATGAGGTTTATCAGTTGGTTGTCCTGAAGAAAGAAAAACCAATTTTTCCATACAATTTGCCTCCAGCAATAGAGAATGTCCTTTCTGGATGCTTTGAATATGACTTTAGAGACCGCCCCCAGATGACTGATATTTTAGATGCATTTGAGAGGTAACATGCTTATTATCCTGCTTTTCATGTTCAACAATTTACATTTTGATTGAATTGCCATTGAGTTATTTTTTTTGCTTATATACTATAATTTACAAAAGCTAATCGGTGCTAAATATGTGAATCCATGGAATTGTGTGTTTTAATACTTGTATTCTGTTAGCTTGTTGTAATTTGAAGTATCTTATATATTTATATGCATTTTTTTCCTTTGCATAATTCTTTACTGTCCCATAGCAGTAACTTGGATTACATGTTGTCCTAATTATTTCTTTTTAATTTTGATTAGTGCAAAAGATGTAGATTACGAAAATACTGACCAGGGAAATTCTGAAAATCTAAGGATGGTCAGTCCAGCCCTGCCAAGCCGCACTAACTGGTCATTCTTCAAGGACAAGTTGCAAGTGGGAGACAAGGTTCGCTCGAGAAAGCTTAAAAACACTTGTAGTCCAACAACCATGGAAGTCCCTGATGGAACCATAGTTGGAATGGAGGATAATGGAGAGCGTGATGGCTACATTCTTGTAAGGATCCATGGTTTACATGATCCTTTGAAGGTTCGCTCTTCAACAGTGGAAAGGGTAACCTATGGTTTCGCTGCTGGAGACTGGGTACGGCTTAGGGAGGATGAGAAGAAGCGATCTCAGGTTGGAATTCTTCATAGCATTGACCGTAGTGGTACTGTTTATGTAGGTCTGATTGGAGTGGACACCCTCTGGAAGGGTGAATACTCTGACCTTCAAATGGCTGAAGCCTACTGTGTTGGGCAGTTTGTGCGGCTGAAAGCCAATATTTCAAGCCCACAGTTTGAATGGCAGCGAAAGAGAGGTGGAGGACTGGCTACAGGCCGTATTTCGCAGATACTACCAAATGGATGCCTTTTCATAAAATTTCCAGGCAAATTTAACCTTGGTGAAGTATGCAGTTGCTTGGCAGATCCCTCTGAGGTTGAGGTGGTGAGCTTTGACAAGTGTGAGGGGATCGTGAAGAAGTACGAGCACCTCGAGGATTTCCATTGGGCGGTCAGGCCGCTGTTCATTGCTGTAGGTTTCTTCACCGCTCTGAAGCTAGGCATCTTTGTTGGGAAGGGCATTGCTCGGCCAAGAAGTCGAAAGGTTGCCAGCGTCTCTGATCAGAGTGATCATCAGCAACTACAGCAGCAAGAAGTGCAAAACAATGCCAATGCAGCATGGCTCCCTCCAACTGTGGCAAACATGCTGTTTAGAGACGGTCCTACGCTTTCTGGATAAAATGAAAATCAAAACCAGTGCAAGATGGAGAGTTTCAGAACTACTGGATAATGCAACGCCCAAGCAAATCGTAGTTCATACTTAGACCTGAAACTTGTCTTGCCACAAGACCTGTAAATATTTCCACCTTCACTCTACTATCATCTCCATGTTCACAAAAACATGTTCTGTGCTTATGTCTGTAAATTGTAGGCTTGCAGTCCAAATCCTGATACTGTCTTTTGCTTTTGTCATTACACTGCAATCTCTCAGTATCCCTGGATTTTCTGTTCCCGATCCATCAATTTGCAGTTGCATCTGCAACGTGATGAACGGCATGCGAATATGGATGAAAATTGCCATAAACGCTGGCAACACAATCAACATAGGAAATTATATGGCATCATCTGCAATTCTGCATATAATATACCTTCTTTCCGAAAGGACTTCATTCCTAGTACTTGTCCAGATTCGTTGCTAGAAATGAAGTCTTTTTGGACAGAGGTAGTACAATTTCAACCTGATTAACAAAAGAGTTTGTATAGCAGAAGTCCACAACTGAACCATACATGGGATTGGACTGGCTGATACTATCCACCAAATTGCCTAATTTGTAAAGAACTAAACCTCTACAAACTACATTTTTCCAGAGAGCAACAATTACACAACACCAGAACCTTCTGTGTCAATACTTTTTCTGAGCATCCTCTCAGCTGAAACATGAAAGCTACTAGTCATCAAGTGATACTGTGAAGCTCGTGTGAAGGCCTTCCCATCTTCTCGGAGACCAGGTTCAGCATCTGAACTAGAAATCAAGCTGTGAACCTTGTGAGGATGAGGAGCAACTGCCAGATGCATCAAGTGAAGGACCACCTGATCCATCCACTGGAGCTTGATTCAACCGTTCTAACACCAGCGACCTCCTCTTGCGCAACTTCAGAGAAAACGTGGACGCCTCCAATATGACGGGGACCTGCTTGTTGATAAGAAAGGCATCGAAACGAGAGAGTGCAAAGTTTTGTTTATACAACTATTATGAAAGCTTAATTCGTGGAAAAAAAAAACAATCATGAAAGCTTTGATACCTGGCTATTAGTCTGTGCCACCTTATGCACATGTAAAAAACCAACCATATCCTGATATCCAGTGAGGAGTTTTGCTAACTCTTTGTCCTCATCTGGTGACAAATAAAATGGAAACTTAATAAAGGATATAGTTGATCAAAATAGCAATCACATGACATACTTTAAAGGGCCATGCTTGCTTACCTGGAATTGCTTTGATTGACAGAAGTGTGTCCGCCAGGTGCTGCCATCTCTTACAAAAGGAGCTTGATAAAACTGTATTTGGAAATGTTATAACAGCAACTGCATTAGATGCACGAACCATGGCCTTCAGCGATCTGATAAATGAGACCATGTCCCAGTCCTGCAATACACAAATATAATTAGTTGCAAGTACATAACGATGATATTAGAAAGGTGAAAATATATAAATTGGTCTGAAAAAAGATTCAATGCATCGCAGCAACCAATCAAGACTAATAGACATCAGTCGCATTAAATACTTTCCTTCTCAAAGTATCCGCATTGTGGTGCACATAGTGATTGTATAGCAATCCGTCCAGCATGCGCATTTCCACCATCTTTTCTGAACACCAATAACAAAATAAATTCACGAGTAATAACGAATATGGTACATGCCATCAAATTTTATGTTAATAAAAAAAATATTATGGTAGACGAATTTATGGTAACATGGCATTGCAATGTTAGAATGATTTTCCTTCAGAAAAACCGTCTGAGCATAGAGACAAGAACCCTTACCTCGGAAGTTTGGACAAGAATGTGGAACAACGGTCCTGGAGGACACCAAGAGTGTCTCCTTCTTGAGTGCTAGCACATTCAATATTCTGAGCATTAAGTAAATGCCTTTCCAAGGGCTTCCGTAAATCAAAATCATTGCTAAATTCTTGCTTGTTGTCTGCAATTATACTAAACTGAGTCAGAACTTTGACAAACATCTTGATAGACAGTGATGATAGCTAATAAAAAACACTTTTAAAGCAAACTGATAGGTATTATGAACATTGCTATTATCCTGAAGTATGCTAATATTATGCATTTAGGTCTTTGCCCAAAAGGATAATCCTAGAATCCCATCTTTCTTCTGGATTTGGAGAAATGTCGATTTTCAAGAAAGAACGCGAATCTTATGATATGGTGGGAATCTCTTATCATCATCATCCACGCCTTAAATGTATCCTAATGCCCAGCTCAGGTGTCAGTGACAACAATGGTGCTTAGGAATAAGTAGATTATAGAAGCTAAGGGCTCAGACAAAATCCATTCACGAACAATATTATTTATTTTGTTTTCTTGCGTATCCTCAAAAATGTTTACAAGCATGCTTTTTTGCGTATTCATGGCCAACAAGAATACAAAGGAAATAATAGTATCACCTCTGTGTTCAGCATGAGAAGTCTTCTCTTCTCCAAAGTATTTCTTGTACTGCCAAGCTATCCTCAAAGCCTCGTCCTACACAATTACATGTCGAGATCAACATTAAAATAATAACACTTTTCAGGGCTCAAGTTGACTGCCAAATATTCTTCCTCGAGACATACACTTGTTCGGCCATCGCTACTTGTTCCAGCCCCCATCCCTCTTTGTCGTCCATCCTCCTTTGAAGATGCAACAGCAGGTAATGTACCAAGGAACAAGCGGGGTTCCTTCATAGGTCCTGCGAAGAGCAGCGGTTGTTTGTGCACAACACCCTGCGCCATGAAGCTCCGAAGCAGTAGGAGGTGGTGAGGCGCATCAGAGTCCTCCATGATCATTACAACTGATCCAATAAGAAAACCCCCACCTAGAATCCCTGCATCCGTTAAACTAGTAAATTATGGTGAACTGAATTGCACATCACCATAACTCATAAGAGCATCAGCTTTTTTTTTTCCAGTTTAAAGGTTTTACCCCATTAAACTCACCGCAAGAACCAAACTTTCCTCACGGCATCTATACATGGCTAAACACAAAATATTGAAAGGAATTTGTACTCCTAAAATAACAAGTAATGCAGGTGATCAAGATATATCATCGAAGCAATTTTATTTGATTCCTAACAAAACTACGCACATTGCATTTGCAAACATAGTTAGTAGTAGCATATATTGTACTATGAAATAATACTCCAATTAGCACCCTTTCCCTAATCTCCTAGGTAACAACCAAGCATGTGAAGTGACCTAAAGATAAAAGGAATTTCTTACATAAATAGGAATAATCGCGTTAGTAGAACAGAAAAAAAACGCTAGATTTTAATTCAGCAAAACAATAAAAAGGGTCTGCAAGCAAGAATCTGCTTACTGTCGAGGTCGGGGATGCCCGAGGAGACGAAGGCGGCGCCATTAGGACCAAGCTTGACTCCTGCGGCGGTGGATGAGGACGCCACATGAGGTGCCGCTGCTCGAGAGAAGCTGCTCCGGCCGACGGTCTGGCCTCCGGCGGCGGCGGCCATGGAGTTGGCGGCGAAGTTTCACGGGGCACAGATCGAGCTCCACTTCACAGCGGCGGCTTAGACTAGGAGAAGGAAGGGAGAAGACCGCAGCGAGGACGCCGCGGCGGCGGCGAGAGCGCTCGAGAACGAGGCGGAAACCCACGGCGGCGGGAGGGGTCGAGGGCGAGGCGACGGCGGTGCCTCACTACGAAGACCACATGGGCTATTTGCTTGGGCTATTTCTTGTTTGGGCCAAGCCCACTAATTAATTTCACAATATATTAGTTCACCGATCACTCCTCCCGTCCCATAAAAAACCAACATAAAATGAGATGTGATATTTCCTACTGTACAAATTATTTGTATCAGAAAATATTACATCTTATCCTAGGTTACTTTTTTATGAGACGGAGGGAGTATGTTTGTCGACATCATCATGATGTTAGTATGGTATCTAGGTACTAGATGTGTTACGTATAGGTATCGTATCTGGTATCATCGGCACTAAGTGTGTTACCTATGGTATCATCAGCATCAACATGGTAGGTACTAGAGTTTAAGGCATCATACTTATGTCTGTGTGATATCATCACTTAAAATGTTCCTTGGGACCAACGGTATACCGATCTAGTATTTATTATCCGTTTGTTAATCCTTAGTCATTTTTTTAGAGGGCGACTAGACGATAGGATCCAGTTAGGACGGGATACTTAAGTGACTCCTCCCTCTTCCTTTCCTATGTCTAGCTGAGCTTTAACGTGCAAGCGGATAGCAAATGCACTTATTTTTTCCCTTGTCTCGTCAGCTACATCAACAGAAGGGAAGGGAAGGGGCATGTTAAGGAGAGGAAGGGAGAAGAGGATAGGAGATGACAGCAAGGGGCTCACTGGTCGGTCTAGCGGCGATGACGTGTGCTCCCTCTCACACTCGGTTCGTACCTGGTACCTATGGGTACCGGCTAGTACCTAGGTATCAAATCTTGGTACCTAGGTACTAGGGCTGATATTTGTGGGCATCATTCATGATTCTCCGTGGTACCAGGCCTGATACTTGGTATCAGCCATGATACCCTAGACATATCATGACTGATACTTGATACCAGTCAAGGATGACTTACCTACCCACAATAAAGGAAGCAGCACAAGGAGCTAGCGAGGAGTACGATGCAACAACCTCAGAGACCCGCATAAACTCTGAGATTACCCTCACGCTGAGAACTACTGACCCTGCATTACCGCTGGCTGTTGAGAACGCGAAGGGATGCCATATTGATTAGAGTGGAGGAGTCCGCGCGGGGGGGGGGGGGGGGAGGGGGGTGTGGTGGTGGGGATGGAGGACGGAGAGAAATGAGGATGAGAGATATATCCGGGGAAGAAGAAACGGATATGGGTTGTTGGGGTGTTCGTTATATTAAGTAGTATATCCCTTCCGACGGAATTCTATCCATTAGTTTTTCTGTCTTCTTTTTTAAGAAATTACAACGGATTGCTGTATTAAGAAGTAGAAAGAGAACAACTATCGGTGTGATGGTATAGTTAATTATTCCACCTTTTCCTAAACCAAACACTACAAATTGTTAAATATGTGATCCGAATTTTGGGCCCACAATATATTCGGATTAGTTTCCTAGTAGGAGTCCTATTAGGTGTCTTTCTTTTATCCCCGATATATACTTGTAAGCCGTACGGGAAGGGGTGGCGTTCTCATTGTGATTCCCCTACGTTTGTAATCATCACCTCTATAGTGATCATTGCCGGTCGGCGCCCGTGGTTTTTTCCCGCAAGTGTTTTCCACGTAAAAATTCGTGTCTCCGTTGTGTATCTATTTTCATAACAAGTGGTATCAGAGCATTGAAGATCGATCTACTGCAGTCCCGGCTACCGGCGATTTTTCCCGATCGAAGAAATCGATCTAATCGGTGGCACGCGTCGTCGTGTTCGTCGTTCCGTCGAATCAATCTGTTCACCCCCCTACCTGTCGACTCCGAGTCGGCCTCGTCCCACGCCTGCGCGAGATAAAAAGGCAGCACCGCAGCAGCAGCCGCTCAGGCGTCGTGAGAGGAGTACTACAAGCAGCGCACGCGTCACGAGGATTAAAACAATCAGCCGAAAGCTTGGCTGTTCTGTTCAGGCTTTTTTCCAGGGAGGAAATTGCTAGGACTTGTTATAATAAAACAAGCAGGTTATAGAAAAAAACTCTTTTTTTATTATTTATCAACAAAGCAAAAAGGGGTCTTATCAAACCAACCCACCCCATAAAATTGGAAAGAAAGATAAAAGTAAGTGGACCTGACTCCTTGAATGTTTCTTTAGCAGATCCCTTGCTAATCCGAGCGAGCTTTCAAATATTTGTCCCACATTCATTCGGGAGGGTACTCCTAAGGGATTGAAAACCATATCAACAGGCGTTCCATCTTGCAAATAGGGCATATCTTGCCTAGGCAAAATTTTGGAAATGATCCCCTTATTCCCGTCTTCCGGCGTTTTTGCTATTTTACCCTAATTTCTTACCAGCAAATTCAGGATTAATTCCCATGGCGAGTTTGAAGTATGATCTACCGCTCATGGACCGAGACACAAGATTCTCACTTTGGCAAGTGAAGATGCGAGCCGTTCTTGCACAGCAAGACCTCGATGATGCGCTTTCTAGATTTGACAAGAGGACTCAGGATTGGTCCAACGATGAGAAGAAAAGGGATCGTAAGGCTATGTCATATATTCATCTTCATCTATCTAACAATATTTTGCAGGAGGTGCTTAAGGAGGAGACAACCGCTGGGCTGTGGTTGAAGCTGGAACAGATATGCATGACTAAGGAGCTGACCAGTAAGATGCACCTGAAGCAAAAGTTATTTTTGCACAAGTTGCAAGATGATGAGTCTGTGATGGACCATCTCTCCGCTTTCAAGGAAATTGTTGCTGACCTTGAGTCTATGGAGGTAAAGTATGATGAAGAGGATTTAGGCCTTATTCTATTGTGTTCATTGCCTAGCTCATATGCAAACTTCAGGGATACTATACTTTATAGCCGTGATACTCTAACTTTAAAAGAAGTTTATGATGCTTTGCATGCCAAAGAAAAGATGAAGAAGATGGTAACCTCTGAAGGTTCAAATTCACAAGCAGAAGGCTTGGTTGTTCGGGGCAGGCAACAGGAGAAGAACACAAAGAACCAATCAAGAGATAAAAGCTCAAGTAGCTACCGTGGGAGATCAAAGTCCAGAGGCAGGTATAAGTCATGCAAATACTGCAAGAGAGATGGACATGATATCTCTGAGTGTTGGAAGCTACAGGACAAAGACAAGAGAACCGGAAAGTATATACCAAAAGGTAAGAAAGAAGAGGAAGGTAAAGCCACAGTTGTTACTGATGAGAAGTCTGATGCAGAATTGCTTGTTGCTTATGCTGGTTGTGCACAAACTAGTGACAAGTGGATTCTTGATACTGCATGCACCTATCACATGTGCCCGAATAGGGATTGGTTTGCCACCTATGAAGCTTTGCAAGGTGGTACTGTTTTGATGGGTGATGATACACCATGCGAGGTTGCAGGTATTGGAACAGTTCAGATCAAGATGTTTGATGGCTGTATCAGAACATTGTCAGATGTGCGGCATATTCCAAATTTGAAGAGAAGTCTCATCTCTTTATGTACTCTTGATCGCAAAGGGTACAAATATTCCGGTGGAGACGGAATTTTGAAGGTAACTAAAGGCTCTCTTGTTGTGATGAAAGCTGATATTAAATTTGCCAACATGTACCATCTGCGAGGTACAACTATATTAGGTAATGTTGCAGCAGTTTCTAATTCATTATCTAATTCCGATGCTACTAATCTTTGGCATATGCGTCTTGGGCATATGAGTGAAATTGGTTTGGCAGAATTGAGCAAGCGAGGATTGCTAGATGGACAAAGCATCGAGAAGCTCAAATTTTGTGAGCATTGCATATTTGGCAAGCATAAGAGGGTGAAGTTCAACACATCTACACATACTACTGAAGGTATTCTTGATTATGTGCATTCTGATTTATGGGGGCCTGCTCGTAAGACATCTTTTGGAGGTGCTCGTTACATGATGACTATCGTTGATGATTATTTGCGAAAAGTTTGGCCTTATTTCTTGAAGCACAAATATCAAGCTTTTGATGTGTTTAAAGAGTGGAAAACTATGGTTGAAAGACAAACTGAGAGGAAGGTGAAAATCCTTCGTACTGACAATGGGATGGAGTTCTGTTCTAAGATATTTAAATCATATTGCAAGTCTGAAGGCATTGTGCGTCACTACACCGTTCCTCACACACCTCAACAAAACGGCGTAGCTGAGCGTATGAACAGGACAATTATATCAAAGGCCCGTTGTATGTTGTCTAATGCAGGTTTGCCTAAACAATTTTGGGTGGAAGCTGTTTCTACTGCTTGTTATCTTATCAATCGATCACCCAGTTATGCCATTGATAAGAAGACTCCAATTGAGGTATGGTCTAGTTCCCCAGCAAATTATTCAGACTTAAGAGTATTTGGTTGTACTGCTTATGCTCATGTTGATAATGGTAAATTGGAGCCTAGAGCTATTAAGTGCATTTTTCTTGGTTATCCGTCTGGTGTGAAAGGCTATAAGTTATGGTGTCCTGAAACCAAAAAGGTTGTGATTAGTAGAAATGTTGTCTTCCATGAATCAGGTATATTACATGACAAACCTTCTACTAATGTTCCTGTTGAGAGTCAGGAGAAAGCAAGTGTGCAGGTGGAGCACTTGATCAGTTCAGGGCATGCACCAGAAAAAGAAGATGTTGCTATTAACCAAGATGCACCTGTTATTGAAGATTCAGATTCTTCTATTGTTCATCAGTCTCCAAAACGTTCTATTGCAAAAGATAAGCCCAAAAGAAATATTAAACCTCCTCGAAGATATATTGAAGAAGCGAACATAGTTGCTTATGCTTTGAGTGTGGCAGAAGAAATTGAAGGTAATGCCGAACCTTCTACATATTCTGAGGCTATTGTTTCTGATGATTGCAATAGATGGATAACTGCTATGCATGATGAGATGGAATCACTTGAAAAGAATCATACTTGGGAATTGGTGAAGTTGCCAAAGGAGAAGAAACCTATCCGTTGCAAGTGGATCTTCAAAAGAAAGGAAGGTATGTCTCCAAGTGATGAGGCAAGATACAAAGCAAGGCTAGTTGCTAAAGGTTATAGCCAGATTCCAGGTATTGATTTCAATGATGTCTTTTCCC